TGTATTGGCAGAGAAAACAGGTATAACCTAGTTTCAGAGATCAGATATGATAGAGGATCTTCTCTGATACTTTTAGGACAACATGCATAAGATCAAACATTTCAACCCGTTATAAATCAACACAGGCTCAATTTAATAGACTGTGTCGATCGTAGGTCTATTTCAAGGTAAATATCTTTACCGACCCGCCCTCTTCATTCGAAGCGAACCCAGCATCCAGAAACCCATGTCTCCTCACAGCATCCTCAAAACTCGGAATAAACTGGACGTCCACAAACCTCTCATACAACATCCCAACATTCTGCGCAAGCAACGGCAGCGGAAGTTTTTCACGCATAGGAACCGTAATCCTTAACCCTGAATCTTGTAGTTGTCTGCACCAATGTTGAACATGATCGTGGCACCCGTAATACGGATCTGGCCTTTCTCGCCAACAATATCCCATACAAGACCATCGCCTTCTTGGAATGCGTCCCTACCACGCAGCACATAGATGTATTTAACATCTTTGTTCAAGGCCCCATGCAGCGATGCGTTAATCGTCGGTTGTTTTCCTAACGTTTCTTTCAATGAACCTATCCCCATCCACGATATTGACGTATGGCCATGTTATCTGTAACAGCGCAGAGACAGTATCAGGCTAGCCGAGTAGGGAGGTAACAAAATCCATCGTGTGACCGATATAGAGAGTCAAAGGGACCTGGACCTTAGTACCCTCGGTATGACGTTCTTGGAAGTACAAGTAGCGCAGATTCAACCGATTATCTGTCTCCGGGGTAGTAGAGCTACCGGCAATATGGGAAGCGAGAACTCGACCAATCCTCCCAGTATTTCATCAAGCAACTCTTGTAATGTGGAGTGGACATGGCCAACGCGAGATGGGAAACCAATGATGGTTTTGAAGCCCCCTTTTCTTTAGGCCAATTGGGCTCGTTTCTTTGATTCCTCCGTCGTCGTGCATAGAGGCCGCTACTCGACGTAGATGTCCTTGCCTCGCTCAATAGCAGGTTTAATGAGCTTGTAGTGTGAGGAAAACAACAACGACGCACACGACTAGATCGACGGAAAGACCAATCAATCCAACGCGGATCGGGGACTTCGAGGGTGACATGGTGTTTAGCAATGAGATTCTTTTGGGAGAAACCATAGCGAACCGGCTGCCCGATTCTTATCTGTTTGGAATAAAGTGCAGGAAATGCTACGTAAGCTACATCATTATTTAGAGTAGAGTAGCTTGATTAGTTAACTAAGAGAACAGAATTATCAATGCTCTGCCCGGACTGTAACTATATTCCAGCAAGCAGTTGACAAAGCAGAGATGATTAACTTTGTTAGGCAAAGTCCTCCATAAACTTCAATTGCATCGGTGGACCCGTTCGGAATGTGTGTGGGTCGCAGGTGGAATTTAGATTCCTCACTACAATGGTAGATGATTAATGCTCTTCTTCTACTCACTACAAAATATAGGAGAGAAATGGGTGGAAAACTGCTATGATTAATTCTCACTATGTAGAACAATTAAAAAGACGGGTTTCCCAAGCATTTCCATACCTTAATGAGCGGTCTAGACTGCGATCCCTCAAGCAAGGTGCTGCTGAATGCAGAATACGCCTAATCCCCATGACGTCGGAGCTAAAGAATGAATTAGTAGTAATACTCATTATCGTGATAGATATTGACATGCCCTGTACCAGTCCTCATGCTTCCTAGCTCTGTCCATTGCCCCCAATGAGCCTCTCTGAGACATAAGAAATCTGCAGAAATTAAAGATCAGTAACCGATATCAGAGAATATCATTGAGTTCATGCGTACCGGACCTCAACTCAATGTTCCAAGTCCACTAAAGCCTCCGATAACCTTCCGTCGTCTGATTGTGATATCTGTTCTCATAAATCTCTGGTCCCGGCCATTAATCGCTTCGCATTTTTCTGTCACCCTGTGCAGCTATTCCGTTCAGAAAGTCATGTTGACCAGTACATGGAATGGCCAGGTTTCTGTCCACTCACTACGTAGATATCGGCCTAGCACATTGTCGGCTGTCATGAGATCAAGGGGCTCTGGTGTGAGAGGATGAAAGGTTTGATTCTGACAAATAACTCATAGTCGAATGGGCCCGACTGAAACGAAGCCTCCAGGGGTCAACGGAGGGGTCTCGATCGAAATAACTGCGTCGTCCACCAAGGCTGGGTTCGCAATAACAACTGTCAACATCTTCAAAGTTTGCAAAATCCGCTGCATCTCTCTCATCGCCCTCCGAGACGTAGAAATGCAGATTAGCGATGACGTTGCCTATGAGTAAGCTCATTTGCTTTGCAGCTATACTTTCCTGCAACGCGCGAGTTGTTCCACTAAGCCCTTCGATTCTTTCGGTGTAGTTCTGCGCGATGTCTGTGACTTGCCCCCGAAGTTGCTCCTGGCCTCGGGCATCTTTGCGGAACCATTCATTCGCTTCATCAAGTCTCTTCTGAGTCACTAGAGGATCATTTCTGTAAGGCAAAGGCCATGTTGTTGGTTTATGCACCACTGGCTCAGACAGCCCCGGTGGTGGTCTTATGCGTTTGCTAGTCATTAGGTTTAGGTATCCTGGGAAGCCGGTCGCAGGAATTCCCTTCCATCTTTCAGTAAAATCATACCAGACAGGACCCAATCCCAACGGGTTTTCAGTCAGTCCTGACTGACTGGTTGCTCTGAAATCTATCCCCCCCGAATCAACCGAATCTGTAGTTACTGACTCGCCGCTTAGATCAGAAATACGTTCATGTGAGCTGTCCATAGCCGTAGTTCCCTGTATGTGTGCATCGTATGCTTCCATTTGCGCGGCCGAGAATTTGTCCTGGCCCGCAGTAATCTTCCCATACGCAGCCCTGCTCAACAAAGTAAAATTTTCTGAGTCAGTATAGCCATTGTCATCTTGATAAGGACTATTACGGTCAGGGCCTGAGGTATCAGCACGAGGTACTTGTGGAGCATCTATATCATTCAAAAGTGGAGAGCGGGACAAAGCCGACGTCTCTGACTGACACTCCATCACAGGTGTAGTTGGCTTAGGGCTTGGTACATGCTCGCGCGCAGCATCCAAAGAAGGATCCCATGAGAGAGATGAAAAATCTCTCGATCGATCTTCATGTGACTCAGAGAGCGATGGGTGTAGAGTTAATAAGCTCTCATGAGCGACAGCATGATCGTAGTGAACAGGTACCGATTCGTAAGGAGACCGGTTGTCCGGCGTGTCGAAACTGGCGCTGTAGATATTCAGGGAGGAGTCCGTCATGATGTTACCCTCAGCTATGAAGTTCTGGTTGTAAAGGTTGGGCTGCGGCACACCCATGAAAGATAGCCCACTGGAGATCGAATGTAGATCTGTCGACCAGGGAAGGTGCTCCGAGCTGTGATATTCATCATTTCTCAGGAAGGGGCTCCTCGATATGCAGCTATGTTGCTGTGAATGTGAGTAGGAATAGGAGATCTCGTAGTTGTGGGAATAATTAAGCGGATTCTCTCGGTAGTGAATAATGCCTGCATTGGTCGGCCATGCCTCTTCCCCAAACTGTACTTCTGGGCTCCAATTGTACGGTTGCGGATGAAACCGAGAGGAGGCCGAGGCCGAGGACCCTTCACTGTACTTGCTCAAATTACACTCACCACTATGTGCACGATGAAGGGCAGACAATCGAGAGCGAGGCTTGCTTTGGCCCGTTTCGAAGAGGGTCATGGGGGTTTGGCTGTCCTTGCTACCGCTGTCTTCGGTGCTTTCGAGTTGCAAAGGCTTCCAGGACTTATTGCCTTTGTTTCGGGGGTGTGCCTTGGCAAATTTGGTCAAGCAGATAGCTTGTGACGACGGTAGATCATCAAGATTACGCAATTCATACACGTCATCCTGATACATGGGGCTCTGTATATTTCTGGACCTAAGGGGCAGAGGCCTCACGAAGGGTCTTCTAATGGCCATCCTCGATGCGATGTGATTATCTTCGGCAAGTATAGGAGGGTCAAGACTCTTTGGAAGAGACCGTGCTTTTTCTGCGAGGAAGTCAGGCCGCGCGATCGAGTGTAGTGAGGATTGCGCGAGACTATTCGGAAGCGGAGTTTGTGGAAGAAAGGCTGAGAAGCACCTGATTTCGGTGTTTTTGGAGACTGGTTGAAGGAGAAAGTCGCTGTTTGTGCTGATGGGAGTGAGCTGAGGCGCTGTTGTTAGTGTAAAGAGACGCGACCCAGGAGAATAGACAAGGATTGGGGAGTTAGAGCACGCGCAGAAATCGCGAAGAATTTGCTAGGTACGGACTGACATGTAGCGAGTCGCACTTTGATGCAGGCCTTGGCCATTCACTGGAAGAAGGCGTGACAGCTCTGTTCTGGACATGATGAAACGGACTAGTGGCACCGGGAGTTGGGCGACAGGCGCCTAGAGGAGCTCTTCCTGGCGCGATATTCTCGATGGTCACGGCAGCCTTCTTCCTGCGAGACTTTTGTCCTGTTGTAGAAGTTGGGGGATCAGCTGGGAACAAAACAGAGGCACTCCTCCGGCCTCCGCCCTAATCAGGCCCGTGTGAGGAGAAATGCCTTACGACGGCGGGTTTTTCTGGTCCTCACTTCATCCGACATCTCAACACTGAGTGATTCCAATGTATTCCACGAAGTTGCCAGGATATTTGTTGGATACGCATAAAATAATATAGCTTTAGCAGCAGTACGTGTCTCGGCCAGGGATTTACATTGAAATGTGATAGGGCCAATGTACAACGTAGTAAACAGATGTGCATCTCTTGCATTAGGGAAAAGATAAGGAAGGTACAGGTCGGCGATCCTTGTGCATCTCTCCTAGTACTGTTTCTGCGGACTAGTAGTAGGAAGGATCAATCGCCTGAGTTTGAGTTAGACACTACTGTTCTGAGAAACAATGACTACCAGGGATATATCCAACTAAGTCTTGAGACACACGCATGTAATTATTCCTTAAACAAAGCATGACTGTGAGAGCACAGCTATTTATTACATCTTCCGATTATGGCAAGACAGCAGGAAATTTACTTGGCAAATTCGATCCAGGGAACAACTTCACCAGCGCAGATACACACCTATCATTGTACATTGCTTACCATTGGCTACGCTGTGTCCCGCCTGCAGGGTATCGGTTATCTGACTCACGAGTACAAGAGCCCAGTTTACTCGGATCATGACCATAAGCACCTTCACTGTGCTGGCTGATGCCGGATCCAGGCGTGTTGTAGCTGCTGCCTCCTGGTGCACCACCAGGGGAACCATAAGAGTCTGTGCCTGAACTATAATGGCCAGGGCCAGATCCAGAACCACCATAGCCGCCAGTGCCTGCCTGAGGGCCATACTCCCCAGCGCTGGTTTCATAACTGCCAGCATTAGGGCGAGGGCCATACTCTCCAGCGCCAGACCCATAGTTACCCGCGGTTGAATGGGAGCCATACTCACCAACACCAGGCCCATAAGTGCCTATGTTAGGCTTGCCGTAACTAGTAGTGTTGGATCCGTAGCTGCCCTGGCCAGTTTGAGATACGTATGTGTTGGTACTGGAGTCATAGCTGCCCGCACCCGCCTGAGATCCATATTCTTGAGAACCGTAGTCGCTGGTATTGGACCCGTACTTATCGGCGGGCCTAGATCCATAGCCAGTATCTGATTCCTGTTTTCTAGCATTAAAATTTCCAGCCTGATTACGATGCTCTAAGCAAGAAGTTATTTGTCAGCAAGGGTTGATATGGATTCTCACAGCAGCTGGCTCTCATACCCTTGGAATCGTGGTGATGACCAGTCACGACATCTTTGACCTTGTGAAGGAGATGCGACATTGTGGGGTGCTATGATGTAGAAGATCAATGTTTCTCGAACAGCGTATAATCAGCTTTGGGATGCAATATGTGTAGTTCACGAATAGATGTTATTGAGGGCGTAGACATCCGACGGACATTAATATATATATTCTTCAACAATGGGCGATTGTACGCCTTCTAGTACACTTGACGCCAGCGGGTGAGATTTGCAATGGACTGGTGATGGAGGGACCAAAAACTGGTTTAGTTTGGGACAATGACGTTGGATGTCTTCATCATATTCTTTGTTGTGTGTATCTTGAAGTTAAGAAGACGATGGTTTGTGGTACCAAACAACGTCACTAGCCCCGGAACCAAATAAGCTATTGGGGCCACCAGCACCAGCCACGACTCGTCCGATGGCCGCCACAATCTATTTAATTTAATCAGTCACCCCCACCTTCATGGAGGGTTCCACCTCTGCCTATCATAAGGGGAAGCAGACCCATACAAACCATGAAATGGCTGTTACTGCGTACTGAGTAGTACCCTTCGAATGGACGATTTCTCTTTGTACGGTCAGTATGTTTGATGGTAATAGAAAATTGGGTTCCAGAGGAAAACACAGTACTTGGCATATTCCAACAATCGGACTAATGATTTTTAATTTCATTTATCTAAATCTTTTCTTTTCCATTTTTCCATTTTTCTTTTTTTTTTTTTTTTCCCCAAAAGCCCCGGAGACATAAACCCTGAGATCTAGACATATGACTTACTTTATGACAACTGACATAGCAGTGTATGGTACAAGTAGAAGGAGGAAGAGTTCTTTTGGTTTCATCTTGAGCATCACTTCACGTGGACAATTAAGATCTGAATTGGGAGTTGGACGGACCATCCATGCGGGATGTCTAGGGCAAAGTGGTCCCGTGAATGCGCGTAGGGCGACGATCGAAATGCAATCCGTTGATGTGGGGTGGGGACCGATGACAGCATGATCTGCGGAGGACGATTTCTTACCTTATTCAGAGGGGAACCGAACTTCTTGAAAATTAAGTATCGTAAGGATAATCCTTGGGATATTGCAGGTGTCCGGTGATAGTCGAATATTGGACGAACGATACAGTGAGACATGGGGAGAAACCCCTACAGACAAACAAGGAATGCGGACTCCACTGCCGTGACCAACTCGGCAAACAACCACTGGGGAAGAATACTCAAGAATTATTGTAGTCGCCCTCGATCGGCGTTGCCTGATCCTTTTTTTGCCTGAGGCATCACACGACTATCCCGTGACTCCGAGGCTGTGCTGCTGTTGTTGCGTGTTACGGAGACGCTCTCCAGGCGCTTGAACGGAGTTCACCCTCACACACTAAACTCTCTTCCTTTCTCCCCTTCTCCACCCACCACCCCCCATCGCATCGTTCATGACTCTTTCTGCACCTCCTTTTTTCCCTCCTTCATCTTTTTGTCTCCAGGTGCTGACTGAACATCGCTAATCTGTTTCACGTTCCTTTTGTTGCTTTCCCTCCCCTCTCGATGAGTGCCCGCTTTATTCTCCTTCGACGACCGTCCGATTGGTCATAGCTCGTCAGTCAACAACAAAAAGAGCCTTCATACCGAACACTGAAACTCTCCAGGAATTTTAGTCGATTTCACCTCCAGTCAGACACAGGTAGTCTTCTGGTTGTCTATATCTGACAAGGCTCAACTATGCGACCGCCACGTCTGATCTTTCTTGTTTTCTGTTTCATCTTCTTTCCGATCTTCCTCACTCTCTTTTCTGTTCTTACATCATCGTCTCGTGTGACCACCCCCAGTTCGTTCGCTGGTCGAGCGACGGGACTCCATGCTCTCTTTTCCTTCAACATACCCTCGTCGCTGTTCCCACCATCTGCTATCATCAGCTTGACCGATGATAACTCGACATTCTTCCTGGCCCGGCCCGCAGCGTTTGGCCCGCTCCTTCCCGACAAGGGGCTCAGCGGCCAGCTATGGATCGGCAGCGGATTCGGAGATAGAACCACTGCCGGGGCGGAAGGCGAACTAGGGTGTTCAGATATTCCAGGGTGGGGTGAGGGCGAGGGTCACAGGCAGGATATACCAGCGGCGTCGGATGTCATGCTCGGGAAGCCTCTCCCCGGTGGTGGAGCTGACCCGGCGACCTCGAATATCCATCCTACGGATCCTAAACAGGATATTGACTCACAAGCCAGCCCAAGTGACGGTGTTGTGACACCATCGACGAACGATGGCACGGATGATCATCTGCACCACCCACTTCCCGAATCTAAGGTAGTGGAGTCGGGTGTCTCTGAGCAGCGCGGGGATAGCCACCAGAACAGGCAAACTGAGCATGCTGATATACAATCTTTACAAGAGAGCGCTGAGATCCACGGCAAGGTTGTTCTATTGAGTCGCGGTGGCTGCGGCTTCTTGGAGAAGGTCAAATGGGTTCAAAGGCGTGGAGGAATCGCGTTGATTGTTGGAGACGATACTCGTGGAGGCAGCCTTATCACCATGTACGCGCGAGGTGACACGTCCAACGTGACAATTCCCGCCTTATTCACCTCATATACCACGGCGCATTTGCTCTCGTCGCTTGTTCCTCCGCAGGCCGGGGGAGATTCGAGCGTAGATGATGCTTCTGGGCCGCGCCACACAAAACTGTCCAGCCAGAGTACGCCTGGAAATCAGCAGATAGTGCCTACGACAACATCCGCCGCGGTTGTGTCGCCAACTTCCACGCGATATGCCACATCATCTGGCAGGAAATCCACCACGGCGACCCGCAAAGCAGGCTTCATTCAGAGTCTCGGGTCTCTGTTGGGAATAGGGAGGAATGGCGGACGCCTGCCAGAGGATAGCCAACGGCCTCCCAGCAGTGGAAACATTGACTGGGTTCTAAAGGATCCCTTGGAGGATATGGAGACGTCCGAGGATGGCACCGATCGTGGCCACAACCGGGCAAAAGCCGATAGCGGTGCTGGCGACCGCAAGAAACCTGATGTTGCTTCGCAAGCGGCCGACGGTGATGGGTTTGTGATTGGCGTCCAGGATTGGCGCGACCCAGACCTTCTAGTTCCGATCAGCAGTTCCATCCCATTGCCGAGCAGTGTCCCGGAGTCGGAGGCTAGCAAAACGCAGACTATCGGAAAAGGCTCGCGCCCCACGGGTGCCTCGCTCAAGGGTGGCAGCATAACCCCAGGAAGCGGCGAGTACCGTACTCTAGATAAGTCAAAAACTAGCAAAGCAGAGTTGCACGGTTCCAACCACCAGAGCTTGACTAGCGACACTCACGAATACCATAAGCAAAACAAGGGATGGTTTGCAAGACATTTCTCTTGGAAGAAGGATGGCGAGAAGGACTCGAGTCGGCCTGTTAGGCGAGATCATATCGAAGATCGAAAGTTGCATGGTGCATCTGGATTCCAGGGCCTCCAAAACACTGGGCAGCTCGAGCACGAGGGTTTATGGGTTACATTGACACCGACAAGCATGTCCACTAGCCCGTTCTTCGATACCCTTCTGATACTCGTCGTGAGCCCCCTGCTTACACTGACAGCGGTTTATGCTCTTTTGTTGCTGCGATCTCGCATCCGTCGAAGACGTTGGCGAGCCCCTAAATCTCTTGTTGACCGTCTTCCCGTGAGGACGTACCACACAATCAGCATGTCTTCGTCCTCCACATCAAGCTCATCCCGGTCCTCAAGCCCTGGTCCGGTCTCACCAACGTCGCCCTTGCTGGGCTCTAGAAACCGCTCAGGACACCGTCGCTCGCAGGAAGCGCGGGAGGCCACAGAAGGCCTGAAGAACCCCAAAACGAAGTCATCTAAGAAAGAGCAGGCTGGCTCGTCATCTGCGCTCTGGAGGCGCAAATATACTGGCCGGCAGGTGGAGTGTGTTGTCTGCCTAGAAGAATATGTGGACGGACAGAGCAGGGTAATGAGCTTGCCCTGTGGGCATGAGTTCCATGCGGAGTGCATGTAAGTGGCGGTCCAAGTAAATGTCTTTTGGTCAGTATCGCTAACAGTAATAGTACCCCATGGCTGACAACTCGTCGGCGAACCTGTCCCATCTGCAAAGGGGATGTCGTTCGCTCAATGTCCCAGAATAAGGCTGCTGAAACACGCGAATCTGCGGAGTCGATTGACCACACCTATCCTCATGAACTAGACTCACATCCAAATGCGTCGTCTGCCCCTGTCCCGATTACGAACAACGTTGAAGATGAAGCGTCTGACCTCGAACGTCGCGGTGGCTCAGAAGTTGGTCTGCTTGAGCGGCACTCATCTTCGGCGCCCCCGCCCAACTGGAGAAACTTCGCCGCTCTTAGCTTCTCGGCCCTCAGCGGCGATACTATTTGGCACCAAGGTCGGACTGATCGCGAGCGATGATATTTTCACTTTTCCTTCTCAAATACCCCTGGCATATAGTTACAGTAAAGCATGAACATGAACCTCGGTTCCTTCAGGAAGTCACCGCTTTGCGATCGGAAAATACTTCCCATTGGCGATCTTTTGGGCCGTCCACATTGGACTGGGTTGGCGTTACGGATACGGTGTGTAGGCGCAGTGCAGGACGAGGCAGATCATTAGCCATACAAGGCGGCTGAAAACAGCCCGCAGCCAATGATTCCATTTATGTTTTCTGTCTTCTGGACAGTCACTACCTAGTTTTTTCTTTTCTTTCTTTCTTTTTTTTTTTTTTTTTCCCTACTTCCTAAACATGGTGAATAGCGTTTGCTGATCGTATTGTGATGACACCCCCCTTCTTGTCTTGTGCATGTCTACACTCCTATTTATGCATTTATGTATGTATATTAAAACTGGGTGGGTCGAGGCACTCGATCTATCTATCGGGTAATATAAATAGATTGCGCTATTGAATCCCGTGACGTCATGTGTCCGCCGCTAAACCTCCTGAGAAGAAATAAAAACATTCAATCATTCCATGAACTCTCACGACCAGGAGACATCAACCACACCATGGATGACAAGGCCAAAAAGGCCCTCATTGAAGAGGCCAAGCATGCCCAAGAGGTCGCTCAAGAGGTCGCCCTATCGGGCGCATACCTCTATCCTTTTAAGGTGAGGGATCCTTTCGTTAGCTCCCTAATGTGAGCAGGAAAATCAATGCGATCGCCTCACAATTTTTCACCTTACGATTCATACGGAGAAACTCTAACAGCAATTGAACGTAGGGCATAGTGTACTTCGCATACCACAAGGACCTCTGGCGTCCGCTCCTCTCGCAAGTCGGACAAATCAGTAGTCTCGGTTTCAGCGTGACAGGCGCCATGTTCTTCTTCACCTATGTACCACAAGCAGCTATCATGTCTTTTACCAGCGGCCCGTTGGCGCCCATATCCGCCGCTTTGCTCATCCTCAGCGAAAGTTCTGCAATCACGAACTTTCTCGCCCGCTCTTTCCTCCTGGAAGAGGCACTGACGGATACCTTCGACGGCACGCTCATCGCCCGCGGTCACGAGTCGCTTGTCGCGGAGGGTCGGCAGATCAAGCGACAGGCGGGTAGAGATGCCATTGCCCGGTTGGGCAAAATGGTGAAGCGCCCCCTGGCTCGGATGAAGCCGCAGGCGTTGCTGCATACGCTTATCCTTCTACCGTTGAATTTTATTCCGGTGGTGGGAACTGCGATGTACGCATATGCGCAGGGAAAGAAGTTAGGGCCCGTGGCTCATACGAGGTATTTCCAGCTGAAGGGGTGGGGTGAGAAGCAGAAAGATGCATGGGTGGAGAAGAATAGGGGGGCGTATACGGGGTACGTTTACTCATTGCTTTTCATCATTCCATTTGAGATATATGCTTTTGTCTGGACTTTTACTGACTTGCGTTGACCAGGCTCGGAATGGCTTCGTTTGTGTTGGAAATGATTCCTTTCGCTTCTATCGCGTTTTCGTTCACGAACACTGTGGGTGCGGCGCTGTGGGCGGCAGATTTGGAGGCGGCACGCAGGTAAAAATTGTTGTATATACGGTGGTTGAAAACCGGCATTCGATATACCCCTGGAAGTGTACAATAAAAGCATCGGTTTTGAGGGCCGTTCTTGGCATACAATCATTACCCACGGGGGTTTAATAAGGGTTTGATTTCTGTTCAGGTACCTATTTCATTTCTTGTGGTGCCAGATTGATAGGAGATGGTTCGATTTCCAATGACCACAGACATGGTGGAGTAATGACAGCACATTTGGCTCCCTTCTTTCCAAGTGCCTCGTACGCGTTCCTTTATAGTTGCAGGTGTATGGATCTACTACTAGTAAATAGTATGATGGTACTCCGTAATGCATCTTATCATACCGGTGATTGGTAAGCGTGGGGCCAACAACCCCAGCAACCCTTAAGGCGTCAAAGTACTCAGTTGATTACCAATCATGTACGGAGTACGATCTACTTGTCTGTCGGTATTAAATTACACTGCAGCCGTGTAACAGGATTGTAAGGCAGGTTTCGTTGATCGAGGACATGCCAGACAGTAATAGTGATTGGTAATCAATGAATGACACAACTAATAACTACTATCAAGTTGCTTCGCATAACAGAGAGTGCAACGCGTCCTGCGAGGTCCTCGAGGTAGCTTCTCTTTGCCTGGTAATAATGCATTACTTTCCAACCTGTTTTACATCAGTAAATTCGTCATTCAATTTAAGGGTTGTTCATACCAATTCGTAAGCCGGTCGACATACAGGTGGGTCTGGATCAATACCTATTCAATCGGTAATCGTACCACAAGAGAACCGTCTGGTGCTAAGCATTGTCGGACGGATCGTGCCCAATATAATCGGAGACTCTTCCCAGCTACGGCGACGACTATGACCCCGGATATCAAGCGAACAGGTACAAGACTCGGCATGATCCTGAGGAGTATTGTTGGTTTTGCCACGTTGAACTGGACCCACCATTGAGGGTGCTTTGGTTATGGGTGATGGAGGAAGTTTAAGTATATGGGTATATGGGGGGTGGAGCAGGCCTTCGCGGGTGTCTGCATTATTCTAGGCGCTTTTGCTGCTGTTGCTGCGCGAGTGGATGGAGTGGGCTGGAAGTGAAATGGAAAGAGGCGATATTGCTGTCCCTTAGGGATGTTCTTTGAGCTTTATTCTAGGTTCAACACATACTACGCCTTGCTCTTGGATTCCTAGCCAAATAGGATACCAGCGTCTCGATGCATGTAGGTGGGCCCGGACATGTTGTTTATCGAACCAACTCGACGGCATTTTCTGCTTTACCATATCCTGTGGGAAGACTATGATCAAGTATGTTTGAATACATACTAAAATTGATTAAATACAGGGGTTCTGTGTGATGTGCATAATGCAAGGTGGTTGATATAGAAAGGTGAAGTAGATGATGAGATATACAATTCGCCAGAACATTGCAATGACCAAATGAACCAGAAAGCTCGCTTGAATGAGTCAATCCAAAACAAGAACACTCAAACGCTAAGGAGAAAAGAAGGAGAAATCAATTATTAATCAGCAATGACAGCTTCGCCTTCCAATCATCGACAAGGGCTTTGGCTTCTTTTGCTGATTCCCTTGAAATCTGCAGCTCTGCTTCCAGAGATTCATTCTTTGCCCGAAGCTCTTGAATCTCCTTGTTTGCATTCTCCAGTTGGGCCGCGTTCGCTTGTAGTCTTTCGAGCTCTTGTTCCGAAAATCGCCGATGTTCCAACTCCCGGCGCAGAGCCACCAGACTGAGGTCGCGCATCTGGATTGTCTGCATGCATCGGGCGTTTTCTTTGCGTAGGTTCTCAATTCCTAGTCTCAACGATGCATTCGATTCAAGCTCTCGGTATAGGACATTGAGGGATGCATCGACCTCGCTGGGCAGGCTCATATACCGAGATTTTCGCTGGCGTCGGGGTGGCTGAGAGACTCCTGATTGTGTATGCCCGTTTTCATTCATCTCATCATTGTCGGGTGAGGTTTCTCGGGCTGGATTAGTGGCTGGTATAGCCTGTCTCTCGTTGATGCTTTGTTCATGTGTGGACGACGCCTGTGGTTGCCTGTGCGGGGGTGTAGCATGAGAGAGTGGATTTGATAGAGAAACGCAGTCGACCTCTATCACTGGAATACATGTAGTAGGAGCGCCATGTGCCTCTGTCAATCTTGGCGAAGCGGGTGGCGTAAGCGCAGGAGGAGCTATATGCCAGCCCCGTCGGACACATATGGTGCAAAAGTGTTCATTTTGCGAGTTCCGTATCCACCCAAAAGGCATGCAATCGCCATGAAATGCCAGTCGGCAGGTCAAGCATGGCTCGAGACTATCTGACTTGAAGCAAATGCGACAGTAATCTTCATGGGTTGACCCGTTTCCTGATACCCAATTGTTAGCATTAGTCCTACTTATCAGCCTATGCAAAACGAAAGAACCTTACGTTTCCATTCCTTATATCCGCGTATTTGGGAAGCAAGCGACTCCTTTTCGAGAGCAGCCCAGGTATCTGACCAGGATACGCGTGATTGTGAGTCAGGTACGTTGGAAATGTCGACCTGTCTTTGTTCCTGAGATCCAACCTGATTTATTCGATTCCTCGGGCAGGACGGAGACCGCCTCTCCTGTTCTGCGCAACAGATGCTGGGCGTTTCGAGCGTGTTTTTCTCACAGCCGTGGAGCGCATACCGGACTTTGTACTTCGTATTTGAAATCAAAAGCGCGTATCAAGGATAACAGATATACTGTTTCGGTGGCCAGTCTACTTCCAAGATTCAATACTAGTAGGCGCTGTGACGGACATGAGTTTGGTTTGCTTAGTCATGTTATTTGGACCTGTTGAATTTACAAAGCTTCCCTCACGACCACAGCCGATTAGCCGGGAAGAGCTGGCAGTGTACGGGGTCAAATTAAACTCGCAGGGTCTACTAGATCTTATTGACTCTGGCGAGGCGACTGCTACGACCACAGAGAGTGATACTGATGACCAGGGAGTTTTTGGCTGGCAAACCGCTTCAGACATGCCTGAACTTTCACAGGCTATTATCGAGGAACTCACAGATGATGAAGGTGTAGATGGAGATAGTTTTGAGGAACTTGTGGCACCCAGTCCTCAAACATCTGAAACGTCTGCGTCAGCCCAGCTGTTAACGCAGCTAGCGGCCTCGGCCACCCAACTCACCCAGACCGCATCTACGCAAGAAGTCACACCCAGTATCGCACCAGAAGAGACAATCAACCCCCCGCCGAGGAGGAAAGCAAGAATCCCAAAGCCGAACAGAGAAACTCTAATTACCGCGGATAATTCTGGATCCCAGGCCCAGAATCAGCCTGTCCATGCGGAGGCAAGCAGAGCTAGGGATTCTTCAACAGCTAGCATAATATCTCGAGTGCAGCCTACCCATGCGGAAGCCAGCAGAGCAGAACAACGCGAGACAGATACCAATATTGGATTCGATGTCCAAAGTCACGGCACCGTGCCCCGGCAAGCACAGTCCATTTTCGATCGTGATAGGGCAACAGGGATACTTGTGGATCTCCTTAAGCGATTCCATGTTATCAATGCAGTTGATAAGGTTACTGTTATGTGGGAAACCGGAGATATCATTGCCAACCCCATATTTAAATGGTTTGTTGAGCGGTCTACTGCAAGCTATTCGCTGTTAGACTTCGAGAAGAAATAAGCCATTTACTTAGGCATGCAGAGATCACTAGCGTTCATGGTCTTCAGTACGGAATTATTCAGCAGCTGACTGAAATGGATCCTGTCTGGTGGGTTTTCAATGCCCTTATCAAACACGAGACACAACTCTATGCGGTTCCCCAGTCGGCCGCTATTCCTACCGAAGATATCCCATTTGGTGAGACGGCCTTTATTTCGCGAGAAGCCGGGAAGAGCTATGTTTCATTCCGCGGTAAATCAGATACTAATGCTAACATCGTGTTCCGACCTACCCTGCTATCAATGCAGGTAATTCGCGAGATAAGCACGAATAACGCTTCAGAGGCGCAGGTGATTGAAATCCTTCACGCAAGCAGAAAGGAAAGAAAACCCGTCGACAAAAATCTCACAACCGGAGCCATGCAGCAGATAGTTACCTGCCAGAGCACCATCCACTTGCAAAGAATCAGCCCCCTATCTGACGCTATTACGGCCCAGCGTTCATACCTTGATAAAGAAGTACAGGCAGAAATTGATGTATTGCTGGGATACAATCGAGACCTTGCATGGAAGTATATTCAGCAGTGGAGAAGGGCTGCTACCGAGGCTGTCCGTCTTCGCTTTGCTTTGTGGAAGAAGTCTGAGGAATAGAGTTTACTTAAGCCCTCGGTATAACTCGAGTCATCCGGACCTGAAGTATTTGCTTCCGAAGAGGGCTCCCTAAAATCAAGATGTTCGGACAACTCAGAAAGCTCAGAGGATGAAGAGGGCGAAGATTGGTCTGCTGGAAACTCAGACGTTGAACAGCTGATGGATAAGAATAAAGAAGAGATAATGGAAGATGAACATGAACCTCGCGTTTAGTTATTTGGTAGTACTACTAAGCGATGAATATTCTAGTAAATGATGAAATGAATTCAACTATCTCAGTGGTAAAAGACTCCCTGAACCTTGTGTCCAAGACTCGTCATTTTATTTAACATAGCCTTGGATCACCTCCTCATCCCTTCTAATTTGGCTACTATATAGTTCTATGATAGCTTCTGCTTGTCTCAGTTTATAGCTCTTTGTCGGATTTCCTCATAATACAGCCCAGATGTTGCTAAACAAGCACAAAGAAACTTCACGGGTTTCGGCCAAAAGTAATCCTCAACCAGTCTATCTACTATCATTTTCTCAGGTAGTAAAATGCAGGAAATAAAATCAAGCTTCTCTTCCTCTTTTGACTGTTCCAAATTCTCACAAGCAAATGAAGATTTGTTGAAGGTTTCATTGGCGACGCCCATGATCGTAGCAAGTTCATCGGCTTGGGCAAGTGTATTAAGTCGGTATCTCAGTGGTTTTGCAATATCGTCAAGTTCGTCGTCGCTGAATCTCTGCTTGCTTTTCAGCAAGTGCATCGGTTGGCTATGAAGTGCAACATGTGGCGCTCTATTATCCGGACCAGGGTTCGTACTGTGGAGTTAGTATTGAGCGGCATATATCATCCTGCTACGTTCTATGGCCGTTCCGAAAAGACTAGTGCTTGTACCATGCCCATCTGAATCTTTAGAATTATATCCTTTGATATTAGCATGGATTCTCTATGCCAGCCTTGCAAGCACCCTGGGCATATATGGAATGAGGTTGGAACTGGGAACCTTCAGCGAAGTACCAAACCGATCTATATCCTGCCAGACTTGCCAAACCTTTGACAGCCTCGCATCTGTGATGACAGATTGGAATAAACTTGCATCGGACACGATATTGGCCCTTTCAGTGGAACTGAAGCCTGGCGAGATCGGAGGGACTGGCAAATTTTCATGAACGCCTTGAACGGAGTTAGCATCAATAGTCACTCTCCCAACAGGGGCGAGCAGTTCTCATGTCGCGTCTGGGTCAAGAATGCCGTCATAGCGCTGCACAACAATGGTTTCATTGTGCTTAACGAGACAGTTGCCGAGATGGAGGCCAAACTGTTGAACCAGGCAAATGCCCACAGGCCTAGGGTGGAAGGGGGACAAAGTCCAGCCCGAGTGGAAAATCTCGATAGTTAGTTTGCTTGATGCATGTCGGTGGTTGTGTAGGTCAATGTAGAGTCAGGTTTTGGCTGCACTCTGCATTCAACCATCTTGGAAACATGCTATGTCTCAATGCCTTCCTTCCAATTATGAAGCTCTCCGTTGTATAACCAGATTTTAGCTGGAACCCAGAGACTCCTCAGTGTATGTATTTCGCTGCTGCAACTTTTTCGACTTGCACGCCGTTCTATGGTAGCTGTGAGCAAAGAAATTCCAGTATAAATTAAAGATCTTGCGAGATAAATGGCTAGAAACCGAAACTTCAGGCAAAATGGATACCCAAAAATAAGGACGCCGGCTAGAACGGACTTAAAAGGTCAGAAAGCATATTCTCCACCGCCAATTCGTCTCGGTACCCTTCAATTACCCGGTCGATGACATCTCCAAGCCAGCGTGCCAAGCTTCGGACGCTGTAATGAGCCTTGGTATACTCCCAGTATTCTGGGAACCAGCCTGCATTTTCCCAATCAACGATACCCGTTATTTTCCCATTCTCGGCGAGGATATTCCTTGGGTTTAGGTCGCCATGAGTAAAAACAATCTTGTGGCGGATATCGTGTGATATAGCCGCGCGTCTTCGAATTTCATCCCAAAAAGGGTCCGTTAGATACTGATTAAACTCAGTTTCAGTTTTGAACCGTATTTCGTCACGCTGACTATCAGGGATCCGCCAATCTAGGATACCACCGCCCTCTGAATTGCAAATTTGGAATTCTGTTGCTTTGTTTGGTATCTCTCGAAGCTCTGAAACATATCTTTTCAGGTCAGATACGACTTGCTTCACCTCTTCATCAGTCATTGTATCCAGCATTTGCCCAATGGGACGTCCAGGAACACAAGTCATGAGCAAGTACGAAAAGCGAGGGGTATCCAGTACATGGATCGCTCGTGGCGCAGGAATACTGGTCGACTGCTCTATCAGGCGCAATGTACGAGCTTCAACGTGGTATCTCGGCGCCAGAAGTGGCGATCCCCTGCGCAAGTACAAGCCAAATGGTAGCTTATAGACTGTCATTGAAAGAGATGGGCCATATATGCGAGAGCCCGCCCAGAGTAATCCATCGTAAACAGAAGCTCGAACAAAAGACGGTAACAGTTTCCATATCCATCTAAAACTTGGGATGATTACGTGCAATGACAAAGAGGGACACAATTTTCGTGACTCTACGCACCAATCAGAAATAATTCGTTGACAATAGTCACGAGCCCCACCGATAGCACCACCAGGGGTCGCATTCATTTGTCTTTCTGTCTCCATCCACGCCAGTGATTTTGAGAAACGCGCATGAAGGCTAAGTAGTTCTTTGTTAAGTATAGGAGTTAGTTGAGGTGTATGATTCTCAAGGGTCATTGTGTTTGTCAACAAAGAGTGGCGCAGACTAAGTCGGCGGGCGAACATGTTGATATCCACATTATACTCCGGTTGGTCAGTATCACGTTAGACTTATAAAGGAAGAGTAGAGATGTCAACTAACGCTCTGACTGATTGTCGTATCAGGATGCTTTGCCCAACTTTGAAGCGTGAAGTATACTTCACCTTTTTGTATAGCATCAAATGCTTTTGTGGACAACAACCAAAGGTTATCAAGTCTCTCTGACCCCTGATGATGCGGGCTAGAGAAAGCAGAGCGCAAATTCTCCACCATCTTTGGTGACAAGAAAGCTTCAAGCATTTCAGAAAGAGCAGCCTAACGTATCCGTTAGCTGACTCGGCGTTATAGTATTTACTATCATACGCACCCCTTCGGATAAATTTGAATCAGAAAGCATATGAGGCGAGACCATTTGGACGTAGTCCGCGTCTTTATCTGAGCATGATTTGAAGGGCGTATGCGTAAGGCAACAGCATCCCCCATCTCTTTCGTAGATGAGCAGCCGTGTCTCCCTGGATAGTGAGGTTGCTCGTGTCGGCCGAACTAAGCCTCAAATTAGAGGACCAATGTCCATTAATAAATGACAGACGTTGTTGCTGGATTTATCGCTGATATCGTCGGTGAGTTTGCGTACTCACACTTTTCAATGACAGTTTTCCATTCCGATAAGAACTGCGACACTGTTTTTTTTGGTCGAGAGTTTTCTCTAGCACTGGTCATACGAAGGAAATACCAAGCTGCCTCTTGGGGTTCAAACGCTTCCTCGATGAAGGCTCCAAGGATCGACCGATCTGGATGAGGCACATCCGCAATTGCAAGCAACGCTTCGTATTGAGATGATTGTTTATCTTGGAAGAACAGCGGAGACGCTGATCCGCGAATATTCCACGGAATAGCCATAGCAGAAGGTATTGGTGAAAATGTCAGGTTCCTCAAGAAAGTAGCGATCCAAGATCCCTCACAGCAAAGCTGACCGTTCGCCTTTGGTCGTGTTTGAGGACCGGTTATTTTCTTGGCCTGGCCTATGCTTTTTGAAGCGGGACGTCTCTTGCGCGTTGAGCGAGTAGAGAGTACAAGACGGTGCATCACAACGCCATGCAAGAAGCGGCAAAACTAACCGCAGCTGGCAACAATACCTTGAACTCCAGCCAATTATCTGGTATTTCCGCTTCACTCCGCCTCGTGCATTGATTGTTACACCATCCATAAATACATATAGACATATCTATGAAGTGCGTAGAGAGCATCGGCCTTTTGGTTCAACAACTCTGGAAGCTTACTTCATTAATGAAATCTTCGACACAGGCATGCACTGATGACAGCCCCGCACGAGAGCTAAGATCGTAGTAGCTGAGTGGCAGTCTTGGGGTTGGATACTTTGACCTATCCATCCATCGTCTCTCGCTTTAGAGACCAAATCTACGCAATAATGGGGTAAACTATGGGGCCGTGAGGATCATCCTGGCGTCAGACGGGAGTGTGAGGCCCAAACAAGGCCTGGACGCCAGATAGGTGTTATTAGTATGTAGCAGCGAGACCGAAGAGCTACGTTATTCACTGCACCGGCCTAGGTCCAGTCCCTTCTGTCACATCTTTCGTATAGGTAAGTAATACATGACTCCCGTAAAGTACATACCGGCATTTGAGATTGATCCACTAAACTAGTTTAAGCGTCCGTGGCAACTCCGCCGGCTACGATAACCTCTATTGGTTGGATCGCTAATTATACTACTTTGACTGTTCGCCAGACCCACCATTTGAACAGGGTGGTCCACTTTTGAGGTCGATGTTTTGCTCGGATATCTAATGGCTAATTGTAAGATATCCTTCGTTACGTATTAGGGTGGATTAAATGTGTATTGAATAGGTGGTACTCGTGGTTTCATGTGTTCAAGTAGTTAGAATGTGATCAACATGACTCTTACTACTACTATATTCCTGGAAGTAGTGTTATGTACAGCCAAGTGCGCTCCGTATAACGCGGCTCAGTCTCTCCACTGCCTCATTGAACCTCTCCTCCTTCTCCCAGGCAAAACACAGTCTAAGTTTATGTCCCAACTCATTCTCTGGTAAGTTATTCCCCGGTACAGCAAATAATTCTCCCTCTGCAACCACCAGGTTCTGTTCCTTTAGCGCTATCTGAGTTATCTCCTTGGCGTTCAGAGTAGTGGGGAGCTTAAGCCATATGAAGTAACCTCCAAGTACGGAGTAGGTGTCCGAGTTAGATACGAAGGTCACGCCGAGTGGAAGAAGGTGCTGTTTGATAGCCGCTGTGAGAGCACGAGCACGTCGAGAATACGCCGGCAGGAGCGTTTCGTGTATATGCCTGTCAAGAGAACCATTCTCTAACATATCGTTGATGAAGGTGGACATGAGCTGTGAAGGTGCACCACCAGAGTGTGACGAGCCCCTAAAATCTTCTGTTAAGACTGATGCATGGAAAGGAATCTCAAGGATAAAAGAACATACGCTGCAGAGAGGTCACGAATGAACTCTGGCGTTCCCTCCGCCCATCCAACCCGACACCCTGGCGCAACGATCTTACTAAAACTTCCATTACTGGTGCAGTTCCCGAACAGATCAGGTGGTCCCCCGTCTAGACATCTGTCCACGTCAATGATCCGCGGCAAACGGGTACTCTCACCACCTGCAGCGCCTTCTGGCTCCCAGTTCAAGAAATCATAAACATCATCGCTAATGATTAGAGCATCATACTTGCGCGCGAGGCGTACAAGAGCTTCGCGCCGTGACAGCGGCATCGTAATCCCGGACGGGTTAGAAAATGTTGGAACGCAATAGATGATATGTGTGTATGTCTTCCGGTAAGGGCGCTCTGGAGCCGCCACCTATCTGCCTGTCAGCCACCGTTCAATATGATAGCACCAGAAGTGGGGTCTATACAGGTTGATGATCTATGGCACTTTTCTGGAGGGCTTTCTCAAGAAAGTCCACGTCTAAGCCACATTCATCCTCGGGCACGGCTCTTAGCCGATTGTAGAAACCGGCGTCTTGGAAGATACCAAATACTAAATGGTAGATTGGTTCAACCATCCATACGTATCTTGTATGCATGGGATCAGTGAAAACCTGTAGGACACATGCCAGATTTTGGCTGGCACCTCCAGAGATACAGATACGCTCCGCACCCACTGTGCTCGAGAGGCTATAGTTTCTGCTCAGCCAGTCGGCAATATTCCGTCTAAGTTCGAAGTGCCCTTCATCTGGGCCGTATCCTAGCCCTTGCTCTGTTATGATGGGATTTGACAAAACAGACACTGCCGCATTTTGTAGTATTTGAATAGGGAACAAATCTGACGCAGGCCAGCCCCGGGATAAATTAAGGGGAGATTGTAACAACATTTTGGATTGTTGAAGAATTACTCACCGAGCGAATTTGGTGCAGGTCAAGTTGTCGTGGTTGGAGATGGGCCTGTAATATATGGCTTAGGGTAGAGTGGAGCCGGTATAACTGGATTGGGAAATGTATGCGTTCCGTCCAATCAGGCCCTAGTTTGTAATCGCGTTCCATAAGGACCGACATCCTCATCAAAGATATATAAGGCACGACTGCACGCTGCTTAAACTTGCGTCTTTTATCTTCTTGTAACCGACCTTCACCTGATATTTGTGACAGGACCATATCCATTGAATACATACACCATGGTTAAAATTGAGGAATTCGCTGTGGAGCGGGTGAGCACCCCCCCATTTATATGTAGGAGGCGGCATAGACTGACCTAGGAACAGTGGATGGACGACCATGAGAACGATGCCAAGTACAACCTCGCAGAGACTTGCTGTGCATCGATCTCACTCAACGATCTCATGTCCTTTTCTGGTCAGCAAACCAGCATCATAGACTACGCTCAGAAGCAAGTCTACGGCGCAATCCGTGGGTCAACGGCTTTGAGGTCTAACATTGCCAAACTGTACACCACGGAGTCTTCAGATAGCCTGTCTCCGGATAACGTCCTCGTCACAAATGGTGCCATTCAGGCCAATTTCCTAGCACTCTACACAAATGTGGGACCTGGGGATCATGTCATTTGCCACTACCCGACTTATCAACAACTGTATTCTGTTCCTGAAGGTTTTGGTGCCGAGGTTGATCTTTGGAGATCAAAGGAAGACGCTGGCTGGCAGCTAGATCTGGAAGAATTGAAATCACTGATCAGGCCGAACACTAAACTCATCATCATCAAGTGAGTGGCTGTTTGTCTATGTTGGTCGAATGATGTTCTAATGCGTGATGTAGTAATCCACAGAACCCCACTGGCGCTGTGCTCAACCGTGAGACACTGCAGGGAATCGTTGATATAGCACGGGAGCACAATATCATGATCCACAGTGATGAGGTGTATCGGCCCCTTTTCCATTCAGTCAACACCGGGGAGCACCCGCCTTCTATTCTCTCGCTGGGATATGACAAAGTGGTTGCCACAGGCTCAATGTCAAAGGCATTCAGCTTGGCGGGTATCCGTCTCGGATGGATTGTCTCTAGGAGCCCTGAGATCATTGAAGCATGCGCCTCTATCCGTCATTACACCATTATCTCTGTCGGACAGCTCGACGACAGCGTCGCAACTCTTGCTCTCAGCACGCCAACCATGCATAACTTACTTGAGCGCAACATTCAGTTAGCTAGGCAGAATCTTGCCGCACTGGATACTTTCATCAAAGAATTTGAGTGGGCTATTGAATGGACGCGGCCACAAGCGGGGACCACCGCGTTCATCAAATTCGTCAATCGAGAAGGAAAGCCGATTGACGACGTTGTACTCTGCCAACAACTGCAGAAGGAGATCGGTGTGATGTTCGTTCCTGGTAGCCAGTGTTTCGGGGGTGGAATTGACTTCAAAGGCTACGTTCGGATGGGTTATGTTCCAGAGCACCAGGTTATGGTAGATGGCCTCCAAGCTCTAAGAGAGTTCATGCGCAATGGATATGAGCAGTTGCCTGTTGCCACTGCATAAGGCTTGGGGAAGCCATAGACCAAATGCCGACGCACATGCTATCATAGAGCCCTGGTAATATTCCTCCTGTCCCTTAGAGTTTGTCATGCTAGAATCACAGCGAACTAAGTTAGAGACAATCTTTGAAGGTTAGTGTTAGAGCGGTTTCAGTCAATCTCAACGTGTCTCAAAATAAAACCAGCTGTATCCCCTGTTCCGCAAAGTAAATATCCCATGGCATAGAAGTACCAGACGACCAGAATATTCTCAACATATCTCTGGCTCTAGTGTAATTCCCCAATCCAAGACTTTGCATATTGGCCATGCGGTCTTGGATCAGATTACGTTCGCTCACAAAGCTAGTCTCACAGCCAGCACTAAACATTGGCCATAGGATAAGTATGTTGGCAGGAGAGAAGGGATCGATATTTGAAACAGCGTTGACGATGTTGGTGATATCTTCCTTGACTTGACTGTGGTCCCTTGGAAGTAATTGAACCCGGCGGTGAAGATGAAGCAGGGAGGCATGGACAAAGGCACGATGGGTGTGCTGTAAGTCAACCGTGAGCGCACTATTATGATTTTTCAACGTGGAATCTGAAACAGTCCTGTCTGTAATAGACTTGATCTTGGATTCCAGCTCCTGAGCCTCTTCCAACAGCTGCCATGGTATGATGAACTGTACGTCATATTTTGCTGCCGTACATAAATCTTGCCGGCCTGCCATCTGTCCCAGTAGAGCCAACATTGGTATAAGCTCCGGGGAGTAACCAGATATATCGTCCACGTAGCCAACCTGCGTGTCAGGAATTTTGCCCAGATACCAACACGGATCTCTATCGGTTGGGCTTGCACTGACTCCTGTCAAATTCGCCATAGTATCTAGTGTGGCAAACCATTTGACCAAGCACAAACCAAACGGATCAGCAACACTTGAAGCTACGGTATGGCTATCCAAGAAAGCAGCCAATAAACGGGTTGCTCCGGACAAGTGGGCCCGCCATATGTCCCGGTTTCCATTACAGATATCGTTCGTACATAAAGCGAGAGCCGTCATAGTTGTCTCTGCTTTTGGCATCTCCTCTGTCCTACTGAGGGCAGTACGTAGGCCGGAGACAGCAAAGTTGGTGAATTTCAGAGTCGTCGTCCTTGACCTCGCGCTGGCATCTCCCACCAAGCGGCCGTGATGACTACTCGCTGCTGCTAGGAGTGCATGAAGCAGGTGAGGTGTTTCCAGGGCGCGATTCACTAACTGACGTACGAAAATGCTGGGAGCAGCTGGAAAGAGCCGTGGAGCGGTCTCAGTAGCAAAGAGGTGGAGAAAGAATAGTGACTCCTTTGTTGATAGGAATGGAGATGGGTTGAGGTGAAGCTGGTGTGGGAGGATCGAAAATGATTCATCAATACATAATCTGACAGCAGGCCTCATAGGGCTGCAACGAGGCCGTTCTACTGAATCTTGGGACCTTGAACGGTGTGTCTCTCTGACAAAGTTTAGACCATATTTACACTCTTTCGGAAAGCGGATGCATCGTGAACAAACAGGTCTGCGCAAATCGCACTAGATAGAGGCTTAGAGAGTTGCACTTAAAGGGGGTATCGGAAGTATTACCTTGACCTTTTTTCTCCGACATTCCGAGCAGCCATCACGCCTTCGTTGTGGAGGTTTGGGGGCTTGGCCTTCGCGGGCGAGCGATTGCCGACTCGCTTCAAATATCACCATGTCTAAACTTCAATTGGAAGTTGCAGCGAAATACAAGACTGGTGTCGGTTGATTGAACCATCGGCATGTTCTTCGGAAGAGAGGAAACGCCATGCACGTGACTAACCAACACCAAGAGGGTTTCTACCCCACAGCAGCTGTTCTGTATTGTAAATACATATGGAGAGGTATCAATAAAGCATGTCCAACACCGTTTCCAGGATAGCTATGGATTGATACTTCTAAACGATCAGTGATACTAGACGGGTAAATACCGGATATTATGTATTCCAAGTGTCCTTCATGATTGGGTATATCGCATTCTTCACCAAATAGGGAAAAGTAGACTCGCGACAAGTATAAGTGGAGTATACGCAGAAAGCGTCTTCCTGTTTTATATAAAGCAGGATGCCTCTGCGCTATATCAGTATCTTATTCACCTCAGCAATAAAGAAACAGACGTTATCCACCATTTTCTACGAACACCCAAACCACCCGCCACAATGAAGTACACCCGCATGCCCATCGAGATCGAATCCCCCGAGGAGTACGGCTACGAAAAGATCAAGTACAATCTTTCCGAGAGTTCCATCGCCGACCAAACCCTTGGATCTCTGGGTCTCCAGATCCCCGATCTGAAGCTCCTGTACAGCGAGCACAAGGGCAGCACAGCGCTCCGCTCCCTCATCGTAAAAGACCACGATAACCTCACCCACGACGATGTGCTTATTACATCTGGCGCGGCGGGCGCTCTCTTTATCATTTCGAGCTCCCAGCTTGCACCGACTGACCACCTCGTTGTTGTTCGTCCGAACTACGCTACAAATCTCGAGACCCCGCGTGCGATTGGGTGTGAGATTACGTTCATTGATTTGTTCTTTGAATCGGAGTTTCAGATCGATCTTACCGCAGTTGAGGCTGCTGTTAAGCCAAATACCAAAGTCCTTAGTATCACGACACCGCATAACCCCACTGGTACTATCGTGGACCGCAACACATTGGACAAACTCGTCTCCTTGACCAAAGAGAGAGGAATCATCTTGCTAGTCGACGAAACCTACGCCGACATCTCGTACCAAGGCCGCCTCCCTATTGCTGCATCTCTAGGTGACCATGTCATCAGCGTTTCTTCCCTATCTAAATCCTACGGGATCCCCGGTATCCGACTGGGGTGGATTATCAACAAGAACCCCAAGCTGCAGGAAACGTTCTTAGCCGCCAAAGAACAGATCAGTATCAGCGGCAGTGTGATCGACGAGTGGATCGCCGAACAGGTTCTCTCCCACAAGGACAAGATCTTGAGTACGACCACTACGGAAATGGATCAGCGTCGCGAGATTGTGGCGGGCTGGATCAAGAAGGAGGGAGAGTTGGTTGAATGGGTGAGACCGGAGGGGGGTGTTGTTTGCTTCCCTCGTCTGAAGAAAGAGCCTGCGGGTGGTATGGATGGCTTTTATCATCGGTTGTTACATGAATATGGGACCTATGTTGGGCCTGGGCATTGGTTTGAGCAGCCGGATAGTTTTATGCGTATTGGGTATGGATGGCCGAGTGTGGAGGAGCTTAAGGGTGGGCTTGAGGCTATTTCTTTGGCACTTCGTGAAGAGTTTTAGGTCTATCTATAGCTGGCGATCACCTTTTAGAGGTAACCGGTTCTAAACAGGGTGGTGTTTAGCTTGCTAGTGCGAGAAGTAGTATTGCTATAGTTGACTGACAATCGGCATGCTCATCGGGAGAGAAACCGTTCTGTATTGTAATTATAGGTGGAGAAGTATCGACAACCCCATGGAGAAGCCATATATGAGGTTAGGGTTGGTACTGTACAATACGTTCAGCGGATGCTTTGTAATGTAAGGGATCTGTGATAAATTCTCAGTCAGATAGTAGGCGTAATGATTAATATTGTGCTATCTAGTAGCTACACAACGAGCGAGTAACTAGAACATAGTATAGTGCAAAGGACGACCAATATTGCGTTTGCGGGTCTTTCCTAGACCAATATCTCAGAACCAAGTAACAGTGATTCTGGATACTGGTTCGAATCCCCAGCTTGCTTCACAGCTCCGAAGGTTCTACCAATTAGCCTTTTCCAGGCCCTTTCAAACTTAAGCTGTATTGATCTGCCAACTCTTGCCAGGTGATCTGCCTGGGTACTGGATAACATGACGTCTAAATCAGTTAGGGTCGCTATCATTCCCCAGCCTCGAAATGTTGCTTACCAGCTGCACTTGGGAAAGAGGCCAACCATCGCCATCGGAATTGAAATAGACAATCTGGCCGGTATGTCTCACTCTGAGCATTACAGATACATCTGCTTCGCATTCTAAACAATACTCAAAGGCTTTGCGAAACAGGGTGGTCATCCGTCGGTTCCGCTGTTGACATTTGGATTTGGCACTGTCTGATCGCCGACGCTGGATGGGTCTCTTTTTTGTCGCCATTTGTACAACTATAATCGCAAAGCAGCTGATTTGGATGGTAAGGAGATTTTGAATTCTCACTGACGAGGTGGGTGTTGAGACTCTTCTTATACAGTTATACTCCTGGGAAACAAAGGAATTAAGAGAACAAAGAGATTAGGCGCTAGACCGAAGTAAAGGAGTCAGGGAAGTAAACCTATATATATATATATATGCAGCTGTTACAAATATAGAAAATTCGATGGATTTATCAAGTACAGTATAGATCTCCCTGGCAAAATCGGAGTCCTTTAGTATATATGAAATATACATTTATTATATCTCGCGATCAAGAGGTGAAGAGCGATGATGAAATGTAGCAGCCCGTCGTAATTCATGCAACATATGACCCAATCTACGGAAGATCCTGAATTCTTGCAGCCCGCTGTATATATAGCTCCAATCCCTGCCGATATCATTACTAATTAGAAATCAAGAGTTGACAATCAAGATCGATAAGATAGCTAAATATAGAGCAGCCTCCTGTATCGATAAGGGTTCTGTGGTCACACGTGTGATCTATATTCTTCTTGTGCGCGCCTATAAGAGTAATATAATCATCAAGCTATGATTACCCACTTTTATGCGATTTCTTCAACGCTCTATACCATCTTAACTCGTGAGTCGTAACATATTGTCATCGTCGGCATTGGAGATTGCCAAAAAACCACAGCGGTTGACACACTTTACGAGACGAGTAAGGCGTTAGGGTTCTCTACGGTTTATAATCTTCATCGAGCTCTAACTGACACGCCACGACAAGGGCTGGTAGTTCATTAGAAAGAGATACGAGACAAATCGATTCCTATGATGTGTTCTGCCTCGACCGGTGTGGATATATCTGCGACTTTCAAAGTTATAGAACATAAATTCCTTGGTCAGCATATCCGCGAGTATCCTAGAGCTACGACTACCAGTCAAGAGGACCCGCTTTCGATCATAGCGAAGCAATACGTGCCGTGGGATAACCTCGACCCATCCCCGGGAGCTATAAGTATCATTTCCGCTCATGCCAATGGAATACCGAAGGTATCTTTAGAGTACCAAAACGGGGTCAAAAGGATATGTCTGACAAGTGTTTCCAGGAGGTCTACGAACCGTTATGGGTGGAGATCTACCAAGCAGCCAAGAAAATGGGATTGCAGCTACGGGGGATATGGATAGCAGATGCCGCCCATCAGGGTGCAAGCGGGATCCTCAATGAAGAAAAGCTAGGGAACGACCGTACGTATGATTCTTTCTTGCTTATCCTTCGAGGCATTGGCCGCTTGAACCCTAACCATGCTTGTACGAGAAGCTTCCGCGTTCGACCACAGTCGCGATCTTATTCTGATGATCAACCAACTGCGAGACAAGCTCCCACGGCCTATATTCGGTATAGGACACAGCATGGGTGCAACCCAGTTGATGAACATATCCCTCATGCACCCCAGGATCTTCCAAGGCCTTTGCTTGGTGGAACCAATTGTGTTCCCTTACTCCGCGAAAGACCAAGGCAGATATCCCCCAGCGCAAGCATCCATGCGTCGCAGAGAGAGCTTCGACAGTCTAGACGCGGCAAGATCGCAGTTTCGAAACAGCTCTACATTTCAAAAATGGGACTCACGAGCATTTGACAAATGGATTAAATACGGACTCCGTCGTGCTCCTGGGGATCGCACAGGGAGAGTCATATTAACAACGACGAAGAGCCAAGAACTATTTACCTTTGTTCGACCAACCTTTATTTCAAAGTCCCCGGCAGACCGACGCCTGGCTTTCCCAGATTTATCCTTAGAAGCGCCTTCTGATGTCCTCTTTTACCGCCCGGAACCGGTGATTACATTCCACAACCTTCCACATTTGCGGCCATCAGCACTATATATCTTCGGCGGTCTCTCGCAGTTTATAAGCCGTCAACTGCGGGACTCTATTGCACACAGAACTGGAGTTGGCATCGGTGGAAGTGGGGGGTCAACAAAAGGCCAAGTCAAGCATATCGTTGTGCGGGATACTGGGCACTTTGGACCGATGGAGGATCCTAGGACTTTGGCCGAAAAGACTGTCGACTGGCTCAAGGCAGAAGTTGAGCAATGGGCATTTTTGGAACAATCAAGTCTTCTGAACTCGAACAGTCAGGTTAGTCAGGAGTTTCTGAGCTCCTTGGCAGTCAGCCACCAGGCAGGCGAGCAAGAATGTCGCCATCACAAGCTGTGACGAAAGAACGGTGAGAATGAGTTTCGCCTGTCCATTGCCACATAAATAGAAGCTCTTTCCGCTATTTCCACGGTAGCACTAAACACAGTCCCCATTTGTACTACACGCTGAGGTCGGAGACTGTTCGAATATAATCAGTCTGTCTTTGACCCTCAACTAAATCTTGGGGCTGTCTCCTGCTTGGTGATGGAGGCATTCCTCTGGTGTTGTACCAACGTTCAGCAGCCAACGATTCGACGCTGAAAATTGGAGGCAGTTGCAGAGAGTGCTTCAGTGCTGTCATTATGTCTTCTATTCTCGCGGTGTATTCGATGAGTATATTATAGAACTAGTGATATGCATAGTAATATGGCACTTTGAGAGAACAGACAAAAATTAAAGCAGACTAGAAATACCTCAACCCAAAGTCAACACCACCGGCCCTGGCGGTCGTGCTTGTATGTTGAGGGCCATAAATCTCATGACAACTGTGATACAGGCTCTATAGGGTGGCTGACTGGCAAAGTTTATTTTTCTCGTTATTCTTTTTGTGCAAGCCCAGCCAAAGGGTCCTACCATCAAAGGCGTTCCTGGGTCGTTCCTTGATATTTTCTGCTGTGGTGTATGTGACCTGTCCCATAAAACAAATGAGGGGAGCTGAAGGATTTAATGCTGAGCTATACAGATCGCAACAAAATTTGCTTTCATATCGGGGCGGAGCGCACATCAGTTCCATGCGCTACATGAGTCTTATGGTAAGAGACATGGATGTCCCCGGCTTCGACTCCATGCTAATTGCCGTACAGGTAAAATTGCTCGATTTGCCCCCGGCCAAGCGACGACAAACACGATCAAAGCTTTGCGTAATATTTACGGGTCGGGTACTGGCAAGGGCTCCGCGTTTCTTAAAACTGGCTTCTACAAGAGTATCTCACGGCGCAATATCTTCACTGCCTCTGACCCGAGCTATCATTCGTCTGTCCGTAAGCTCTTCGGTCCCTCAATGACACCAGGGAGTATGGAAGCACATGCTGGGGTGATTCGTGAATGTACCCTGCGACTTCACGACGTGATTAACTCCAAGTTGGGAAGTGCTACCACTCTTTCTCTCAATGAGCTGCTTTATTGTCACTCCGTCGATACAGTTTCCGAAGTCCTCCTTGGGAAGCCACTCGGCTGCTTGAAGCGAGGCAAGCCCTACTTTTGGACTGCGCAGTTGCCTCGCATCTTTTACTGGGCCACCATCAGAGATCAATTTGATGGATCAGGAGTCCCAACGGTGATGAAATGGCTTCTGCGCCGTTTCCTACGGAAAGGCGTTCGTCTTCGCAGCGAGGAGGCCCGCATGCGACTCATCCATGAGTAAGTCTTCCCCACACTACCATCCTGTTGCCGGATGTCTTACACTACGATAGACAATTAAAAGCGCCCCACACCCGTCGGGATATAATGGTCGAAGTAATGGAGAGGGCGGAGACCAGTGGCTTGCCGGAGTCTGAGATTGCGGAAAATTTCTCAGCCATCATGTTGGCAGGATTCCACACCACACAAAACGCCTTGTGTGCCGTTATCTTTTTCGTCCTGACCCACCCTGAAGCCCACGCCAAGTTGGTCCGTGAGCTGCAGAGCGTCTTCCATTCGGCAGAAGACATTTCAGGAGACATTGTTCAACAGCTGCCGTACCTCAATGCCGTCATTACGGAGGCTTTGAGACTCTACCCTCCTGTGCCACTAGGGGGACCGCGAGTTTCACCTGGAGCCCATGTTGATGGGGTCTACATCCCGGCCGGGGTAAGTTTTCTGACAGATCGCTGTATGATGTGGACCTGACTAACGCTCGACGGGATTTAATTTATCACAGACGGAGATCTGCACATCACTGTTCGCGCTACATCACAACCCCGAATATTTCAACGAACCTTACGAGTTTATTCCCGAGCGATGGACAGAGCCCGGATCCATGGACAAAAAGGACGCTGTCCAGCCGTTCCTGGTGGGTAGCCGGGCCTGCATCGCAAAGTACTTTGCCAAGCAGATGATGCAAATAACCCTAGCGGGTTTCTTCTTGGATTATGAAGCTGAATATGTGGGAATGGTCAAGGACTGGCAGCGAGAGAGTCGCTGCTATGCTTTTTGGGAAGTACCGGACCTGAAGGTGAAACTTCGTCAACGACGGCAGGCCTAAGTTTCGAATGTTTCTCCCTGTTTCTCCCTATATATTTCTTTCTTGGATTTATCATATTTCACTCATATATCCTCACTCTATTATACCTACTTTGGCTCTTCTGCTATGTTTGACATGGGTCCCAGACTCGTACCTGATGTTTTGATGTAAAATCAAATATATTGTAGCAGTGGTAGAGACCGTCCGTTAGGGCAGTTCGCAGTCCCATGATTCGCTGTACTCACTTCCATACATCGTCCAATTGCCCGAAACACGGCCCTTTCTCTCACTGATAAGATTAAATTGTGATTGATGTTTCTAGCAAGTTTAATTGGAAAAGCTTAATGGGGACTAAGTCAAACGCCCAATATTTTAGACCTCGGACGGCAAGCCTGAACGTTATCTTTTTACCGAACCCAAATTTGAGACTTTGGCTGTTGAGCTTCCCAACACACCAAAACGGTCTCAAGGTCCGGAACTAATGTGTTATCTAGGCTAAAACGACTTTGCTTGTTTACTCTGGAATTGAGTTCATTTCTGTAATTAGCAAACAGGTTATACTACCGGTTCCTGCCGATCATAACATCAATGTCCGACGTTTCTACCGAGGGTGATCTGTGCATCCTCTGAAACATGGGATCGCATGATGGCACATCATACCGAATAATGAGCTCCACATGGCTCATGGAAGTTACTCGTAGGGCGATGAAACGCCGGACGCTCCACGTGCCAATTTCCATACCTAAATTCAGGCTTTCCAACAAGAAAGTTGGTGACATGTCTTACCTGTACGAGAATCTGAGATGTTGGCCATGGCAATGGAGGAAGATCGCAATCTATCTGATGAACCCAAGATTAGGGAACTGCTCACCCGAGGATACCCCGTCGCTTGCTATCATGTATCGGGACTCGATCATCTCCATTCAGGGCTCACCCGGGGGATTCTGTGATGAGGTAGCGCGACAGACAATGTCAGGAATTGCGCTCTGACCCTAGACCCCTTACTACCCCAACTCAGGAAAACATTTTCAAGATTGATCAGCGATCGGCAATAGTAGTACGGTGATTAAAAAGTACCTACGAAAGTGGGAGACGCGGGGAGGGTTGCAAAAACCCTAGAGGCTGCTCCATTACCATAAGGTTTCTTGACACGCTCACAAAGCAGCCGTGTAACGGTCACTTGCGCTAGTAGTACATTTGATGTTGGATACTGGGAAATGGCCGCCTGTCATTCCATCAAATGTGAAGACTGGGAGCCATTTGCACCATGAAATCTGACCAGGATATACTGATGAAGCCTCTCCCAAAGGTGGAGTCCATTCACTCGTTTCGTTGTCAGAACATCATCGCTGACTCATTGATCCAAGCAGTCTCCTGGGACAGGCAGTACGACTACTGATCTCTCTGTCTCGCATGCTGAAGAGGTCCTTGATAGACAGCTCCATACGCCCGTGTCACAAATCGGTTTCTTCGGTATCTATCGTTATGCGACTGGATGGGATGTCGCCATTCTCTTCGGCAGTGCACTTGCTGCGATCGCAGGTGGTGCAGCACTACCTCTATTCACAGTAAGTAATGCCTTGATTTGAAGTGATTGCCGGCTCTTAATCACAAAGGTTAATCGACTATGTTAGGTCCTGTTCGGCAGGTTGACGTCGACTTTTCAGGACGTCGCTACCCATCGAATTACCTACGATCACTTCCATCATGAGCTGACCAAAAATGTGATCTACTTCATATATCTTGGTGCTGCTGAGTTTGTCGTGATCTATCTAGCGACCGTGGGCTTCATCTATACGGGCGACCATGTCGTGCAGCAAATTCGTGTGAAATATTTCCAAGCTATCCTAAGACAAAATATTGCCTTCTTCGACACTCTTGGTGCCGGGGAGGTCACAACAAGAATCACCGCCGATACGAATTTGATTCAAGATGGTATTTCTGAAAAGGTCGGCCTGGCCTTGACCGGGCTTTCGACGTTCGTTACGGCGTTCATCATCGCCTATGTAAAGAACTGGAAGCTGGCGTTAATCTGTAGTGCCAGCCTACTCGCATTGCTTTTGACCATGGGCGGTTGCTCTACCCTCATGCTCATCTTCAACAAGAAGGCATTGGCATGTCAGGGTCGTGGCGCCAGCATGGCGGAGGACATCCTCGACTCCATTCGGACCGTCGCAGCGTTCAATGCCCAGGAAACACTGGCACGGAAATACGAATCGCACCTCAAGGATGCCGAAGGACCCGGAATGAAATCAAAAGTGATCTTCGCCATCATGGTTGGGGCATTACTATGCATCATGTATCTCAATTATGGGCTTGGGTTCTGGATGGGGTCTCGCTTCCTCGTCGAAGGAATCAGTAACATCAAAGCCGGAGATGTGCTGACCATCATGATGGCCATCATCCTAGGTTCCTACAATCTAGGGAATGTGGCCCCCAATGGACAAGCGCTGTCGAATGCTGTGGCGGCGGCATCGAAGCTGTATAGCACCATTGATCGTCAATCCCCCTTAGACGCGCTGTCCGACCAGGGCAAGACGCTGGAGTTTGTCCGAGGGAATATTGTACTCCAGAACATCCGACACGTTTATCCCTCGCGGCCCGAGGTCACTGTTGCCCATGACCTGAGTTGTTATATTCCCGCCGGTAAGACGACTGCCTTCGTGGGTCCGTCGGGGTCCGGCAAAAGTACCATCATTAGCTTGCTTGAGCGGTTTTATGACCCGGTCGCGGGGACTATCATGCTTGACGGCCATGATATTCAGACATTGAACCTCCGATGGCTGCGACAGCAAATGTCGCTTGTCTCGCAGGAACCGAGACTATTTGCCACCACAATCGCGGAAAATATTCGTTATGGGATTATTGGTTCTCGGTTCGAAAAGGAATCGACGTATGAGATTCGAAAGCGAGTGGAAGCAGCAGCTCGAATGGCAAATGCGCACGACTTTATCATGGCGCTTCCAAATGGCTATGATACAAATATCGAGAGCTTCTCACTCTCTGGGGGGCAGAAGCAGCGTATCGCTATTGCCAGAGCCATTATAAAGGACCCTAAGATCCTGCTCTTAGACGAAGCAACATCCGCCTTGGACACGAAATCCGAAAAGCTCGTTCAGGCGGCGCTTGACAAGGCATCTAAGGGTAGAACGACCATTGTCATCGCTCACCGGCTGTCTACAATCCAGGAGGCATACAACATCATTGTTCTTGCCAACGGTCAGATTGTTGAGCAAGGGCCGCATGAGCATTTGATGGATCGGCGGGGGATTTATTATGACATGGTGGAAGCGCAGCAGATCAAGAAGCGATGCTCGAGATACTCTAAGAGATATTCCCAGTTATTGACGAGTTTACCTCCTAAACATAACCCAATGACATTCCTCTTCGACAAGGATTACCCAGGCGATGACCAGTCCGACTTTCACAGCGTGCTCAGTGATGATGCATCCGATATTGGATTGCATACTGGGGAGAAACAGCGACCAGTGTCGAGGATGTCACTATCTCATCTCATGCAGCCGGCCAAGGAAGAGGCTTATTCTTTCTGGACTTTGTTCAAATTTCTTGCCTCGTTTAACCGGCCTGAGTGGCCATTTTTATTCCTAGGTCTCTGCGCATCCATCTTGGCCGGAGGGATTCAACCATCGCAGGCTGTGCTGTTTGCGAAAGCTGTCAGCACCCTCAGCTTGCCTCCCTTTGAATATCCGAAGCTACGGCACGATGCCAACTTCTGGTGCCTCATGTTTCTCATGATTGGCATTGTATCGCTTGTTTTGTATAGCGTGCAAGGAACATTATTTGCCTATAGTTCCGAAAAGATGGTTTACCGGGCCCGCAGTCGAGCATTCCGTGTGATGCTGCACCAGGATATCTCTTTCTTCGATCGGCAGGAAAATACGACAGGCGCATTAACAGCCACGTTGAGTGCGGGGACCAAAGAACTCACTGGCATTAGCGGCGTCACATTGGGAACCATCTTAATTGTCTCTGTCAATCTTGTCGCTTCGTTGGGGGTGGCCCTTGTAATAGGCTGGAAGTTGGCATTGGTGTGCATCTCCGCGGTTCCAGCCCTGCTGATGTGTGGATTTGTTCGTGTTTGGATGTTGGAGCGGTTCCAACGAAGGGCAAAGAAAGCATACCAAGAATCCGCTAGTTCTGCCTGTGAGGCAGCCTCTGCCATTCGTACGGTCGTTTCCCTAACCATGGAGACGGAGGCTTTGCAATCCTATCAAGCACAGCTCCGTCGGCAGCTCAAGGGCGATATACTCCCCATTGTTAAATCATCCTTACTCTATGCCAGCTCGCAGGCGTTGCCTTTCTTCTGCATGGCGTTGGGATTCTGGTATGGCGGGTCTCTACTTGGTCATGGGGAGTATTCTCTGTTTCAATTCTACGTGTGCTTCAGCGAAGTGATCTTTGGGGCCCAAGCCGCTGGAACGGTTTTCTCTCATGCCCCGGACATGGGAAAGGCGAAGCACGCTGCGCGTGAGTTTAAACGGCTGTTCAGCGGCGCTACAATGCATGCTACGCGTGGCAAAGGGATTCCAATTACATCCATGCGAGGGCTGGTTGAGTTCCGCGATGTCTCTTTTCGATATCCCAGTCGCTTGGAACAACCAATTCTTCGCCACTTGAATTTGACCATCAAGCCAGGTCAATTTGTCGCACTAGTGGGCGCGAGTGGAAGTGGCAAGAGCACTGCCATTGCGTTGCTGGAGAGATTCTACGACCCTCTCAAAGGTGGCGTCTACGTAGATGGAAAGAATATCATCACGCTAGAGATGACTTCGTATCGCAGTCACTTGGCTCTCATTAGTCAAGAGCCTACTTTGTTCCAAGGGACCATCCGAGAGAATATCCTCCTAGGAAGCAACACACCTGATGTCGCAGACGATCTCCTCATTAAAGCCTGCAAGGATGCAAACATATATGACTTCATATTGTCATTGCCGTAAGCTATTCCTCACCATTCCTTGTGGTACAGAGTTGGGGGTATATACTAACGGTTTCCAGGCAAGGCTTCAGCACCATTGTCGGCAATAAAGGAGGTATGCTCTCTGGTGGACAAAAACAGCGTATTGCCATCGCTCGGGCTCTTATTCGGAATCCGACGATCCTCCTGTTAGACGAGGCTACATCCGCACTAGATTCCGAGTCGGAAAAAGTCGTCCAGGCAGCATTAGATGCCGCCGCGCGGGGACGCACAACAATCGCAGTTGCTCACCGGCTGAGCACCATCCAGCGAGCAGACTTGATATATGTCCTAGATCAAGGAGAGGTCGTTGAATCAGGTACGCACCGGGAACTTCTCCGGAAGAAGGGATACTACTACGAACTCGTCCATCTACAGAATCCGGATGCCCCGGGTACGAAGTAGGGAGATTGTGACTTTTACGCTGTATGTAAAGACAGGATTCCATATTGTTATTCATTCTTACTGATCTATTTTGGCGGCGTCTAGGAGCTCAACCTTTTGCCTTTCTCATTTGTTCTTATGAAATGTGGTTGGTTTTCTTTGATCGATAGCAACCAGGTATTGCTAGGCTTTGTATCAGTATCATTATCGGCTGTCACTGTCACCTTTTATAGGATAATGACTTAATCTGAATTGTACATTCCCTATATAGTGCAATGCATTAGTGCTTTAAACGACTATGGTTCAAAATCCTGAGTGTCTCTGTCCAGCTTCCCGTGCGATACAACACTTCGTGTCTTTAGATCAAGAGCCTTTCTAGGCAGCCATTTCGTGCTTCATATCTTGTACCATCATTGGATATTATTCATAAAATGTGGTGTAATATATGAATTTCATTGTCAGGTTACATGGAGTCAGTCTCCGCACTTACAATGCAGACTTCAAAGAGTCCTTTCCTTTGCCATTCGTCTCAATGCCCGGATAGTTCCTTGCACGGAGGATATGGCAATACTCATATGTTCATCTTTAGTCTTTTGTGCCTCACTCGTCCCGGGCTCGATATCAGCCAATTTCCATTCGTAGGTAAAAGTAAGGTAGAGGTTCTGGTCATGTCCGATCGATACGATATTTTCCACTGCTGACCCTCCGGGGAGTGTGAAATAAGTCTGCTAATTGATTAGATCATGACAGATTATTAATGGAACGGATTCTGAGCACTTCGGCCCCGTACCCTGACAGGCGCATGTAGTTGGCATTCTTCTCTGGTCCATTTCCCTGCCATAGGGGACTCGTGAAGGTTGGCCGCAACATGAGCCTCTCTTACGATGTAGGTCCCATCATCCCGTTCCTCGAGAATTCGGGAATCGTCCAAAGATGGGATAAAATCTTGTGGGCGTCGGGCTTTCAGTTTCAATCCGTTCCAGACTTGCTCCTGGGTAAGGACTGGTATGGAGGGATCGGAGTTATTGTTCACTGGCTCCGTGTAGGCGATATTGAGGGTGAGCATTGTCGGTGTTCGGGTTGCATATAAACTCCCAAGGAGTTAGAAAGAGAGTACAAGACTGAAACTAGATCAACATGCAAACATTAGTACTATTTATCACTTCTACAGGTTACGAACGGAGGCTGCAGCAACTCGGCCTCCGACAACAGCCGAATACCGAGTGGGTGGAGAGTTTTTAATGGACATGAGTCAAGGAGCTGCTTTTTCTGCTTGCTTTAATAACTCTGGATTGGTTGCCGAGGTAAGAAAATATGTAACTTCCATTAACTAGTTGAGCTATACTGACAATTATATCACAAGTTGCCCCGTAATGGGCAAGGGGGCGACTTTGTCCCACATACACCATGGACCGTGCCTCTTCTTCTAAAGCCATTCGGATGTCCCCGGAAATATTATCCAGGCATCGTGTTCTCCAGCCATGAGGTCTGCAAACGGCAAAGATTGTGCTGTCGATCCTTGGGCACCCAAGCAACTTACCATTAATTGTTGGATTAAGCTACCGTTCAAAAGAACCCTTTTTAAGTATTATCGTCATGTATGTCATAGGTACGTGCCCGCCAACCCTCTTTTGCTTGGCTTGTCTGTTATTAAACTTCAAGCCCTTCGTGGCTGCTGCACTGAGCACTCTCTCAGTATCAATTGTTCAACTACGTGGCTAATAACGACACGATGAGATAATGGAATGACTAGGCACTGCTATTCTCTTCATACTTGCTTCTATCGGCCATGCCTTGGCCATAAGGCTTGGCCACCTACCACGAATGAGTCCGATTGCATTTATTCCTGTCCTGGTTGTCTTCAAATTGATGGGATGGTGGTAAGCAACAAAAGCCAGAGTGCTGCTCAGAATATTCTAGAGTTTGAATCAGCATGTAGACTTTTGTATTCCTTGATACCTCTGTAGTGCAGAAGCGTGTTATTCAGGACAGAGGCGATAGTAAGCCTTGTCCCCATATGATACAGTCCACGGAAATATACTGCGCATTGAATGGTGAAGAATAGGCGATCAGACCGCCAGTGATGACATTGCCACTTCTGTTCATGGGCTTCTTATCAAGCATCTTTTGAAATGATCTGATGGTGACGTGGGGACGGTTGACCCATCAGCTCAACCATGGTTAAGACCGCTCTTGTTGGGGAAACCACCATTGGTTCGTGTAGATCCACTACTATGATTCCTAGATGATAGAAAACAGTTATATACCGCCTATGGTACGGTAAATATAAGTTCAAAGGAAACAATCCAACTTAAATGTTTTTGGCTACACTCTCTATCTTCACAATGGCAGGTTCTACCGCTATCACACCAATCCGAACCGGCACTACTCAGTATAATCAAGACTGCATGCTTCATCCTACACTCCTCCAAAACCCCCTTGAGGGCAGGAACGCCCATAATTGGATACAAACGTTGCCAGCTTTAAGTTTAGGCAAGAAACCAGTGAGACAAATCGTCGATCTTCGCCAGCAGGACAGGAAGACTTGCGGAAACTCGTACCGTGGCGGACATATACCTTCCTGCGAGTTTAAATCCAATGAGTCCCTACGGTCAAAACGCGACATTGAAATCAAGCGAAATTTCGAGCGCTGGGTGCGCCAGCAAGCAGAATGGCATTCCGACGCGCACGCCACATCTCATCGATCAATAAGCTCTTCTATTACAAATAGTATTCCGAGTCCAGACGAGAGAACCAATAAGGCCATCCCGTTGTCCACAGTGTGTCTACCTGAACCATTTCCGCAGCGATTACCACGGCGTTATGAGGTCGCCGATCCCATGGTGATAGTTCAGTTGATCTCAAATACGCTCGGAAGGCTCACATTCTTCAATGATATGACATGCCGCACCAGGTTTGCTGTTACACGTTTTCACTCGAATAGGGCACCCCAGATTTCTGCCTGTGAGTACCTTAGACGCTTAACGCATCGGCTGTGTCTCTCGTCTCCAATATTAGTGATGATGGTTATCTATATAAGACAACTCTGCAAAACACACCCGTCATTCGATGTATCGAGCCTTACAGCGCATAGGCTTCTTCTTAGCTGTGCCTTAGTAGCCAGCAAGAGTGTAAGTGACTTTGCCTGGTCCAACCCGTCGTTTGCTTCCGCGGGTGGTATTTCTGCGGCAGAGATGGCAATTTTAGAGTTGGAGCTACTGAAATATTTGGAATGGGGTGTTGCGCCACATCAGGAACAGCTATCAGAGTGTTATCTTGATCTTGTCCTGGGGAGTAATGGATACTTCGCAGAGCATGGGACGAGCCCAGCTGGACCTCACACTGTCTAATTTGAACGTGGTTGTATATAAAGAGAATGAGGCAAATCTCCTTACTCACGTCAGCAAGGTAGCTGGCTGTTAGCGAACTCCTTGCGCTTTAGGTAGGTCTCTCTATTCAAGAGAGTAGTAACATGCTATCTCCGACATTGTGGGTAGTAGATTGCCCATTCCGGCAAGCAGAAGCATTCCGATCTATGGCAGGTACAATTACACAGAGCTTCTCAGACAAACAGAAAATACATCAGGCCCCGTCTCCGTGCCATTTTATGGATGCATGACTTCGACCGAAGGTCAGTTATGCACCGGCGGATTGTAACAAGAATGGTACATGTAAGTCCTTCTGCCAAATATGTGGTGATGACCAACCACTCATGTTTTACAACTATTCAGCTTCCCCTACATAAAGGGATCAAGACAGAATGATACTAGCTGTAACTCCTGTACTATCAAGAAACTACTCCCTGTTTTTGCCTACGTTTAGCTCTCTATTCAAGTTAGTGCATGATCAGTATGCAAGGTCATCGGGGTCTCCAAGCAATCAGAGCTACGATAGTTGAGCCCAGACAGCAGACGGAGAACCCCAGTTAGCTTATACACGGAAGCTATGTATGGTTAATTTGCTTGACATTCTTTCTATAGGTTCTCTAAGGCTCCTTACTTTGATCTCCATGCACGGTTTGTTTTGACAGGAGACTGACTCAGGGTAACATGACACCTTGGCCCGCTGCTGTTAAGTTGAACTGGGAAAAGAAAGTTCTACGTTCCTGTCCTTCGTCTGCCTCGCCTCCTGTCATGTCGAGTGCTGAACTAAAGTATGTACCTTTACGGGCTGTCCGCGTAAGCGAGCCAGCGAATGAGCTATTAAATGGGTACTACTTCCGTGTGAGGAAAGCTAAGCAGCAAGGGGGAGTTAAAGACCCAAACCGTCTTCCCATCAGTCGATCAATATATAAGCGAAAAAGCTTCGTTCTTTAATAGCCAAGCAAGTGCTAAACTAAGATAGGAGATCCAGTTGGTCACAGTTCACGCATGACCCGCACAAACAGGAGAAGCGACAGAGGATCCCCGAGCCCGGAGAATACGTGCACGTTTCCAAGAACATGCCCACTTCTGAAGCTTTGGGTGTACAGCAAACACCGGATCAATGCAGGAGCAGCAACTGCTGGTATTTCGGGCTATTTGGGCCTCCTCTCCCCATGTCAAAAGGGACTCGGCCACGGGTCGTTATATCATCCCTTGCTTGGCTGAGGGACCAAAGCGTCGGAATGCACAACAATATTATGACCTGAATACCTTTGAAGTAGGCCAGGGAAAATATGCAGATATTTTCTATTATTTATACCAAAGTTCTCTCAATGCGTGTAGGCAAATCTTCGGCGACCATTTTCCTCTGCCTTGAGATGAAACCTAGCGTCACATTTGGCAGCGCCGTTAACCACACATGGCGAAAGTCCTGCGCCTAGCATCACCATTCAAAACGCCAATTAAGGCGAAGAAGGGTGTAGACAATGTCAATGCTGTAGACGAAGTCCCAGACTCTGCAGCTTCGGTACGTGGCTCATTTTCATAGCTCATCACCATTAATCCCTGTGTCAACTCAAAATACTACACCAAAGGTTCGATCTTGACCCTCGTCTAACCTGGTTGACTCTTGAAGAGTAGCGTTACAGAGATGAGAGATGTCTCAAGTTCCTCCAAGCGGCCGCCATCCGGTATCTCCGCAATTCGACCCATGAGACCAGAAGATAAATTTCGCACTCCCGAGCGCCAGTGTCAGACCTTCTATGCGCAAGAAAAGCCAGAAATGTCGGGAGCAAGATGTGGAGATTTCCGGGACCCTGAGCCAATCTGCCGGACAGCTCATTCAGAAGAGACATCTCCATTAGTTCGCAAAGCCCTGAGACAGCGTACTCCCCTTGATCGCGGGCTCATTTCCAAAGTTAAGAGAAAGCTCCAATTTGCGGTTGGCCCAAGCAGTAAGAAACGATTCCTGGCATCCAAAAAGGCAGGGAGGCGTAAGTCGTCTGTAACAAAGACCACGAATTGGTGGAACGTGTGAACTGGCATGTCTGGCTCTTGATTGTACTTTATAGCATCCGAACCTCTACGAATAGTTTAATGTTGCAGTGATACCCACTAAGTCTGGAAGCTTCTATTCCTAGAACGTGTATGTCCCGAGTGCTGGAGAGGTATATTCTTATTTTTCATCCCCGTCATATATGAGGACGATTTCCTTTACGTACCGCGTTGCTGGCCTGAATAACTACCAAAGCTTCTCCCGGCTCGTGGCTTGAAATCAACCTGCAAATGAAACAGAGAAGCAAAAACCACAGAGTTAACTGAGGAAACAATGCCTTGCGGTCAGAAGCAACACGGTATCACATTCTCCACTGGGACCGTCAATCGGATGTGGTACAGAATTTCGCAATTGAGTTAGAGCTGACTCGTTCCTGTCGTGTCATCCAGTCACAGTCCGGAATATCTCCCGGATCAATGCCAGTATCGAAACCTAAATCATATTCAGACGATCCTCACCGCCAGATTCCATACTAGGAAGGTGTCCGATCGGCATTGATACAGCCTGGAGAAAGTTTATAAGGTTTGCCTTTGCGGCGCCAGAAAGGTCAGAGCCCCTTGGGAGCCTCGTGCACTCCAATTCCGAACTATGAAGGCTCCACCGATGCGAGGGATGAATCGAACGACGCAAGGGACAGACATCCGCGGAGATAGGTTCCTCCTCGAGTATTTGGCTCGCTTCAGGCAAAATCAGTTTCAGCTCAGCCATTGAGTGGACCGGCATAAAGTTGGTGCTCCGCACTCAGGATAGGCGGATAGTTTGGTGATAACCAGCTCTGTACGCGACTTTCTCGACCCAGCATAGAGTCGGTTTTCACTCCCCAAACTCTGCACTATTCGCGAGCTAAAACCACCCCAAGGAAGAGTCCATTAAGGCTGTAACTTCTGAGTTTCAGGGATGATATCTCGAATTCTTGTTCGCTGAAAGGCCGCTAGGGTTCATTCATGGTGTCGTCTCCCCCCCTGCTTTGCGAAGTTGAGTGGCGTTTTCTCCATAAGATTCGGCACTCCAGCAAATGGTGATGGATAATATGCTTTTATTTGTGTGATCCCAATTCGATGCCACCTTTCTATATGGCGCTCGCGCATTTTTATCCCACAGAAGCTTGAGCGCCAATCTGAGGTCGGCAAAGCTTTCCCTTGTATATCCCTCTTTTTTCGACCAGCAGGAACTGCTACAATCGTCCCTGGGTCAGTCAATCATACGTTACCTCGTCCTCATCCGGGAACCATAAAACATATCTTCCTTCAGTACAAGAGGCGAGCCATGATGCCACTAAGGCAAGCGTACGGCGCATGTCCGATCGAACAACTGCGGGGTTTCGCTGGGGAGACCGAAGTGGAGACGAGAGAACCGACATTTATACGCAATGTGTTGAAGAACGCGATTATTCCTTACGACACTTCACGCATCGCTTGCTACTTGGTGGATACGGCGTCGGCTAACTAGCAGCATAGATGCTCTGAAAATGGAGAGTAACAACCCATCCTGGTTCTTGTATGGGCCTGGGGAAGCACGTCTACAGTCACTCCCCGTACCGGAGATTCAGGATCCCCACGATGTCATCGTCCGCATTGCCTACGTTGGAGTCTGTGGAAGTGATGTAAGATACTGAGGCCTAAGCTCCTACAATAACACCGTGACTCATAGAAATCCCTCTTGCTCACCAACTATTGGCCAGGTACATTTCTGGAAACACGGCGGAGTCAACAAGAAGGTCAGCAAGGAACAACCGCTAGTACTAGGCCACGAAGCTGCTGGAACCATTCACACGGTCGGAACTGCCGTCAAGTCCGTTCAAGTCGGTGATCCCGTTGCCATTGAGCCTGGGATCCCATGCCGGCGCTGCAAGGCTTGCAAACATGGCACCTATAATATTTGTCGAGAGATGAGGTTTGCGGCCGTACCACCAGATGTGCACGGTACCTTGACGAAGTATTACCGGGTACCAGAAGACTTTGTCTATAAGATACCATCGGGAATGAGCCTTCAAGAAGCGGTACTCATGGAACCGCTCTCTGTGGCCGTGCATTCTACTCGTCTGGTCAACGTCACTCCCGGCCAAACCATTGTGATCATGGGCTCCGGGTCGGTCGGTCTTCTGTGCGGCGCAGTTGCGAAGGCATTTGGCGCTCACCGAGTTATCCTGGTCGACATCCTGGAACACAAGCTGTCATTTGGGTCCGAGTTCCTCGATTGCGAGACCTTCCTTACCAGCTTGGACGAAACGCCAGAGGAGAGTGCGACTCGTTTGTTAGATATGCTGGATGCTCCAGAAGGGGTCGATGCTGTGATTGAGGCTTCCGGTGCTGAAGGTCCAGTCCAAATCGGCATCTATGCCTTACGGCGCGGTGGTAGTTACGTTCAAGCCGGTGTTGGGAAGCCAAAGGCAGAGATCCCAATCTTGGCCCTGTCCCAGAAAGAACTCCACATCCATGGATGCTTTCGGTACGGACCTGGAGACTATGACCTAGCTCTAAAGTTGATCACCAAGGGATCCATTGATGTTAAACGTCTGATTACCAGTGTAACGCCCTTCGAACACGCGCCGCAGGCTTGGGACAAGACGGCCCGGGGTGAAGGAATTAAAAACCTGATTCAAGGTGTGCAAGACTAGAGTATATTCTCCACCTGTCCGGCATAGAAATAGAGTAAAAATCCACATCAATCGCATAGCCCTTTTAGATCCAGCTTGGCGTTAACGACGTCGAGTTTACGCCATTATTCTGTCAATGCTGAATATAGACCGCATGGGGGTTTTACGCTCTCGACCCGAGTACGACTATACTAATAGATCAGATGGGCCAAAGGAATACACAGCTTCATCTAGTAACATCAGTATACTTCTAAGCATAACTCTTTTGCAACGCTTTCTTATTGCCCAAGGAGCGACCAATCTTCGAGCATAGGCTGGTTGGTGTAACTGTCGTAATTTTGAATCCGCCCTTTCGGGTGGTCTATACGTTATAGCGTATATTAATACCAGTTGTCAAAGCATCTCAAGTGGTTATCATCCTATGTCTATTTCGAATGTACAACTGCTACTTGACACTGAATCTCTGATCCATTCATTTTCATATCACAGTCCAAGAGCGCTAAGCCACATTAGGATGCAGTAAGTCACGTGCAGTCTATTCTGCATAAGCGACTATGCAAACTAGTCAAACAAACAACCCAGTGTTAAAGACGACGCCTTAATATTTCTACCAAATCTCTTGATTTGGCTTATAAGTCGATTGGATGAAGCAGTACGGAGTAACTCGACCTCATAAGACGCTCGTCGCAGAGAAGCCACGGTCGCTGTGGTGGAGAGAGTGTTAGGCCAATCTCGGCGAGTTTTTCGGCTCGAGTTCGGTTCATCGCCGACTCGCAATCCAAAGTGAATTCTTTACTTCTTGAAAAATGATATTTCTGGGTAGCAATATCCAGGAATCTCCCATCGTAATTAGTATCGTAGAATGAAGCCCTGCTTTTATGTTACACTTAGAGGGTAGGTAATGGATATGTGGCACTATCACGTCACAACTCTAGTCATGTTCGGCTAAAGACTATATATATTTTTGGTAAGGCTCAGGTGGTGTTCGGAGAATTCAAGTTGCCAAGGGCGAACGAAGTTGAACATAGACCAAAGAGTCCAAGAAAAACACCAAGGGTCATATGTTAGGCTATTTAATCTTTGATGATTTTTGTAGAAAATTTGAATGCTGCCCAGATTATCTCGATGCTGGGAAATAGCTAGGACTCGGAGGATCAATGGGGTTCAACTAGGGTTCAACATCATCACTGACTAATCCCAGGTTAGACAAACAAATAGCGACGCGAGATGAAATTCCGTTCAGTGACATCGATATTACACAGCCATACAATATGACGAAAGATCGTACTAACAAGTGAAAGTTATTTAGCAAGAGAACGCACTCCAAATAGTTCGCGCATCTAACAACAGCCTGCATCTTTCATGGCAGAGCGATGCTAGAATAGCTTCTTCGGACGCGTCGTGTACCTCCCGAATAACAATGTCGCTCACGACAATCCCTTTCTACAATAGCAAGGGATATCTGCCGCCCGATTGATTGCTTAGCATCATTACCATCCTAACGTGGCCATATGAGCGTGGACATACAAGCGATGCCGACCGCAAAACATGTAGGATGCCCCGTTCCAACAGACGAAGGTGCGCCACTGAAGGACATGGAAGTGCGACGCAAACAAGTGGACTACAGCGAATAGGAAGGAGCTAAAGATGTGGGCTGCATACTTGACAATGAGGCCAACGCCGGTAGTTCGCAGGCTCTCGTCACACATCTCGAAGGGTATACGGGGATAGGCAAGGAATAACATAACAGGGAAGGATGTATGGAACGGACTCAATTGTATCCTGGAGAGATATCCATATCCTTGGCTGAGCTATGAGTTGGTTCCGCTACTGACATCATGACGACACCCCAGTAACTATGATGCTGTTATGGCCGGTGGGGATCACAATGGGAAGATCGGGCTTGGAAAAAGAGAAATCTCTATCCTCCAATGTGACTAGCGAACCTGGTGAGGGACACGGGCTGTGGTTTGCTTTTCAAGGAACTAATGGGATGCCCGTTATGCTGGTGTGAATCAGGCTCTAAGTTAGGAGTATTCAATCCTATTTACCGAGGTCTGCTAAAATGGATACATTGAAATCAGAACCTAAGCATAGTTTTAGGAGGTGTTACCCTAAGCCTCACTGGATAGGTAGGTAGGACCTAGAACTCTAGCAGCAGCTACGATTTCCAGCGCGCGCCTGAGAGACGGTGCACAGACAAGGGTGAAGGAAGAATACCCCGGGTTGAAGTAATCCCCTCGGCGCGTATGCAACCAGACGTCTAAAGCTTAGTAGTGTAGCTGACACTCCGTATTTCATGCTATACGTCGAATCGATAAAGGCTGTGCAGATATCTTCCGCGCTACTATGGTTCGTGTCCAATCAAACAGTTAAACTTCCTCCAAGAGGAAGCATCCGTCCTGAATCGTTGATCCCATTGGATTTCTCGTACGTCCAAAGTGTCCGCAAAGTGTCCGGATGTTTTCCGATAAAAGGACATGCCAAGTCGGACTCATCCTAAACCTCGTGATGGCTCGACCACTTCCCCAGACCGTGTAGAGTCTGGGGAAGTGGAGACCGTTAGGGTGAAATCTGGGGTTTAGCAATCACGACCCCCGCTTGTTATGGACAGCATTGTATATATAAAGCAAGCATGATCCTCAATTCGAGACTAACTTAGCTCCCTAGACACCCTTTCCAGTTGCTTAGTGGACTGAGGAAGTTCTTACTGCGAAAGATGACGTCGAAAGATTTAGGGTCAAAAACAGAGGTGGAGGATCTCAAAGATTCACCCCAGCGTGACCCTCTTTTAGAACTATTTCCAATCCTCCAGGACAAAACCCCCGAGGAGTTGGAACAACTCAATCGTTCTGTGGTACGAAAGCTGGACTGGCAATTCCTGCCTTGCATTACAATGATTCTTCTTATGAGGTGAGTACATCGTTCGTGTCCCTTATTGAGGAGTAAAAAAGAACCAAGTATGTTAATGTGTATGATTCTCAACCAGTTATCTTGATCGTATCAATGTCTCCAATGCCCGTCTTGCTGGCATGCAGAGTGACCTCCATATGTCAGATACTGTGTGGTCTGCGGGAATCTCTCTTTTCTACGTTGGATATATCATTTCACAGGTGCCAGCCAATGTTATCATCGCGAAGGGGAAACCAAGTATTCTCTTCCCCTGTATTGCGCTAATCTGGTCCGCGGTCACTATCTGTATGCCGGCTTTGACCTCCGGCTGGGGATTTTGTCTCTGTCGCTTCTTGGTCGGTGTGGCTGAGGGCCCTTTCGTCCCGGCCGTTTCCCTGCTCACCTCATCATGGTATACAAAGCAAGAATCACCCTTGCGGATGGGAATCTGGCACGCGGGTAATATTATTTCGAACGTTTTCTCTGGCCTTCTCGCCGCAGCCATTCTCACAAACATGGATGGAATAGCGAAACTTCGGGCTTGGCAGTGGTTCATCCTTCTGGAGGGGATTGTGAGTATCATGGTCGCGTTGAGTGGCTTTTGGTTCATTCCAAACTTTCCCAACAACACTGGTCGCCGGTGGTTCACTGAGGAAGAAACCGCCATGGCACAATATCGACAAGTGGTTTCAGGGGGTGGAACCCGGGAAGATGAGGAAGGAGATTACTGGGGCGGAGTGCTGCTCGCAGTCAAAGATCCTTTTACGTGGTGCTTCGCTGGTATCCATTTTTCGCTTATCATTGCCCAATCGTTCAAAGACTTCTTTCCATCGGTAAGCCCAGGCCATGCATAAAACGACCCAAATAGGCCTGCTGACACACACGAAGATCGTTGAGACTCTCAACTTCTCCGAAGTTGTGACCTATCTTGTACAGGCTCCACCGTATGTGATTGCCTATATCACCACGCTCGTAGTTTCCTGGTCATCTGGAAAGACCGGGGACCATTGTTGGCATATTGTCGCACCAATACTCGTCTCTCTCGTGGGAGCGGTTCTCATGATATCAACATTGGACCGGGGTGCTCGATATTTCAGCTTGATCCTACTGTGCACGGGACCGTTTGTTGGTTTGAACGTGAGCATTCCCTTACCCCCAAAAGTTAGAGAACCATTTTGACTAACTGATTAGATCCAAATATCCTGGGAAACCACCGTTGTACCACGTCCACGGACGAAACGAGCAGCTTTGATCGCCATCGCCAACTGCGTGTCCTCTGTGTCTCACTGGTTCACACCGTATTTCTTCCTACGGTCCCAAGAACCACGATACCAAACAGGCGGAGGTATTATTATTGCCGGATGTGGACTGTCTGTGATCTGCTGTTTGATCACTCGCTGGTGGTGTATGAGGAAGAATAAAAAACTGGACGAGGCCGAGGCTGAAAGTGGAGATGTCACCGAATGGCGGTACGCGACCTAACGTAGTAGATACGGATCTCACTTTGGTACGAGCATAGTGTTATGAATAAATACGTACGAATTATTATCTATATTAGTTAGCTCTGATAGCCTGTTGTCTCTTGACAGCGTGGAATATAACTTGCGTCGACTGTACTTCGCATTGAGTTTTATCATCAAAGTATTTCCACAGAGTACATTTCATTTGAGCCATAACGAACTAGGGTTAGCTACTCAAAGCCAACAATTTACCAAGAGGTACTTTATTTTATTCAGATAACAGCGTGTGAAGTGATGGTAGATGGAGATTGAGACCTTGCCATCTGACATATGTCTTGATTTCCTTCAATTCCCAGTTGTCCCCATGGGAAACCTGCTGCACTTGGGACACGGGGTCGGATTTCAGACGCCGATTGACGTCTGATAGAGTATGATAGCCATAGATTACGACTCATTATTCGGAGGTCCGATAGTTACAAGGGTAGGCTAGTGTTCGGATACAATCCGACCGACGTTCTGTGCCCGTGAGTCAGTATGACTTCCATCGGAAATCCTCCGGATAGGCCAAGGCAGCAACGCAGAAGTAGGAAATACTTAAGTTGGAAGATGTAATGACTTGGAAGAGGATCTCGACTTGGTTATTTGGCTGCAGATATCTAGACTCAAGCATTTCGGATTCTCGTTACCAGACCATCACATATCATACATCTTCATCATGGGTTCCATCGCACCTCATCCAGCATATACCCTCAACAACCCCTTCCGGACTAGGATTCTAAGTGGTCAAATCACACCGCTTATGTCTATCAAGTTTGTCACTGGCAATGAAATACCCATGATGTGCAAGATGGCCGGTATCCATGCTATGTTCATTGATATGGAACATTCCGCCCTCGACATGCGCACTGTCGCCCAACTGATTCTCGCCTGCAATTATGCCGGTGTCTCTCCCGTCGTCCGCTCACCATCTAAGTCACACTGGCACATTAGCCGGATCTTGGACGCCGGTGCTGCGGCTGTTGTGATCCCGCATATCGAGACCGTCCAGGAAGTCAGGGACATTGTGAAGCACGCCAAGTTTGCCCCTCTAGGGACACGCGGATGCACCAACAACCAAGCAGCGTTGAACTTCCAGCATGTGCCAACGCTCGTGCAGAATGAGATTTTGAATGAGCAGACCATGTTGATCCCCATGATTGAGACTCCAGCAGCAGTGGAGATCGCCGACGAGATTTTCGCAGTTGAGGGAGTCGATGGTGTCTTGGTCGGCTCGAACGATTTGTGTACCGACCTGGGGATTCCCGGAAAGTATGACAGTGACCTGTATCAAGATGCTGTGATCAAGGTGATCCAAGCGGCTAATCGGGCTGGCAAGCCTGTCGGTATCGGGGGTATTGGCGGGCGACTAGACATCCTAGAGAAGTGGTTCAAGATGGGAGCAACTTGGTCATTGAGTGGCCAGGATGCGTCTATGCTGCAAGCAGGTCTGAAGCAGATGAGCAAGAACTACACTGATATTAGTGAGCGCTTACAGAAGGAGCCTTAGAGAAGGGAAACAGTTGTAAACCCATTGTTTGTTCTATGTACATATTATGCATTGTCATCTGCTATACCCGAGAAAAGAAACATCGGATCTCCATACGCGTATTCCCCCAGTCCTACTTCCACATTCCAGAATGTATTGTCTCCGAATAGATCTCGGGAAAGAAGTGAAGCATAGGTGGAAGGTTCATGATCCAACAGGTTATGTGTACCTAAATCGTTGAGTAGGGGCGGCCAGTGGTTGTTAAACTGCGATTGATTTTGTTGGACAGAATGATGTTCACCTGCCATACTGGGATCATGCAGCATACCACTCAACCCCGGCCCTACAGGATGATGGGGTTGTGTCTGCCCGAGATATCCTCCCGTTTGCTGCATTGTCCCGGATGCGACATCGTATTTCCCTAATATATGCACTTGTAAAGCCTCGTAGACAGACACGTAAGGAGTCGCATCTGGCATCTCACGTCCCATCTGTTTCAATGTTTTTTCGCTCTGTTTTACCGCGTCTGCCGCTTTCACCATCGTCTCGGTGTCATGGTCGCTTGCCACCGATACCCAGAGCATCACCGAGAGCCCGGCAGTGAACAGCATTTGGAAGTAGCTCCGAGTGTAGGTAATCTTTCTTTGGTCGAACAAAGAGCAAAACTTCGTGATAGTGCCCACGGCATAATCAAGACAGATCAAAAGGAGATCGCCTGGTGGGATATTGTTCCGCTTCGGCACCAGGTCAATGGCCTTGCGCACGAGAAGAAGCCTTTCCCTCATTAACAACAGATCATACCATTCTTGGGTGTGGTATAAGCCTTGTGGATTAGGGAACACGGGTGCCGATTGCCGCCACTGCTCGAGCTCCGATAGTAACTCTTCTAGATCTGCATAGATCCGCCCACTCGCTGTGATTGAGTCCATTGTCGACGCATGCCCAACACTGCTGAGAGCCCCACTGCCATGTTGGAACTTGGTCCGGATCTTCGAAGTGATTTTCCGCAGCCGCAGGCAATAGAAAAACACTGTCATTTCGGTGTTCCCGGTCGTACTAGGCCTTGTAGTGGCTCTGCAGAAAGCATCCAGATCCTGGAACGATCCAGATGCCTCAGCGGCATCGATTTCTTCGTCATCAGCGTCGGCAGGAAACCCAACCTGGATATCCCTATCCGCAATTGCGGCTGGACGATCCAATGTGATCGAGCTGTATTGGCTAATAATGTAGCATTCCCAGAAGACCCGACGTTGCAACTGTTCTTGCAGAAGACTAGTTTTGCGTCTCATACTCGGTCGAGGTAACTTATAAAGACCTTGCTCGATGCACATCCTCATACATAGTGTGGTCAGCTCCCATATTGATGTTCCTACAATGTATTAGCTAGAACCAGCATAGAAGAAGTACTGAGCACGTACCGATGTGATGATAGATCCCGAACCTCACGACGAGTAATAGATCCTGAATTGAATCCAACCCTCTTGATATGATTTTCGTATCCATGTACTGCAATGCCGTGAGGAAGTAGCCGTAAGGATGGTGTTTATGGACACCAGATCGATATAACATGACCGACCCAACAGCAAGAATCATGAATGTACGAAAAGCATCGTGCTTTGTTAGATGGTCCGGTGTTTGTGAGGAAGAACCGGTTCGGCCTGTTGAAAAGGCAGAATGATACAGCCTCTGGACATCTCGGCGGAGCAGGAATGGGTTTAGGACATGGGGTCCATTCAAGCTTTATAAATCCGTATCAGTTATCAGTTGATAAACCACAGCCCAGTCACTTACTAGTTGTTGAACACTGTCAATGCTTCCTCAGCAGGAGGAAGGGAATTCGGCTGCACCGATGTTTCTAGAATGCCAGAAGGTTGGGATAGATTTTGCAGAAGTTTTATGTTCTGGTCTCTCCACCTGGCATCAGAGAAAAGCAAGCTCATAAAACTGCGACTCTACGGTCAGAGCTTACACCCAATCTAAGGCACCAAAGCTTACCTGATCCCGACCCCCTCCGTGATACTGGGCGATGAAATCACATCATTACTTGGTATTGCTATCGGAGGTTCCAGCGCTTGATTGTCTCTTTCAGGTCGACTCAGCGTCGGACTGTCCGTCACTCCTGCTGTGGAGTGAGAACGTCCCCTGACCACCTCTCGACTTCCCACAACGGTCATCCCTGTCTGAAGACCTTGCACATGCTGCTCTAGTTCATATATATACCTATTCTTGAGCATAAGCACAGGTGGATTTGGAGAAGCGTGCTCAGCACAATGTCAGGCTTACTCTCTTGAAACCGGAACAGTTCCACCCAGGCTAACGGTGAAGCATGCATGGCCACTCTTCATACAAGGCATACATTTTGGTCGAGCATTATCGCACTATCTATAATCAGTAATCCCGCTTTGCCAAGTCAGACGTTAGTGTAGATCAATGAAAATACCTTTATCTTTTTGGTATAACAGGATTGACAAGCCGGAAGTCGAGGGACATGCCTCCCCCCATTACCGTTGACCATGCTTGCCACAGGGTGGGCTCAGACAAAATATACTCCTATCATACCTGTAGGCGTGTATACTTTCAACTGATGGAGCAGGTGGAGGCACAGGGGTACATGCAAGCATCTTCCCTTGAGTTGCCGACATTCATGCATGGCCACTCGCGGGGGAAAGAATGCGGAGCCCCGGCAATTATTGTTACCACTAGTGTGTAAATTAATACAGACAAGGTATGCTTGGCATGGGGTTTGCCCCCTAAAGAAGAGGAAGTCACAAGTGGAGGGACTGGTTTTTTACTGCATCATACCATCTGGCTAACCCTATATGCCCGCTGGGAAGTTCTAAGAACACTGATCAAGTCTACCTAAGTCCTCCAGCCTTGCATAGACTGAATAGGAGCAATCAATGCTAAGTTATGGAAGCCCGAGAGGCTATCCAGATGAAGGCTCGGCCACGAGTATCTCGTTAAAGTTCGGATGACTCCCCGCATTCACACCTCTATATGAGGATTCCATGATTTTATGACATGAGGCTATGTGTAAGTAACAGAACTCTATTGTCGTAATAAATGTGGAAGCAGTGAAATATGAATCTATCCTAATAGTTATATTGTCTTTCGGCAATGCATGGAGAGGGATCTGCCGGGCCTGGCAGAGAGCGTTGAGGGTATGGTAATCGGGAAAGATCCGACCAACAACCCTCGGACAATATCCACTTTCCACTACTTGACTCCTACTTAGCGCTGCTTTACCCCAACACAATGTCCGATAGGATTGTCGCCCTTCCCCGTGATTGTCATTCTGTTATCGGACATGGAGTCTGCTCATCGGACGCCCCCTGCCTCGGCCCCAGCTATTCCACGGAGACTCCAGGCCTGCGAGAGATGCTGGAAACGCAAGCAAAAGGTCTTGACCGATGATGTATGTCCGCCATGTGAGGCTAACCCATCATAGTGTGATAGGCAACTGCCGGCATGCACGACCTGTGTGGAAGCTGATGCACAATGTGCCCCCCGACGCGTCCCCATCGGGTCCACTACGGAAGAGGGTAGTGGCCTCTCGCATGCTGCTGTACCAAAGTGAGTGTTGAGTAGTATGGAAGGCTGAACAGAGCTAATAACAGAATCTAGCTACGTGGAAACCCTCAAGAGAAAAAGGGATGAGCTAGACGCACAGTTTCGACAGCAAAGGGCACGCCGAGAAAGGGATGACTCGGTTCCACCCCAGTCGTCGCCGAACATGGAGACCACTTCAGTAGGTACCCCAGGAGATTCGAAGCAGACACCCTCAACAGCCCCCACTAGCTTTAGTGAGCGGTCGGTACAGGCGACGATGGGGGAGATCGGATTCCTGTCGCGCAATGCGATGGCAGAGCCACGCGACGAAACTCGTGGATTCCCTCAAGAACTAGCTATGGGTAGTATGGTGAGAGCTGCCCTGGTTGTTTCAGGCGAGGATCCATCACAGTCTCGAGATCTTTGCCATCACCGACGAACCTTCGTCACCATGATGGGGCCTGCGACGGGGATCAGCAAAGAGTTTGCCGCACCTTACCAGAACCGTTTCCTCGACCATGTCGGAGTGATGTTTCTTCACCTTGACCGGCGTGAGTTACAAGGTGAATTTGACTCGTACTTTGATGCCCGTGGAGGGCAGCGGAGCCATACGAATGGCCCTAATTCGGGGGCTGCGTTCTTCGAGTTCCGAGTTTACATGGCTGTGGCCATTGGGATGTTACTTTCACCCGAGCCTGGTAGCGAGCTATTGGCGACTGGTTTGCATGCAGCAGCAACGGAGAGACTTGCCATCATTATAGAGCAGGGGGACTGTGTGAAGACCCTACACTGTATGTGGTTGTTGGCTTTGTATTCTATGTTCAGTTCGCTCGGAGGATCCACTTGGCACCTCGTGGGATTGGCAATGAAGAAATGCATCTCGTTTAGATTGCACCGGGAGCTGTATCCAGACTCTGACATGAGCCAAGAAGAGCTAAACAGAAGACGCAGCATCTTCTGGGCCTTCTATGTACTTGACAGGTGAGTAGATTACAAAGGGCCCTTTTCGTTTTACTCTTTTGCGCGATGAGCTTACTGACGACGCCGCAGAACTATAAGTTGCGTAATGGACCGCCCGTTTAGTATTGAAGATGAAGACATATTGGTTCAGGTAAAAGCACATCTACGGGGTATTATTCACAGCTGCTAATGCCGTCAAGCTTCCGGTGTATAACTCTACTTCGAAGACAGTAGCCGAGTTCGACTTTGGTTGTCATATCATCATGCATGCTCGACTACTGTCTAGTGTGCGGAGTTCTTCTTCCCGAGGGCGTCTGTACCATTACCGCAACCTAAGCCACTGGCGGGATTTACCAAAGTCCGTAAAGGAGTTCGCTCCTGGCGACAGTGCCCTCTCCGTCTCGGTCAGACAGCTCACCTGTAGGGCGTTAACCCAGATTGCATTATTGACCCGAGGTACACAGTCCAATGGTGGTATAGTAGGAGACGCTCGAGCTGTTGAACACGATGTTGTCGATGGCTGCCAAGCGTATATAAATGATGCATACTACTACTCTGAGCAAGGAAAGCTTGCAGCATCCTTCGTTGACGGATTCGATCTTTTCGCGGCGGGTGTACTTGTCATTTGCCTTCCTTCCCTGTCGTCACTTGCAGGGCCTCCACGGGAGACAGCCACTATTAGCAAATGTACAGCCCTGTTGACGACAATTGGGGAGCGGTTTCCGTCGCTCAAGGCGCTTAGGAATCTACTTCTAGCTCTATCGAGCGTGGCTACGCAAGGAGCCTACCACGACCCGGTAAGTTTCCCCCACATATTTATAACCTTACGATCGACTAATATGTCCGATATTAGGTTCTAGATGACCTACCGGAAATAATTTCAGATCCGATGCAAGGTTTGATCCAGGACTTTCTCCGGATATGGAGTGCATGATCCGGAAGACGGCCATCGGACGGATTCCGGTCCGATCGATCATATATACCACAACAGATACTCCTATCGCCTCTACCTAACAATCAAATCAGTTGGAAGTATTCAGCTATCGAACATATCGAAACTATGGCCCCCGGAATTACGGAACCCTCCTCCACACTAGGTCCTTCGACTGCTGAAGTCAAGCCTACCGTCTACGTTCTTGACACCTTCCCTCCCAAGGCCATCGAGTACGCTAAGACCTTGTTCAATATTATTCAACCTCAGGATGATGAGTTCAAGAACTGGCGGCAAAATGCAAGAGCACTGTTAGTTCGAAGCTCGTATGTTACGGCTGATGACATCGCAAGCTGCCCGAACTTAATTGCCATCGGCAAGCACGGTGTGGGGATTGACAAGATCAATCAGGATGCCTGCACACAACGCGGTATCAAGATCCTCAACACCCCTGGTGCCAATGCGCGTGACGTTGCAGAGCTGGTCGTTGCACTGGCCTTGTCGGTCGCTAGGGGCATTCGGTCTATCACATCCCGGCAAATGTTGAAGCCCGTACCGAAGGAGACCTGCAATGGGTTGACTCTGTATCAGAAGACGATCGGTATTATTGGTATGGGGAATATCGGACGCACCGTGGCGGAAATTTTCCGCGGCGGCTTCGACGCGAATATTGTCGCTTATGATGCCTACATGCCCGAGGATGTATGGTCCCATATCCCGCATACCAGGGCAGAGAGTGTCGATGAGGTGCTTGTCCGGGCAGACGTGCTCTCTGTCCACGTTCCCCTTACCGCAGAGACTCGAGACATGATTTCTTATCAACAAATTCACACAATGAAGCCGGACGCAATTCTAATCAATGCTGCTCGAGGTGGTATTATCAACGAGGCCGACCTTACCAGGGCGTTATCGGATGGGCATCTATGGGGTGCAGGGTTGGATTGCCATGAGCAAGAGCCACCGAGCCATGAGAAGTATGAGGCCCTCTGGAAGAATTTGAATGTCATTAGCACACCACACATTGGCGCTGCCACCTCAAGAGCGCAACTGGCCAGTGCCACAGCAGCAGTGGATAACCTGTATCAGTATCTGTCAAGACTGTGATTGTAAATAGGTGATTAATATGGATGTGATGAACTTAGAATGCAATTTATTGATATTTATACTCTATATCTTGGCTTGTTTCACCTTTTTCGATACAGGAACGCCCCTACAGTGCCATCGCACACATTGCACGTTGCCTTTGATACTATCTGTGATAAACAATGTTTTCCCATCCGGGCCACCAAAGGTACAGTTCGTCAGATTCTTTCCACCGCCTGGCGCTGTTACAATCCTGGCCTTGGGAATCCCGTCCGCATCCACGACAAATACTGAGCCGAGACTGGGATGGCAGATAAATACATTCCCCTCTTCATCCACGGCAAGTCCATCAGGACCTGCACATCCAAAAGACTGAAAGAAGAGACCGACTTTGGTGGTAGACCCATCGGCATGGAGAGGAAGTCGCCAGACGGCATTGGACCGAGTCATGGCTACGTACAAAAACCTCTCATCGGGTGAGAGAGCCAGGCCATTCGGGGAAATTCCGTTGGAGACCAAGCAGTCAAGCTTTCCCGTGGGCGAAAGCCGATAGACGCATCCAGTCTGATCAGTCATTCCTGTTTGACCCTGATCGGTAAAGTAGATGTCGTTGGTGGAGGAGACAATCAAATCGTTAGGGCCTTTGAACCTCTCAAGGTTACGCCGAGTAAGCAGTGGGGATATTGCATTTGTAGAAGGGTCGAACAGAAGAATTCCCTATTCCGGTCGATTAACTAACAAATATTTACAAGCGATACATTTAATGTAGGCACATACTTGCTTATAATCTGCAATTATGATGCAGCCATCCTCTCGCACCACAAGGCCGTTCGGCTCACCATCCCATCGCACGCACTCCGTTACCTGCTTTTCCGCATCCACTTTGAGGATCCGGCCATAGGGCACGTCTACTATGTAGAGACTCCCATCGGCAACGTAAGTGGGACCTTCGAGGAAAATGTCAGAGGCTGGAAGAGCTGACCCGCCGCGCCACTCAGTGGGTTGGCCGGTGCATCTGAGGGAGTCGGGAATGCGGACATAGATCTCGGCTTGGAACACTTGGGGAACTGGATAGAAATTCATTTTTCGACGGACAGCCTAAGCTACATTGGCTATATGCGGAGGGGTATATCGAAGTCTATATATGAACCTTGAAATTAAAAAAACTCTGTTTACCCCATGGGGCCGTGAGGCCGGTGGAGCGTCGGATATTTTCCGATGCCCGTGTGACCGGTCAAAGTATGGAAGTTGAAACCCTAACTAGTAACATCCTTATAAGTGTAAACAGACTAGTACAAAATTTCAATACCTTGAATTGCTGTACCTCTAAATAGAGGGTGGGAAGCATATCTCTACATTCTCTTGATTATTCATTATAGATTTCTTCCGAAGATCCTTACGCCATGGGACTTATATCGGATGCAAAAAGGGCCATGCAAGATGCCCCAAAGGAAGTTTTCAATGCCTATGTTTTGATGTGTACATGTTTCTTCGCCCTTTCCGGCGTGTCGAAAGGGTTTGATGAAGGTGAGCAATGATCCCCTGCCAAGTATGGAAGTTTCATACCTGCGTTAATATTAATTTATGAGCCTATTACAGGAAACATTGCCTCAGTCGTTACGCAAGCACATTTTAGGACCCGATTTGGTGTCGATAGACAGTCAGAGGAAGAGTATGCCAATACAAAAGGATGGCTAGTATCTATAGCCACGGCCGGAGCGGTCTTTGGGTGTCTTGGGGTGAGTTGCTTTGCTGCAATTCGACAGGTAAATCAACCATACTTATGCAACTCCATATATAGTGCTCCCCCATTAATGATCGATTTGGTCGACGTTGGACGCTCCGCATTGCTACAGTCATCTATATTGCTGGCGTCTTGGGCCAAGGGCTTTGTGGCGGAAATCTTTCCGGGCTTTATGCATCCAGATTCATTGCAGCGTTGGGAATTGGCCCGTTGTCAATTGTTCCTCCGGTTTATATTACTGAGGTACGTCACGCCCAACTGTGCTTTTGCTATGGTGCCACATGCTCACTCAGCTTTATCAGATCTCGCCCAAAGCTATTCGTGGTCTTCTTACAGTTCTGTTTGCGGCTTGCCAACAGCTAGGCGTAGTGCTGGGCTTCTTCATCAACTACGGAGTGACTAAACAGTACCCCGGCGTTGACGAGCAATGGATGCTCCCCACTCTCCTTCAGATTGTCCCGGCTATAGTGTGGGGATTTGGAACGTTCTTGTGCTCGGAGTCTCCTCGATGGCTTCTTTACAAGGGCCAACGAGAGCAAGCAGCAGATACACTGTCTAAGCTTCGCCACTTGCCTCGCGATCATTCTGTGATCCTGTCCGAACTAGCAGGTATGGATGCTCAAATATTGCATGAAACCGAAGCAGTCAGTAACGCGACCATATGGGACCTGCTGAAGGAGACTTTTGTCCCCGTCGAGAACCGCCGTCGCTTCTTCTTAATCTTTATGGCCACGCTTTTCTCCCAGTGGTCGGGGGCCAATGCAATAACCCAATATTCCCCTACCATATTCGGATACTTGGGCATCAACGGAGATGAAGCCAAATTTCTGGCAACCGGAATCTATGGCGTGGTCAAGTTCGTGAGCACGGTGTGCTTTGCACTATTCATTGTAGACTTCATCGGTCGACGGCGATCATTGATGACTGGAATCGGCCTTCAATTGATCACTTTGATATTTGTCGGCGCATACCTCGGCGTTACCAGTCATCTCTCAACCGATGAGATCGGTGCGACTCCTAGCGCCTCTCGCGCGTCTACTGCCGCCATCGTTGCAATCTTCCTCCACGCAGTGGCTTGGAGTATTGGCTGGTTTAGCATTCCTTACCTTGTCGGCTCCGAGATATTCCCTATTCGCATCCGGTCGCTGAACATGTCCATTTCAATGGCGTTCCATTGGGCGTTCTATTTCGGATGTTCGCGCGCCATGCCAAGTCTGCTAGCTGCTACACATAAGTGGGGAGCTTTTGTGTTTTTTAGCTGTATCTGTCTGATATCCTTGGTTTACGTATTCTTTGCCATGCCGGTGAGTACCAAATTCTAGTTTATGATATCGCCACTCACCATTCTTAGGATACAACAGGAAGGTCACTTGAGGAATTGGATAGCCTGTTCCAGCGACCGTGGTACACCGTTTACCAGGTGGCTTATCCATCACGCGATGAGATTCAAGTCGAGAGACTGGAGGATAAGTTGTCGGCCGATGGAACATCCAAGCACATTGAACAGGCTTAGAAAATTTCCATATACGGAATATGTGGTTCGAGAGCTCACTTCCTGATTGGTCAACCTGAAATCGAACTTGTATGTCTAAAGCGGGAAGGCGGTCAGACATTAGTTGTGTTAACACGTGATATGTCGTGTGATCATGATACAGACTTCAAGCAATCAAGCGTCCTTGCTATCAGTAAACGACTACTTTTGATCCTAATTCCTACTGTACTTGCAACTACTCATTCGCTGTAATGGGCCGCGAAGTATAGAGATAAGAACTAGAAGGCATATGCAAGGAACATACAATCTCTTTATTTATGACCTTTAGCCTTCCTACCTGCCAAGAGGGCTACATACACACCTACAGTGGATATGAGCTATGGCTCCTCCGCGCATAGCTTAATACGTCTCCCTATGATGGGTCCACCTCCACCGTTCGTGGACTGTGGCGATATGGTCATATGACCCAACTGACAGTATTTGAGGCAATCCCGTTATTTTTAGCCCTCCAGATTTGTTCATGTCAAGAGGGTGATATATCATATGGTCACCATGAGTTAGACAACTGTAAAGGGTACCCTAGCCATGGTTATGTCCTGGAGATATGGGATCATTTTTTCCCAATGTCGCAATCAAGGATCATAAGATGAGGTATTATCAAAGCAATTTCAAGACGGACATCCGGCGATAAGCGAGTGGGGAGAGTACGAGGAGATCATCCAATCTTAACAAGGGCCCTATCGCTATAATAAAGTGAGATGGCCTGGTCGGGCCTCGGTCTCGATCCAATCCAAGATCTGTACCCGGCCGAATCTATCGTCTCAGCCGATCGCACACTATTACAGATTACAGTAGGTAGAGAGATGATAACTAAAAGTAGGTATTAAAATGTACTATTCAAACTCAATTTATTTTTATAAATCATGAATAAGGACTTGGTTCTAGAAGACTGTCAACAAAAGTCACCTGCTTCGAGAGAAGCCTTTTGCTTTCCCATGAGGGGATCATCCGAACCCTCCCGCTAGTTTCTGGTAATTTGTCAGGGTCCAGGGCCTTTTAAGTCGTTGCATCATACCAAGACACCACTCGTGCGCGTTCAGGGGCGCATAGTGATAGTGTGGCAAGGTTCGGAATATGGTCTACGTAGGGCACGAGCTGAGACGCCAATGAGAAGCCCAAACTGAATCCCCATATCAATAGCCGTGCTATGCCACATAGGGCAAGTCGCATGAAACCCAATGGCACCGCGGTATTTAGGTTCTAAATAGCGTTTGCACCAAACGTGGTGTCTTTCGAAAGGTGACGTGATGTGGGATTTGATAGGCGCAGGCTCGTATTTCCACGACGGATGGTGGAGACGTTGGAGCCCCATACCTGAGCTCCACTTCACCAAGTCCCCAATCACATCGTGATGCTGCCCTAAACCTCGTCTTCCAGAAGAGGCCTCGAAATCACCAAGGTTGGGTGCTCCTCGCCATCCCCCGGCTGACGCAGCCGCATTGTCACTGGTAGTTACAATGAAACTGAGGCTTTTTGTCGAAATTAACTTTGCCTGCGCCGTGGGTAGTTTTGAGCCAGTCCCTGCAGGTTGCTACGTACGTATGTCGACCATGCCAAACAACCAGGATTCGGTTTCCACTTCTTGGCTGAGATTCAATCCCCGGTGGTCCGAAAGTTATCATCATATGTAACCTTGCGTGCGCCCATTTGGGGTGCGACTTCCCTGGGGGCTTAACAACCCGGTCTGGCGATGCAGAGAAACCATGTCCCAGTTCCATGTTGAATCGTGGATTTGGTATGGGGTCACGGTATTCATAATAATTCTGCGATTGTGAGTGTTTCAGTCATGATACATATCAGTAAATCCGAATACTAACAGGTTTATTATCCAGCATATCGCGACTGCTGTTGGTGAAAAGTGTGAAGAGCCTACAAGTGGAGGATTATCTAATGCTCTTAGTATTGGTATATCGCCACCGACAGAGACACGAGCAGACTGGTCTTTGCTTACAAGTCTTTTCCATAGTGTTTCTACACGGGGCTGGTAGTCACATTGAATCGAATCGAACATGCGCATACGAATTTAATGAAACCGGGCGACGAAGCGCATTTGACACCGGAGTCGATCGAGGACCGCATTTATGGTAGCAAACTGGTGTTGGCAACTGAGCAGTGCATGCTAGCGACAATCTGGGGATGCAAAGGGTGCCTTCTTCTCCTCTACGCCAGGTTGACGTGAGTTACAATGTCCGTGTGTACCGAACAATGTGCTGAGAGGGTTATAGGGAGGGAATTAAGCAACAACTGGCCGTCAAGATCCTGGCTGGCTATGTGGTTGGGTCATACATTCTCTTGGAAATCCTTTACTTTGGTGTTTGGTGTCGGCCATTCCACAATTACTGGGCTGTTCCCACACCCAACGGTATGTGTGATAGCTTCTCACTGAAAGGCCATGTCTCTGACCGGTAATCTTAGAGCAATGTTCGACCGCGACACATCACCTTATTATGACAATGGTCTTCAATATTTCGTCAGACATTCTCATGATGTGCATTCCGCTGCCACTCCTCATATCAGCCAGTTTACCAATACGCAGGTACGTTCCAAGCGACGTAGGCTCCGTCCAGTATTTAACAACAGGATTGTAGTAAAATCACTCTAGTGGGTGTATTCAGCATGGGAACCTTCATTGTAAGACCGGCACTTTTTTTCAACCCCACCGATCGCGACTAATGACCCTTAGATCCTATGCGCCACTCTCAGCAAAGTCTACAGCTTCAAAGACCCCTTCAGCCCCCAATGGCTCTTCTGGTACGTTCGCGAGGCCAGCACCGCCGTCTGCGTCGCCAACATCCCCAACTGTTGGAGTCTGGTTCGCCGCGTCTTCAACCTGAGTTCCTGGACCGGTAGTTCGCACAGCAAAGGCAGGACACACCTCTACACCCCCTACGCATACGGAACTGGAACGCATAGTAGGACGAGACGACACACATCCTCACAGAAAAAGAACCTCTGGACATCCGTTACCATGTCCGGAGTACGGAAGACGGAAAGCGCGGAGGAAATTATCAAAGAAGACCCTGAGCAGCAAGCCCACCAAGGAATCCCACTCGAAATCTGGCACCAAACCAGCATCCACGTCACAGAAGAATTGCCCAGGCCTGATGACGTCCATAAGGGTGCCACTACAACAGCTCCAGGCCGGGGATAGGCCCCGGGCTTTGCGGCTGAACTAATGATAGATAATCAAAATAAAGAGGTAATGATAATATCGCCAATAGACCAGTCTACAGACCCGCAGCCCCGTAGTTGGATCAATAGAAGTGAGCTGCATAGGGGTCACTATTCCAAACCCCTTGAATTATCTATTCAATGCAGCTTGCCCACAAACAAAAGGCCAGTGGCGGTCGTATAGCTTCGTATACGAACAAGTTCAAGAAATTTCTCCGAGATAAACCCGAGATAACGCGTCGACCAATTTCCATGACGGGGGAGTATGTGGTCCTTCTGTTAACTTGTTATCGAACATTATTCGAATTGTGGCCCTGCCTTCACATGCCTTGAAATGCCGAGGAGTGTCCTTAATCCACGACATCAACTCCATCAGGCCAATGCCGGCCACCGCTTGTTTCTGGAGCCATGGCTATCTTCTGTACGGAGTAACCCGTACTATGGTAGTCTTTTTCCTTACTGGGCTAAGCTGTGGGGTCTGGTTGAAACCTCGATCGTCTCGCTCTACCGATTTGGAACGGAGAGGCAGGCAGTGCAGCGTCCACTGTGACGAGGGGATCTGCGCCTTGATTTCCAGGTTTAACACGAGACCCGCCGTGCCTCCACCAACACCGACGATCAGATAATCGACAGTGTTTAGGATCTGAACATGGCCGACCCGCGGAACTTGGGAACTTGAACATCCGGGAGTCTATTGACTCTACTCCGTATCCGTGTCTCAGAAAGGCGTGCACAGTCGGGTTTGAGATCCTTCCCGCAGGACGTTTTACCTCGCAGAAAGTGTATTATTGTGCTCCGTACATAGACGCTGTCTATCACGCCTTTCCATACCGTATTTGTCAAACATAGCCGGCTTGGCGCAATCTTCCAATCTCGGTTTTGTCGCCTGGCCCGCACGGCACTACACACGGAACGAAAGCCATATGGAGCTTGATAGAAACGAATGTTGTCAGATTTAGAAGTTGGAGTGTTCCTGCAGGATTGTGGCATGCATATGAGTTTATAATGAGCATGTCTTACACCATTCTTTGGGGGGGGGGTTGGTTGCCCTGAAAAGAATCCACTAATCAATAGTTACTCTCCGACTCTCCGGTTCTCGTTCTCTAAGATGAAAACAAAATGATACGAAGACCTTTAGCCATGTCGCTTTGTTCTCAATCCACTCCGTGATTCAGGACAGGCAGACCGTTATGGTTCATGCCATATCTGCTCGTAGTATAGTTTCCGATTTTGGCCTGGGCCCTGTTAGACCTCTAAACTCAACCCGAAAGGCTGGCCGAGCCCTAACATTAACGCATTGACTTTTGAAGCTAAGCCGCGTCGGCTTATGACCTACAACTGATAGACTTAATTAAAGTTTGAGGCCACTTCGTATGGAAGGGCTCCGCGACCGTTTCGGCCTCTAGAGCCATGGGTCGACAGACCCGTCTCCGCGTGGCACTTAAAAGGTTTTATATTTTTATGTCGCTTATCTAGTTAAGAGCTTATTCGGCTTAATCCCGGCGAAAGATACACAGATGGGATCAGGAACATAGACCGGTATATATGAACCACATCCGAGACACTAGGAATCGTGCGGATTCGAGGTGAACTCGGCATTTCTGTCTGCCATGTACCCTTTTGCCAGGGAGCTCGCTATTGAGTCATGGATCTTATGGGCAGTGGGTTAGTTATCGTTCGTCGGCAACAACACTTGTTACGATCATTAACATCGAGGTGATATAGGGATTTTGATTATCGGATGTCGCCTGTTCGTTCCCACGTACATTGACTGCCACGGAGAGAAGTACTTAACGGAGATAGAGTTTCGCGTCGTATACGGTTAAAGTCATGGAGCAAGCTACAAATGGATGATGCGCTTATGTGCGTAATTGCAGTACGTGCGCGGTCGAACAGCTGTAAGCCATGGACTGGGATTGACACAACTGAATAGCTCACCTTCACGGGGGTCACTGTCACGGCGAATATCACGGCTCGGGTTAGCAGTGATCCAATTGTTCACGAAGAATATCCTCCACCACATGCTGAAGCGCTCATGGTGTTGGGGAACAAAATGATCTTCACGTTGGAGCAGCTCGCTTTGATTACAATATGGCTGGTCAAGGGCTGCCTTCTCATCATCTATAATCGTCTAACGTACGCCGGCGTCCAGAGCGTTTGCGCACAAGAAGGCTAATGTATTTCATCGGTAGGCTTATGATGAAAGAGCATTTAGTTGTGAAAATTGTTGCGGTATATGTAGTCATCTCTTTCATTGTTATCGAGGTCCTCTTCTTAGGAGTCTGGTGCAGGCCCATCAGATATTACTGTATGTCATCTCTTATATCAGGTTTAATACACATCAACTAATGCGTTACAGGGGATCTCGACTCTGATAGCTGTATGAGGCAACTCATATCCGAACTCATTGAGTGAAGTGGCGGCTGAATATTTTTTTATAGACCAGTGTGGGACCTATTTAAACCATCTGATCACGACAACCGTTTTCAATATCTCCTCGGATGTGATGATGTTGTGTATCCCATTGCCGCTCTTTATCCGATCACACTTACCTTTCAAACAGTAAGGGTACACTCAATGCGTGAGTATATCAAGGTACACAACTGACTTCAATCGCAGAAAGGTTGCAGTGTGTGCTGTGTTCAGTCTTGGTGGGATCGTTGTCTGTCAAACCCAATATACCCCTGCTGAGATAGATTGCTGACCGGTGCCCAGATACTTATGGCAGCTCTGAATAAGTACTACAATTTCGCCAAACTCAGCAATGCCCGGTTCCTGGTTGGTGTGCATACCATGCTATCTCCCGACGATTTGCTAAACAATGAGACAGAAATGGTATGTCGCAGAGGTAGCTACCGCGGTCTACGTCTCGAATGTGCCACTTCTCTGGCCTCTTCTTCGACGGGTCTTTTGCTGCCTTCGTTCTACCGTTCACTCCAACTACACGTCAGGCGCGCCCAAACCGAGCGGCCCGCAACGAGGTCTGGCGCCATTGCGCTCCCATTCGCGATCGCATTCGAGATATCGTACCGATTCGGCACATTCAATCATCAACCACTCGCACGGGGACAGCATGCCAGACGCACATGAGTTAGTGTTAACTCCGGCCCGAGAACGAGGCTATAGGGCCGACATTATGGGGGACTCCGATACAAGTCCACAACAGTCTAAGGATATAACAGTGCACAGAACTGTGGAGGTTACTCATGAGTATCCTTGATAATAATAATAATACTAATAACGCTACTATGGTTATCCTAGGTCGTAAAACGTACGAGTATTAAACATAACTGGGGTTACTATTGTAAATGCTTAGGGCACTAGGCTACACCTCATCACCACTAGCTATAGTGTGGCTCTAGTAAAATGAAATGGTGTATAGTCTTAACTGGGCATCGTACATTCCATTACGTGTACATGGGTAGATATACAAGTTCATGCCACTGCATCATTCAGAGGATGATGTTTTCCCAGCTCCAGAGAACGGACAGCCTCCAGCCACCGCCGCCGTGTCGGCTACAACTTCCGCGTTTTCGCGGGCAATCTGGCGAAACATATCCATAGGATCATACCAGACATCGATCCTCTCCAGCTCAAGCTTGTCATTTACCTTAGCAATAACAATACCCTGAATATCGATAAGGCCGCCATGCGCCTTGACTCTGACCTTCTCTCCACGACTAGGTAGGACTCGTCAGTATCCGGTTTATGTCAACTAACAAAGGGACTCACTCGTTATATCCCACATAATCATTCGCCATAACACCCCAATGTCTCCATTTGAACACCACAGTCGGCGGTCCGCTGTATACTTCTTTCACCTCCCAGGCAAATGTGGGCATCATGCGCTTGAATGCCTTATGGCTGGTTTCGAAATCATTGTGTGCCGGATCATAGTAGGAGCTCGCGGTCAGGAGAGCGTTGTAGGTGCCGACTTTGAGCATATGCTCGCCAGATTGCGGCGGGCCTCCGTTTAATGAGAAAGAATATGTCTTCTGGTCGATGGTCCTCCAATCGGCGAGCGAGGTCTTGAATGAGGCTTCGATTTCCCAATTTTTGACGAGTTTTTCGACCAGGTCTGGAAGGCTTCCGGCCTCGTGTGTCATTGTTTTAGCTTAAGCGATCGCGTCAGCGGTTTTTGTGCTTTGAGAATGTGACCGCGAAAGACGAACTCTGCTCATAATAATCTCTAGTCTTTGAATAGTTCGGCACCCGGCCATGTCGCCAGGCGGCCTCTGTATCTTTTAGGACTGCATCGGCGTCAAGGACGTAGTCAGGAAGTGCTGGTGGTGCGTCACCCATTTTGGTATTCGGTTGCGACAAGGTTCTGTATGTTTAACAAGGGCAAGAAAAATATGAAAGTGGGATGGAGAATGCCCAGCGTATTTATTCCCCGAGCCATGTCAGACGCCAGCTATTAGCCAATTGGCATTGGCCACTGGGGTAGTGGCTATGATTACTCGCTATCCACCATTTACACGTCGTTGATGACAGCGGCATGCCTCGGTAACTAGTGTCGAGGGAGACAGGGATCCAAGCGGCCCAGAAAGTATAGTATCCAATCCCAAGAATTGTAATGACCATGCGTTGGGCCGTAAAAGTGGGTAGCGTGACCATTTTTATGAAAGGAAGAGGATATAGTTTCCGATAGTCCGAGCGAGCATCCAAAGGACGACTGCTGAACCAATCCAGCTTTTCGCATTGTTCCTTATCACACTTCTCCCCCCTTGGTAGATAGTTGGTGGTGTCAAACCACTGACTCGCATATCCCCGACGCTTTTCGAGGATAGCACGGGCCAAGGTTCGGTGCGTGATCGAACATCGGCCTACAATCAACGATTCCAGCTGCAGGCAATATAAACGGAGCAGATCCCATTGGATCGAGCGATCGGACCACAGTGGACCAGGGAGGGTCCAGACCCAGCACAGGAGCAAACGGAACTGCCGGCACGACGTTGTGACAGAGGATAATAACTCACAAGAATCCTCCAGGTCTTCCGGTAACCTTTGGCTCCTTTCCTATTCGGCTTCTCGTATCCACTGCTTCGTGCTGGTAGGCTACGCCGACAATAAGGATAACATGGTATATGTTGTAGGTGCATCTCACACTTCGATGGAAGAATGTGCGAAGATGTGGAGAAGCCTATCAGATCTGGGTCGATTAAATTGTAATTCGTGCGCTTCTTTGAGGCTTAGTGGCCCGGAATTATATTAATATACATAGCGACTTGTTGATTGGACTGCCCATCGTCAAATATATTAATCATTGGTAAGCCATTGGTGGGGCTCCAATGCAACCCAGTGAGACAACCAAATTTCTCGGTTCGCCTTTGAAACAAACAGCAGCTTGAGGAGCGTGTCATTGACGTTTCTTGACCCCGGGAAGATAAATATACTTAACGTGTTATACGAATCAACCTGTGCTTTGGCCAACTGAAGAACGGGCTCCTGGTAACATGGAGTGGTACTCTATTCCACGGGTACTGTTAGAATAACGGCTTTGACCGTTCACCCTTGAGTAAGCATGGGGGCTAACTATGAACTCTAATATAGGAGATATTGATTAAAGATATTGGAAATCGCATGCACCTTCTTGACGTATTCCCCCTTAATCCGTTTCCGACACTGCGGACTCTATCCACCACACTTCTGCCGTTTGCCCACTATGAGTAGCCAGCTTTCCATCTAAAGTGTTCTATTGGATATTGATCCCAAAGTGGCCGAAAAGGTGGTCACTCACTATGAGATCGAAAATGTGTTTAGTTATATTGTAGCACCCACTAAGGGTCTTCGCTCAGATATGCCCAGATGAAAGGGGCAATTGTGCAATCCTTCCAACGCTACCCAATCTATAGCATTCTAGGCAGCCCAATCAATTTTCTCGTTCATAATTACCTATTTGACGTTATGTAATCTCAATCCTCCTGAGTCCCAGGCTGCCAATAATAGATCCATACTGATCGGAAGACTTCGCTAAAACGTTCCCAAGAATGGCGGGCTGGTACCCGGCCCACAACGGCCGGAACGGAAAAGTTTAAGTCGTGAGCCAGTCGCGCAAAGTTTCGCCCCTGAGTGGGCCTACAAAACAGCTGAGGCCTATTAGCAACATTGCGCTGGTTCGGAGAAAAGAACAGAAGAAGTTTGCGATTACAAGTTATTATCACTAGGGTTTTCTCAAACCCAGTGATACGGCCCATTCCCAAAAGGGAAGGTCATCCTTGTACTAATCGGGTTAGTGGAAGCATACCGAATGCAGTAATTTAGGTTTTATCGCCCTCGAACTTGATGTTGGAGCTTGATTGGAATGATGTCAATCACAGTATTGGAATTGAATCCCCTTCTAATTGAATCTCCGGTTACTGCGAAATTGTTATCAGCCTGTTATTATAACTGTCCAGCTTCCAGTCATCTATCTACAGTGTTTTCACAAATTCTGGCAGCACCGAATTCATTCGGAGGCTATTATCTATATAGACTACTGTATCTGCCCGAGTTAATTTTAATATTCTAGCTTATAAAATAGGCAATAAGAGTAAAGATAAGGAAATCTTTATAATTACTTCTTGTTAAGAGGACACACCAGTCCTATGCCCGAAAGCTAGGTAAACGGATCCTCACCACGATTAGAGTCATACCTTTTAGACAACTTCGACTTCGCCCTCTGCCTCATCATCTATCTGAGCACCGTTTGCTGCTCTTACTGGAATGATGTGTCGCATTAATTAGGGATCAATAGGCTCTAACTCTCTGGATTTTCGACAAGTGTACCATAGCTGATATCGATTAGAATAAGGCAGGTCACACCTTCTTCTACAAACGCCCGAGCACAGACGAGTTTTATGCTTGAGACGGTCCTGGTAATCAAAGCGATGCTATAGGTCAAATTAGCAGACATATTATGCATTGATAAAGACCTATTGCACCATGGAATGCGATAATGTTGGGCGTGCTTCATTGTTAATTCTTAAGAGGTTGGCTACTGGAGGAACAATCTCAAAGGGATTTGGCTTACAGCCTGCAAAGTATATATATATGCCAAATAGCATTAGTCCATCCTGCGGAGTACCTACCCAGCTCCTTGGCGGCTATATGATCTACGCAAGAGAGAATGTGGGGATACTCGGCTCTAACAATTTACCTGCTCGCCGAGGAGATTGGCTATGGCACCAGTAGGCCTTAGCTGGTCGCAGAGGACGAAGCCATATCATTGCCTATCCCGCTGACCGGACATAATACCCGCTGACTCGGGGATGATAGTGTATCAGTATACTTAACTCCATAAAGAACGAGAAGGCTGACAGGCTGACTGCCCCATAGACCCACCGCGGACACTCTAATTGCATTCCTAACACACCATTGGTCGGACCCCGCGCATGTTCGGTAATAAAATAATGAGAGGCCATTATTAACTGTAGGACTCGCTCTGGTTGTAGCGGCAAGACAGAATTTTTACCCCGTTGCTATTTAACCATGCACGTTGAACCATTGAAGGAAGAAGGATCCTGGCCTGGACAACTCGGACGAAAAGACGCTCGAAACAACCCGCAAAGATTAACATAAAGGCGCTTGAGGATCTTCGATCTGAAACTCTGGGTATAGCACCATTCTCGGAATTGATAATCACCTTGATTCTGATTGTGTAATTAGGGCCAGAATACGACATTATACCCTTTACATCTCAAAGGATAATCGTTTCAATCGCGTTCGACACTCCTCCACGATGCCGGAGTCGATCATATTCTCCGGGGCGAATAACCCCCAGAAGAGCGTGATGAAGCCAACGGCCACTTTCACTGGTGAGGTCTACCTAGACTTGGTCTCCATGGACTCAGCTGCCTCATTGGCAAATGTTACCTTCACACCTTGTGCGCGTACCTACTGGCACACCCACGAGGGTGGCCAAATGATCAAGGTATCGTCCGGGACAGGTTGGATCTGTGACAAGGGAGGAGAGGCTCGTCGGATCAAGGCCGGCGATGTTATCTGGGCTCCGCCGGGTACTACACATTGGCACGGTGCCGACGATGGTTCTATTATGACTCACTTCGTTGTTGGCATCGGCGAGACCAAGTGGCATGACGAGGTCACCAACGAGGAGTATCACAAGCGAGTGGAGAATTAACGTGTTGTAGTACTACATGGTAGCATCCTCGTACATAGGCGCACCTATCAATCTCCACAAAGAGTGCCTGCATTTGCAAGGCTTTACTTGATGGCCTAAGTACATCAGCAATTCTGTTTAGTATATGCCATAGACCCCTTATCAAATATCTGTTGTCAAAAAGGCGAGTCAGGCGACTCAGAAACCTAGATCGTGACAGTAGTTGTGTCTTATAGTTGCGAACACCGGTCTTGTGAAGCGGGCATAGAACCTCAATAAATCCTCAGTTTGTTAGGTGACGGAAGGATGCGTAAAGGGAGTTGGCGACGAGGAACAAGAGGGTAATTTCAATGTGGGCAGATCGGCGAGGTCATCTTCAGGCCTAAGAAGGCCTTTTAGGATAATCAGTTGAGAATCATGGATTGGATATCAGCTGCTAGGTCTAAATTCTCCGAGTAATGCCTAAGAACCCTTAGTTCTACCCGTATTCAGTTCTGCTCCGTATGCATTATTCTCTAGGTGACTTTGCCAGTCTCTGTTCGGGTTGCCGTTTACGCCTAACATACTTTGGATAACATTATTTTCTCTGCTAATATGAGCCAAGCTAGGCGATGAGCTGTGTGAAGGCTTAAATGGCCATGCGTGCATTAAATGGTCTACCGATGCACAAAGTACAATTGCTGAACAGGGGCTGGGATATCTTGGTGGCAACAGCACGATATTCAGTCAACTAGTTTTCAGGATTAAGGCAATGTAGTAAGACAGTGATAGCGCAGCACCAGTCCAATAGTCTTAAAACACTGGTTGCCAATAATCGTCTCGGTCTCCACCATACCTTCCTGTCCGTTTAATGTCCTTACTATTAGTTGTTAGCTTCTGATTCAAAGGCCCTCCCACCATTCTACTTCGAAGACACCTACAAACTGTACCATTCGCAAGGGTGGTCCTTTAGCTGCAGAATCCAGATTCTCTGCAAGAAGCCACTAATTTGATGTTAGCTCATATCTCATAGTCCGTGGGTATGGAACTCACTGGCCAGACTGCCACAACCGTTCTCAACGGCTCCAGGGGCGGTGCAGGAGGAGGCACTATAGACTGCAATACATTGAGCACAGTTCATGCGTGCCTCAAGCTTTTCGGCAGGGCTTGGGGCTGCAAAAGCTCCAGTGAAAAGCAGGGTCAAGGCGAAGGCGGCGAACTTCATGTTGGAGAAGATATGTAGAAGAGACTGAAAGCTGATATGGATAAAGTAGATCTGTTGGCTTCTTGAGTTTCCAATGCTGGGGATGCTACTCGACTTTAAATAGCTATTTCTGTTCTCGATCATTTACCGAAAGACTTGCCGTATGTCGCACTGTTTTTGCTTCTCCTGCTTTGAGTCGCACTTTACAGTTTCGCCGGCAGTAATTGAAGTGCCATGCGCTGAAGGAGAATCGCGCACATTGCGAATAAGTCGGTACTCTTTATCCCGAGTTTCATTGAACCCTGTTCATGGTGTACAGAAGTTGGTTGCTGGTTGAAGGTGATTGGACGTGTCGTATCTAACCTAGGCAGCTGTATAGCCTGTATAGTAGCTCGGTATATCTCTTTCCTCTCATCATATTTTAGCCCCCAAGCTACTGTGCCAAGCTAAATCTTAGCTCTTACCCCCGGTCTGCATGACCAGCCCTGCGAACATGTAGAAAGTCTTCCTCATCCACCGGAGCTTCAGCACTGTGCTATGAGATATACGATCGAGCTGCAGTAGCTCCTAGTACATGGTATATGTCACCAGCAAAAGAAATATTTTGGGGTTCTTTACTTGGCAACTTGACCTAGGCCACGACTCAAGAGACATCTTTCGCAATGTTCGGTGTAGACGATTAGTTTTGGCCCCAGCTTAGTGCGCAGACTCCACACGGCGTTTCAACCCCGAATCTCTGCCGTATTAGAAAGGGTCCTTGCCGATCATAGGATAGTTCTACTCTCGATTCTTTCTTTCTGCCGCATGCAGTCGGAAATTCCGACTCCGAATCATGGCCAGTAGCAGAGGGATTGAACCCTACGGTATTTTCTTGTCCACAAATGAAACAGGAGCTGTCTTAATGGGGCTATCTAGGATACAGGGCAAGAATATGACTAGTCGAATTTGAGAGCACCTGCTGCTAAACCCCGAATCAGGGTGAGATTGTCTCCAGCTAATATACTTGACTGAATCATTCGCAAGCTACTGTTGATGAGATGACTACGGACTTCATAACCGTAAGCTATCCTCTTAATTGTCACCTAGTAAGACCTTACCCTAGAAACTATACAATGACAAGGCTAGGCGACGAGCCGCTGAAAAGCTAACTCTATACCCAATGTTCTATGGTTGTTGTCGGCTGTTCATGCATTATTTCTACGGCCGTAGAGAGCACTAACCTGTCGCACGTCGAGCGCAGCAGACTTGCCTGGACATACGAAAGCCGACAAGTGCTGCGTCACTGGCGATTGTCTTGAAGCTCTGAAGGTTGAGCAGGTTGCATTGAGGGTGCACAATTTCCAGGAACTGTCGTATATCCGGATGTAGCAGGATTTAATTCATTTCTACTGCCCATCCTTGGCAGGGGTCTTCTGGCATTCCTTTGTTCCCCACACCATCCATGACAGAGTCTGTCTCATATGGCTTGTCATCTCCCTGCCAGGGCGGAGTTAAATTTAGTTTTGACGGACTTGGAAGCTACTATTGTTCTACTCTATGTATTTTTGGCCTGATAGTCCTCTTTTCTACTACACTATCTAGGGTGCTGTGGATCCGCTGCTGTGTATGGTCACCTAACGAGCTGGGGATGCTGGATGGCCATAAAGCCCACTTAAGAGCTAGGCACAATGAGTACCTTGACAAAAGGCAAGGAAAGGGACAACAACATGGCCTACTTGGCGTGAGAAAGGAGGGGAAACAAGGCATAGTGCCTGTACAGTTGATGTCACATCTGGGCCCACAGGACCTGTCGAGTCAGGCATTGGCCGGATACTTTATCCACAAGTGACAATGGCATGCTACTCTGGTCAACCAGACTTAAGAATAATTAACAATACGTGTGTAGAAGCCAAAAAATATTCTTCCATGGACGCAGAGTCTGGACTGAGGAATCAATAGACTGTCAAATCCTAGAAATTGCCGTTTTCGGCGAGGCGGATATATCGACGGTTGCGGAGATACCAATGAGCTTGCCCTGGAAATTATTTCCCTACTCAACTGGACCTGACTCAAGCCGTTCGCAAGCAACTGTCGTGGACTACAGGTAGCCTTGGCACTGAGTTCAAGGAAAATACTCTATAATCATGCATTTGTTGTGTACGGACAATAAACAAGGAAATTGTATTGCTGCTATATGTGCTATCAACTGAGTATCAAGCGGATCACGATTCTGTTTCATAGAGGGTACCACAGAATGACGACAAATGAGACTACCTGTCCCTATGTCCTTAGGTTACCGTTACACCCAAAGTAAGAGATGCGTAGGGAGTATAGCGATCCTAAAGGCGTATGATTATCAAACCCGTTGCGACGCTTGCACTATAAAGAGTCCATTGATGTCACGCCATCTCACACAGATTGCTAACCTTCTTTCTTTCACCAAGGGACTGCCTTGGATTAAAACAATGGTAACCTTCTTGATCCTTGCTGCGACCCTTTCGAGCGACGGCGTCTTTGCCTCACCAGTCCCGACCGAAGCACCGGTTAAGCAAACAGGCTACCCAGTTATCGTGGGCCAAAATGGCTATACTAGCGCTCCGTATCACGGTCCGTACACGGGTACGCCTACCACCACTGGCGCCGTGAAAGCGCCAGCGACGCTCGCTGCGTCAATCGAGCCCAAGCCGCCAAACCCTACCGCGACGTACTACAATAGCCAGGGTGTGCCACTCAACCCGATGCCAGCCCCATATACCCCTGCTGGAGGGTTGGGCACAAATGGCACTGAGCCTCGCTACATGGTAGAGAGTGACTTTGACTTCGAGTCCATTGCCCTCGGGGTCTATCAGGAGTACATTGAACTTGATCTCTTCCACGATGGCCTTGCTCGGTTTACCGATGAGGAGTTCCAGGAGGCTGGCCTGGGCCCCGAGGCCCGATCGCTTATCGAGTTCATGGCAGACCAGGAGACCGGACACGCGACCTTGCTGAGCAACATGCTGGGAGAAGCCGCACCCAAGCAATGTGTGTACAACTATCCGTACAAGACTGTTCGCGAGTGGGTCGACTTCATGCAACGTGTCACACGTTACGGTGAATCTGGTGTCTGGGGTTTCATTTCCCATCTCGACTCGCGAGAGGTTGCCAACCTCCTGTCTCTCTCAATCTCCACCGAGGCTCGTCAACAATTGATCTTCCGACAGATGTCGGGCCTCGCCCCAATGAATGTTTGGTTCGAGAATGGATGGCCCCAATCCTGGGCATGGACAATGCTGGCCCCCTATATCAGCTACTGCCCCGAGGGTACCACTCGTCTCGCGTGGCAAAACTTCCCAACTCTCCAAATCTTGAACAACCCGAACATCAACCGCGTTTCCCCGAATGACACACCAAATGATGGTAGCGAGACAGTGGGCAAGCGTATCACCGACCCATCAGTCTCAGATATTAGCAAGGACGAGAACTGCCTGAATCAGGACCCAGTCGGTAAGAACTGTGCACCCGCGATTGCCCACAACCGCTCGGAGCCTCTATCATACCCTGGTAAGCAGGTCTTCTTTGAATGGGAAGCGCCAGGCAAGAGTGTTGGACCGAACAACTCCTACATCACGACTACAGCTGCTGGTGAACCCAAGTTCGTGGGCTGGAGTTCCCAATTGAACTTGACCTACTCACCATTGACCGTGACGGGTGAAAACACTGGCTACACGTACCAACCGGAGGGTTTCGTGTATGATGATGATGGTATCATCAACGGCACCATGGCCATCATGCTAACCGATCTTGACCTCTTCATCACTCCGTTCAACCTGTCCATGCTCAATCCTCACATTGTCGCCCTCGGCTTGTACATGGCTGGTTAAGCGAAACCATGGAATTCAGTCCAACATCGTGGAAGGTGATGTGGCTCTGCCAGCCTCTTTGACGTAAAATGATTTGATCGGTAGCAATGTCGATGGCTTTTTTTTTTTTTTTTTTCACAATCGCTGGAGAAATGTTTCTGATAGATTATGCTATTTATAGAACGTGAAATTCGATGATAAACGTGTTTATTGAGACTGCTTTTTCATTCTGACATTCCTCTTCCGTAGAGTATGTAGGTTAGACATGAGCAAATGGCTCGTTAGAAGGAGCGATGAAACTTGGTATATAAAAGTAGTGCACCATGACTACCTTGGTAACAATTGGATAGCATTGTGGAAGGTTTTATGCTTCCATAACATGAGAATGAGCATTCGTGTATCGTATTTGCGCGACACTTGTTACTTCGCGAGTTAATTTCTGTCTAGGGACTTGGATACTCGCATGCCGCTGAGCAAAGCACTTTGGTAAATGGCGAAATAGCAGTTAATCCACACCCCAAGTTGTGTATTTCAACTGGAACTTCTGAGGGGACTGTTTTTCTACACATGTTGGTCCAGATGCAATGCTCTTTGCGGCTGAGCAGAGGCAAACATAGACGGAACTCAGTAGCGTAAAGACTTTGCCTTCCATACAATAACCAGGTAGTCCTCGACTCGAATGAATCAGGTCTAGCTGAGATCAAAATCCGCCAGACAGTTGAAGAATGAGGCATTGTAGCAGGTTGGATCGATGAACCCCGGAGCCAGTTCCGGTATCATCAAACCTTGTCCTTCCGCAACGGTTACAGCGGGAGGTGCATTATGGCTGGTACGCTCCACATTGTTCGAATCTTGAGATGTCGGGATCGACTTCAGGGGTTCAGCATTCCATTTCTCGATCGAATCAGAAAGAATGTCAGCTGCCGTGGATCGGACACAGTCATAGGCACATTCCGCGGAGCCCCAGGTTCGCTTTGTACTTTTCAGGCATCCGAGAATGAGGGTAACGCGATTGCAATGGTGATCAAAACACTCTTCAGAGTGATTTATGGAAGTTGCGAGCTGGATCATACCACATAGAGCCAACGCCGGGATGACGAAAGGCGTGTGCTTTTGGATGTTGGGACAAATGGAAATGGAGTCGGAGACACGCCGAGAGGCCTCAGTCGCCTTGATACTATGCACTAAGCGCGGAAAGGTAGACGAGAGGTGACAGGGTGCAGACGGCCAAAAGCAGTCGTCGTGCTGTGTGAGGAGCGGCCGAAGATCACTGCGCGGTAGATGCAGCAACATGGTGGCATACGCAATGATCAGATGGGCTTGGAAGATCATCTCATCCACATTACCGTAGGAATCCACAATATCTAGTTTGCGGGAGGGTAGGTGGTTGACCCAGCTGACGAGAGCATTTTCAATGGCCTGGAGATGGTCGCGATGATAATCCCGCAGGCGATTCAAGACTAGAACGCGACACAGGATCGTTGCTGCCTCGATGCGGTAGCTGAAGGATGAAAAGGCCATTTCTTGGGCCGCAAACACCCTGCGTTTGAAATCCAGCATCTTGCGCGGCGACGGGATCTCTCCACATCCTGTGTATGCGGATTCATCGCAAGGCAAGCCGACCTCCGGAGCGACTGTAGTACATCGAAAGGTGATCGTTTTAAGCGGAACGGCCATGAATATATCCGTGATGTATAGCTCCCACCACGTTCTTCTCATGCTCTCGGCTTCAACAGATCTCTCGGGGTGGGCCGATGATGCGAAATCACCCCGATGCATATCCAGCTCAAAGGCGATCTCCGCACTTTGTGAGAACGCTTCCTGGGCCTTTTGTCGCTCGCCGCGGGCATACAGAGCAATGGAGTAGATCAACCAAGCCTGGACCAGGCACGGCGAGCGGTCCAGATTGGATTCCAGCGCAGCATCTACCTTGTCCTTCAGCAGCTGGCGGGGCCCGGATGGCAAGTAATGAGACCCGACGAATTCCACGACCAGTTGAAGATAGGGAGGGTAGTCGCGATCCTTGTATAACGTGCTGGGGACTAATATCGGATGTGCAACATGAAAGTGTTCGTAATACAATCGAGCACAACGGTCATCTTCGTCCCATGACCTCTCTGGTGGTTCTAAGCGATCTGAACTGGTGTCATTCGGCGATAGGATTGCCGGCCATGGGACACCTACAAGGCCGGGACGGCTACTCCGTTGTAACGAGATATTGCTACTATCAGGCGTGTTCATCGGACCTGGCGCACTAGTTACTTGCAGAGGCAGTCCCGTCGCATGGTGAGGCGTTTGTAAGTTATTCCCGGTTCCATTCCCGGGGGAGTAATGGCTGGCACTGATACTAAACGTATCATCCAGTTTTGAAGCCGAGGGCCGATGTTGTTGTGGATGATGATACACAATGTCATGCCGTGGCTTTCGGCGTCCTCCTCGGCGAGAAGGGAGATATTGACAGACAAAGCCACCTTGGGTACAACGGGAACAGGATGGCTGATTGGCATCACATTTGAGATGCTGTTTGCGGCATTCTGTGCAAGCAAGGGCGGCGAGGCCAGTTTGCCGGGTGGATCGTCTCGGGGTCATGTTGATCATGATAACGATGATATTAATTAATTAATTAATTGTCGATCACCATCTTCTTTCACGGATGACAATCTATGCGACGTTAACCCGTCATCATGCCATCCGGACGGTTAGGGTTGTAGTTGAAGATGTGACCTTTTTGAAGGGACGAGCCAACCATCGATTTTCTTTCTTTTTTCCCGTTGATTTTCCGTTGCGCTTTTGGTCTGTATGGTCTCCCTGAGTATTACGCAAAGGGGATTAGTGGCGAGAGAAGGATACCCTACAATCGCCTCCAGAGAGACGGAAAACACCAGAAACACAGGTGAAACTTGGAATAGATGGAACTATAATGTTATCCCTATAGAGAATCATGGGTATTAGCGTCTTGCCACGGCTCCCGTCGGTGATCCGCGCCGTTGGAGCGGAACCTGTGACAATCGGCGATTGCGATCTGTTCTTATCCTACCGTTGAGGGAGCTACTCCAGATACCAGAACTATCGCTATGAACCCCAACCCTCTCGAATTGTTCTATTGTAGAAGATCGGGCTCTCTGATAGGATGCCTAGTCCACCGCCATTCGCTCAGTAGACTTATTTGCATCATCAGTACCACTATAAAGAGCCAAGACGCGTGGATCCACCTTCAATCGGCGACTCGACTTGCCCCGTGGAAAGCTGTCAATCGGCGATTGCGCTATCAGGGGGCGTTTAATGGTGATAATAGGATCGCCGGATATGGCGGTCAATTAATCAATAAATATACTGGGCGTGCTCGAACACTCCTTGAAGTTTCTCCAAGTGCTACAATCACTCACTAGGATCCAAGAAGAAATCATGTTGGCTTCCGCTATACAATTGCCTCTCCCTTTGCCGCACGGCCCGTCGCGATGCGATCACCGTTTCTTACCTCCCATGTATGATTTACAAGATCTCGTCCATGATATCAAGTCCTACCTCGGCGATTCCTCGGGGATCGATTCATCAGACATAGACCATGAGCACTTGATAGCGCTGGCGCAGAAATATGTCTCCAATCCGAATGATTGGTTGCGGTTCTTCTACAACGATCCGAGTAAGAACTATACCCGCAATGCCATCGAAAACATCAACCGCAAGGCAAACATTGTATGTTCACCGTTCTCCTAACATTACGAGAGTCTTGAAGACCGTGACTGACTCGTCTCAGCTGCTGCTGGTATGGAATCCAGGCAAAGGCTCTCCCATCCACGATCATGCCAATGCCCATTGCATCATGAAAGTCTTGGCTGGCGAATTGACCGAAACGGTCTACCATCCTCCCAACAGTGAGGGCGACGAGACAAGCCCGCTTCAGCTCAAACACCAAAAGCGATACCAGACGGACCAAGTGACATATATCTCGGATGATATTGGTTTACATCGCGTTCATAACCCAAGTTCTAATCAAGTTGCAGTTTCTCTTCACAGTATGCATCAATCAAACTCTCCCAACTCGTTCTGATACTGACCACTCTTAGTCTATACCCCTCCTAATGCCGCCGATTATGGCTATCACATCTTCGATGGGGCCACGGGAAAGGCCAGCTTTGTATCGCAAGCACACGCTCATTCGAATGCTGAGAAGCCTGCTGGTCAGGCCTGACACACGAACGTCCTGGATTAGTTGCCGTCAACCAATGACCAAGCCGAAGGGTCAGGTACCCTTTTCATTGTCAATTTTCTGTCGGAATCCTCCATAGCTCATATATCCCTAGCGTTGCTCTGTTTCTGTTTCTTCTTTTTCTTTCGGTTACCTGTGTTTATCATCGCACAATGTGCTCAGAAGCCATATATCCCACATTATAGTGTTAATTAATGCCACATCAATCCTATCATTGATTACTGAACAAATTACTATTAACGCTAAGCTCTTCTCTGGTTAGAAGCAACCCCCCTCCCCTAACAAAAAAAAATAAAAAGAAATGAAAAGAAAAAAGACAGGCATCTCTCAACAGGTTCCTACCGGCCGAATAACACCACAGATAATGAGGAAAATAATTCTGATACGAGATGTTTGATCTGGACCAAAGCTCTAGAGGATATTTGCCCTTCTGCCTATTTATTGAGATGTTCATGTTATTTTCGGAATTGACTGAGTTTGTTCTATTAAGTTTAGACTAGAAGTAAAAGGCCATGGTGAACTGGTGTCTACAGTGGAGTATATAGTAAACCTTGCAAATTACAGGTGCGTACGATGGGTTGACCCAAGCAGCTGGAGCGTAACCGACGACCCGGGGGGGGGGGAAGATGTATCTCAGTCACCAAGGTTATTGAGCAAGCATCAAAAAGACCTGCAGTTGGAATGTCATGATACATATAACTGGCATGGCATTATCGGAGGAATACCAATAAGCATTCCGGTAATTAGCTCCGATTCTACAATGGCAACATTTCGGGCGAAGACAGTATGTTGTGGACTATACCCGCGATACTGCAATCTCCGGTGAATGTATACATCTTTTATCTTTAAGACTTTAATTTGATATCCAATAAACTGATATAATGGCGACACAGAGTGAGTATTAAACAAAAACCAAGCCAAACGATACTGCATGCTAGGGAAGTATTCTCCCACGTACTTTGCATCAAGGTCTTCAACAATGATGTTGGGAAAACAAGACGAGTAGCCACAGCATGACAACACAGTGCTTAGTATCACTGAGTAATATAATGCCCTGAATGGAGATTCTGCGTGAACTATGTTCCTGATCCTATCTCTTAGTAGGGCTTTTCGATGTTTCCCGTGGAGTGATGTGCAAATGATGTCATGCCTATAAGCATTTCTTGCCTCAGCCTGGAAGATTTCTCACATTATAAACCCATCCTAATTGACTTGTTGATGAAAAGTGACTGGGTAAATTTATCATAATGCACCACTTGACTGTCGACCTTCGCAACACCGAAGCCCCAACCCGCGATGCGCCGGGAGATGTGCCTGCTAGCCTTCCGCCTGCAAAGGATAGCAAGCAGCATCCACGCCAGGGAGGTGACGAAAATGCGTCAGTGTACTTTATAGGGACAGCTACAACCATCATGTAGGCTAAAATTCGATTTGGATTGGTCCTTAAGCTGATAACAGGCAGAGAATGGGAAGGGTTGCGGGTTATGACCGATGTGGGCTCTCTATCAAGACCATAGGGCTAAACATACATGAATGATGCTGACCAACTAAAGCCAAACTTTCTTCATGCAGGAGACCATGTCCATCTCGGTCCGGGCGTGTCGAGTGCACGCAGAACCAATCCTGCTGTAGACTTGCACGAACTACCACGGGTTGACGTGGTTCTCCTTTCTCATTATCATGGGTACGCCAGTCTCTGTGAACTGGATCTCGCTAGTTCTTCCCAAGTGTGAAATATACTGACTTACATCGCGAAGCGATCACTTTGATCAAAAAGTCGAAGCCTCACTTCGTCGCAACCTGCCGATCATCACAACTCCACATGCGAAATCGACATTGACGTCCAAGGGCGAAGACTCATTCACGGAGGTGTATGATCTTGAGCCCTTCCAGGAGGCTACCATAGATATCACAGGAAATACATCAAAGAAACAAGCCCGCATGAGAGTGACGGGAATGCCCGGGAAGCATGTTCCAACGGGGGTCATTGAGAAGTTGAACGATCTAGTCTCTGCTGTATACCTCCCCATCGCCTCCAACCTTTTGCCACAGCACACAGAAGATCAAGATCCGTGAGTACATTTGCCAGGGGCTAATGGAGCAATATAGATTCCCCCAACGAATGGCTGGATGGTTGAGCTAGGCTACAGTGACGGCTCCTCAACTACGGATCTCACGGTCGGATATCGCATTTACATCTCCGGCGATACACTACTGATAGATGACTTGAAAGAGATTCCCAGGCGCTACGGTGATCAGAAAATTGACTTGATGTTGGCGCATCTTGGTGGAACCACTGTGCCCTCACCGGCATTGGGCCCATTGGCGATGATGGTGACGATGGATGCGAAACAGGGAGTTCAGCTGATGCAACTGATACGACCCGATGTAGCCATTCCAATCCATTATGACGATTATGACGTGTTCGCCAGTTCATTAGAGGACTTCAAAAGACAAGTCGAGAAGGCTGGGTTGGGCAGTGGGGTGGTCTATCTAGATCGCGGAGAAGAGTATCGGTTTCGCGTGAGAGCTTGATCTTTCGTGACTTTCTTGCAGTTCCGTAGAATGAGCTCATGTGTCTGGATCTACTGCTAATTGGCGAGTCCGTTTACGTACTTCGTGGAATTGTTGGTAAACTGGCTCGGATCGAAGAACGAGTCCCATATGAAATTAATTCCAACTCTATAAAGCTATGTAGTCATCGAGTCTCGTCCAAGGTGGTTCTATAATCTATATTCAAATCCATTATTCATCAGTAATTTTCAAAACTTGACCTTCCATCCCCAGCCACCCGCAACCCCCCTGGCGACCGCGAACGCAACGGCCGAGGCCAGATATAAAACCCCGCCGAAGATGATCAGCCCCCAATACTCGCCTCCATTGCTTTCCTGGATTGCACCCGCAAGGGGAATGCCAATCAATGTGCCCACACTGACGAGCGTGAAAGTGGTCCCATTCCGCTTTCCATAATCCTCGGTGCGGCAGACCTGCGAGATACACACAGGCGTCAAGCTGATCGCTGCCCCACTCCAGAATCCGAAGAGCACGGCATATGCAATGATGGCACCTTCATTAGTACCCGCTTTATACCAGAGCGCAAGCGTGCAGATCGCGCAGATAACTGCTGTCATAGTCATCACGTTGAATCGCCCCATTCGGTCGGCCAGGATTCCTGGGAACGCTCGTCCCGGAATAGCCCCTGCATTTAGGAACACGGATAGCTTGTATGCCATAGACTGTTCCAAGCCGGCGTACAACCCATAAGAAACAATGTACGTGTATGGGATAAAGACAGCAAACTCGACTAGCCAGACGGCCAGTGTGGTCAAGGCATATTTCGGCTCCAAGAGCGCTTTCAGGTCAATCGCCATACCGGCCTGCTGGTTGGGTGGTAATCGCGTTTTTAGTAGTAAGCAAGCCAGAACACACAAAACGAAGCAGATAATTCCGATAATTCGCATTGCCCAGGCAAAGCCGAGTGTCGGGCCAATGTAGAGAATGATTAAAGGGAAGAAGACACCGCCGAGACCGCCAGCCGTGCAAGCAATACCGGTTGCAAGGCCGCGACGTACGTCGAACCAGTGGCCGACGGCAGAGATGGCCGGGGTGAACAGGCAGCAAGAAGAGATCCCACCAAGAACACTGAAGGACAAGAATATTTGATAGTATTCTGGTGGAAGGTTAGCGAGACTTCTCTGGCGCTTGGCAGGACCTGACACGTACCAGTACTTGCACTGAAGAAAAAGACGGATAGAACTATGCCAATGGATCCTGGTAGCACCACTGGTAGCACTCCTCGACTATCAAAGATAGGCCCTGTATATAACTCCCATTTAGCACTCTACACAATGCCGTCCGAATATATATGCACTGTTCATACCAACTTGAGCACCTCCGAAATAGAGGAAAAAGCTAAAAGCACCAAAGATCCATCCCAAACTTGACGAAGAATACTGTGCCAGTTGATGATCCGCTGTCCAAGCATGGAGGACTCCGATGGTATTCAACAGACCCATAGATGGCACCATGGCACACCAGGAACCCAGTACAACGAGCCATGCGCGGAGACCGCCTTCGGGATATTTTGCATCTTGATAGTGTTCACAAGGATCTGGCCTCGTCTTTTCAACGACATTTGAAATCGCACTACGGAGTGTTTTCAAGCACTTGCGCCCCGTTACATTCTCAGTGGCATGTTCATTACTGACATGCTGGCCGGCATTTAACTCGGTGGCAGCCATTAATCACCTGGCAGGATGCAACAAACGGAACTTGGCAGCCCAATACGAAGCGAAAGGCGAGGTGAAATAACCGGGTCAGAGCCCGGACTGCAGACACGGAGCCAATTGTGGATTTAAAGGCCTTTAGTCAAGAACAGAGCAGATGTAAGACACTTGGCAGCCCCAAAATAATCAATCTCATAGTGGGGACAGAATTTGACAGAGAAGGGTTCGTCAGGCACACGTGATACCGAATGGGCTCCACCTTCCTTGATCTTTGTGGTCCGGAAATTTGGAGATAGGTGTAGAACAGTCCATAATCCATTATGCGTGGGTAGCTTTATGTACTATGTTGTCGCCATGCGTCCACGGAGTGATGCCATGCACCTGTTGAGCAGAAATGCATCTAAAATCTTCTCTCAAAAAGAAGTCTCAGATCAAGTACATTATATATGTATATATCTCTATCATTGGAGAAAGACAAAGGTATTATGTATATAAATGCTACAGGGGAGTGATAGGCCGTGGCATTAGTGATGCAGTAAACTTAGCATAATAACATGTTCGAACTATTCATAGTGAGATAGAATGTCGATATGTTGCAAAGCTACCATGTTTCTTGTCTCCTTGACCACTTCAGATCCTCAGGCTGAGAGGCAGGTGACGCTAACCACATCCAGACAACAAGTACTGGAGTCACTCGTTCCATCATTTCTGCGCTAATCTATCTTCGGACTAGGCCACCGGAGCATCTCCGGCGGACTATCACACGTGACCAATACAGGCGGAGAGCTCTGGCAGAATCCGCCTCATTGTATCCGTAGTACGAAGTACTACTAGTTTCATGCAGATTTACTTCGACCAATACTTCTGCATAACGAAAACCCTTTCTATTTAGAGCGCATCATGGATATAGATGCTGTAATGGATTTGCCCCAGACCCGGTCAAGGTCGCAAAGTCATGATGGGCCAGTTCGGAGTGAAACGGCCAACACTATCACCCCTAGACGACCTGGGACTCGTCGACGGGCAGCCTGCCAGACATGTAGGAAACGAAAGGTCCGCTGTAACAACGCTAGACCAGCATGTGGCTTTTGCCAACACAATGGTATGAACTGCGTCTACATCGAGCGTGGAGAACCAACAAAGGAGTATGTATTTTAGATCTCACCCCCTTCCATTTAATCTAAACCGACTCTGACGGCATTGCTAATGAGAACAGGGACCGGGATCTGGGAGAGGTGATCGAACGACTGGATAATCTGGCCTATGCAGTCGAGAACATTCACTCGTATCTCTCCTCTACGGGTCAGTTGTTTTCAATCATATGTTCCTACCCATACATGGTGTACTGACCGGAGCTTAGGAACCCCGATGTCCAGTGGGCGGTCCGCCGCGCCGCAGCAAACGGGAGGACAGTTGGACATTCCAGTGGATGACACAGAGCCATACAAGGACTATCTACAAATTCCTTCCAGTCGCGGTAGCGCGGACACGGTTCTCACATGGCCGATTTTCCGCGGACGATTTCGCGAAAATGCTTTAATCACGACCTTATTCCAGTCGTCAAACGGGGCAGAGAACTCTGCCATCGAGACATGGGTTGTGCCCGACGGGTTCCAACCAACGGATGAGGAACGTATCCCAGCCCTGGTAGACCAATTTATTCAGAATGTGCACACGAAGAATCCGATATTGGACCTGGAAGCCCTGATTCGTTGGGGGCGACATGCTGCGGAGTTTGGACTCCGATGGGATGCCCAGTCTTGTCTTGTCCTGCTAGCATGTGCACTTGGGTGCGTCTCCCAGGCCTTCACGCTTTCTATGAAAACAGGCCAAGAGGAAAGAACAATACACGCCTCTGATGAAAAATCTTCGTTCGCGTCGGGGTTGAAAGAAGGTGAAACATTCTTCGTGATGGCTTGCCGAAGGATTGGCCTTCTGCGATACTCCGTGCTTGGGGCTCAATGCCACTTCTTCGCAGGAGGTTTGTAACAAACTGATTTCTTTGTTTTGATAGATGCTGACCGTTGTCTAGTTTACCTGATGTATACGTTTCGTCCGCTGGCGGCTTGGAATCATTTCTACCAAGCCTCAACCTTTTACCGACTACGGTTAAGAATGATTGATGGTTTGAACATTGACGACGATCTTTCGGCGGACGAAGCGGCACAGCGCGGGACTTCGGTGTCGCGACACATGGAACAGAGCTTATATTGGTCTTGTTTCAAATCCGAGGTCGAGATTCGAGTCGAGCTCCCATTGCCACAGTCGGCAATTGCCGAGTACGAATACCCAGCGCTGTTCCCAACCCCGCCGAACCTCTCAGAGGACTACCCGGAAGGTGGATCACACGGAGCCGGATGGTCAACGTCTTGGAATTCGTCCAGGCCAACAAGCAGTTACCAGAGTAATCGAGCCCAGACATCATTTGGTGTGCGAAATCACATAATGCAGCTCTTCGATGAAGAACAAAGCTGGTACTACTACCTGACTGAAGTAGCGCTCAGGCGGATTGGAAACCGTGTGCTCAATGCCTTCTACCGAAAGGGACAGTCTATGTGGTCGGACATCAGGCCATTCATCCCTCTGGCACTAGAGTTTGAAACACAGATCGATGCATGGTCCGCTAACCTTCCTCCAGGGTTGCGGCACTACAAGGACAATGAAAGCAGTGGTCAAACTAGAAATCGCTTCTCTGAGATGCAGGACTCGATATCGCTCGAACTCAGTTGGGCAATCGCCAACCGATTGTTGGAGATTCGCTTGTGGCTTTATCAGCCCTTTTTGTATTTCGTCATCCATCATCCAGTTAACCCAGGACAGGAGGCTCGAGGAACTCGAAGCTCATCATTTACTGGCGAGGAGTTAGCAACTATCGCTATCCTAGTCCAATCCGGGATGCACTGTGCCCTGAAGATATTAGAAGCAAGATGTCTGCGCCACCGCCATCATGGGATTTGGTTCGACCTTCGCGCCCTGGTGACAAGCTCCCTAATCGTGATTGCTGCCATAAAAAGCGGCAACCTTGATGTGCCGGGGATCGACAGTCCTATGGAATTAAAGAGCCATTTCGAAGGCACACTACAAGCGCTTAGTTACTGGGAAGATGAGGCTCCAGATATCAAGAAGGCTCGCTGTATCTTGGCCGGGTTGCTTACGGAGATGGGATAATCATCATCACGGTGAGCGTGCAGCCAATTGCGCTATCTTCATGCATATTTTGAATGCCTGATAACTTTTGGAATTTCCGAGCTTATCATATGGAGTATATACATTATTTGCATGAGCTCATCAATGGCCGATCATGGCTAGTATCCGTTCTATCGGCAGGCCTCTCAAAGAGAAAAATGTTCGGTTGTAGCTTTATCCTAGTCCTCAATCGCCTTGGCCTTCTCTGTGTCTGAGAGACCACGGGCTCGGGTTGCTTGCGTCAGTTCGGGGTTATTTTCCACCAGAGTCTGGAAGTTTCGCTCAGCATCCCACACCCAAAGGCTGTCGGCTGCGAACAGCAGATCTATTTGTTCCAACGTGCGCTGGTTTGACTCGGGGTATAAAGCCCACACCATCGGGATCGTAATAACATTGGCGATCCCGAAAATATATAGGGTCTTCTCGCCGATAGAATCAAACATAATGGGGCAGAGGAGGGTCTAGAAAGGTTGCAAATTAGTGCCTGAACAGGCGTCAATTACCGGTCAGCACATACCAGCCAGCCATTTCCAATACTCCATCCCACTACACCCCATGCATTTCCTTTGGCACGAACCGAGAGTGGGAAGATTTCTGCAGGATACAGCCACGGAACAGCTGCAACAATGTGATTAGTATCTTGAGATGCTCGCCATACAAAAGTGCGAATGAGCGTGTTCACTTACTGAGCCATGTCGCTCCGAATACAGAAGTAAAAATAAAGACCATAGAGGCGGCAGCAGCACCATAGGATGAAGCCTTGCTGGTATCTCCTGCAGCGCTTGCCTGCTTACAGAGATATGAGAAGCCTCCAGCAAGGAACATTGCAATACCCTGTCCGACGGAGCCCCAGTACAAGGTCCAGCGACGGCCAATCCGGTCCAAGGTGAAGACACAGACTAAAGTTGAGAACTGCGAGTGACATGAGCAATGGCTATCGACAACGTTTCCCCAAATAGTTCTTACCATGTAGAAGACATTGTTCAGACCGCTCACCCACTGGCTTTTCTCAGTGTCAAAGCCAGCCATTCGGAAGATGACAGGGGCATCTGCTCCCAGTTAGTCTTTTCTCATCATTGCTCCACTTTGCAGGCATCCTGATCCTAGCAATGCTAGCATCAAATAGTGTCACTTACAAACTGTTACTCCAGCAATCCCCACCCATTCCTGCATGATTTGCAACCATACAACCAGCTGCACCCGGCGACCGATGTGAAGGTTGCCCGAACCCCTCCCAGTGATCATGGAGAAGTATGAGGTGCTGTACTTCTGAGCCTTTTCAAGTTCAGCCACGTTGCAGATATCCCGGAATTCAGCCTCCGCCTTGTCCCCATCCTCAGGGCCTGTTCCACGCAATCGACCGAGAATGTAGCGTGCTTCCTCCTCGCGACCGACCTTGACTAGCCATCTCGGAGACTCGGGGAAGAACCAGACGAGGCCTAGCAATAAGAATAAGAGAATGATTTGGAATGCAATGGGAAACCGCCAACGTATGGCTGAACGTCCTTCATCGATGAAGGAAAGGCCACTGAGGTATGGTATTAGCACGAAATCGGTCCGATATGCTGTAAGGGCCCTGTAGTTATATGACTTACAATTCTAACCAATACGCAACCACGACACCGAAGATGTTCAATGTGAATTCGATTGCGATGAATTGACCCCGAGATGTGTGCTCGGCCGTCTCTGTTGCCCACACAGGAACAATTGCGTTCAAAACGCCAGTGCCAATGCCATTGATCAACCGAGCTAATTATCGTGGTGTTTCATCAGTTCTGTCAAGCAAGTAAAATATGTCCAATATTACCATAGGCGCGGGAAGGACATACCGCAGATGATCCACTGATGATTCATGGCCGAGCACTGTAGTGCAGCACCAACAATGGCCCATACCGACCCAACTGCAATACTCTTCAACCGTCCTATTCTTTCGCCAATCCAGCCCCCGAAAAGAGCACCGACCAGGGTACCTAAGTAGTAGACGGAGACAATGCCACCTTGGAGCAGACTGTCGGTGACGACGGGGACATTCGCGTCACCGTTTATATTGGCTCCATAGCCTATTCCCATGAGTTCGAGATAATTGCTGGAGTTGTTCACTCCCCCCATCATCCCTTGGTCATAGCCAAAGAAGAATATAGCCAAGGCAGCCACGCAGTTGATGGCGACCAGCAGTTTCCGCTTCTCCAACTTGTGGACTACATTCCACCTATGGATTTGGTTCGCCATGATGGTTAGGCAGATGGGCTACTAAGATATATATCCCAGTGAGAAAAAAAAGAAAAAGAAAAAGAAAAACTAGGATGGTAGGAAGGTCTGCAAACTGCAGAGAGATAAGATATGATCCATTGTATTTTCGGGGGATAATGAAACTTTTATACATTCTTGACGGCTGTACCCCAGATCAAGTTTGTTGAACCCCAGCGTGGGGAATCCGGGGAGACACGCCTTCACGCAGTTTACAGTCACGATTCCTTGATAAATACTGACGGACTTCACGCCGTTTTCTCCGTTAATTCACAGGTGGTTCTCCACTTGGACCTAACCAGCTAATTCTAGCCCGTTCTAGTTTACGAAGTTCCAGTCTTCGAGGGCACGTGCCGGTAGAAACGCCGTTCTCGCCCGCGCACACGCCCTAATGTCGGCTCCACACCAGAACACTGTTAGGACAATGTCATTGGGGATAAACTCGTCACGATTTCCCCATTCAGCCTTTATCGTGAAGGGTGACAGAAGAGATTAACTTCGACGGATGTCATAGACCCACTAGGAAGTCGAATATCAACCCAAAGTGGGTATGTAATGCCATTGTCCGTAGCAGAAGACCACCTGGGGTTAGCAGGGGAGACATAGCGGACTGTCGTGAGCTATGGCGAAAATGATATTCTCATCGCCTCAACGCTCTCATGAGTGTTTTCAATGATGAATTTCATGCCATACCTATTTGAGGTGTGTGTTTCCGTGTGTCGTCCGTTGTTATGCTCACTATCTCATCAACGAAAACCCCAATCTTTCCTTTAATACTGTGATTTGATCCACCTGTACCATCAGAAGGGGAGTATTTCCGACTCCCAGGGATCGCGCTTACTGTCATTTTGCGTTGAGCTACCACCCTGAGATCGACGATACCACAACCGGATTCCGGACCCGTCAGACAAGGCACCCGCACGCATTGCACATATACGCGCACGCTCAGGAACCAGTTCGCCCGGTGTAAGACCCTCCGATTCAATAGCAATCATCCGACTCACAACAAAAGCAGTTCCAGAGCTTGTCCAGGCCCCCTCTTGAAGTTGCCATCTCTGCAATAGCCGCACCGCTTCTCTCCGAATATGCCAATCGCGGCACCGGAACGCACAAAGGTAAAGGGGCGGGATCATACCCATTCCGACGGAGAATGTTGGTATGGGGGTCTGGCTGAAGTCGGAAGAGAGGACAGAATTGGCGAGCTGGACCACACGCTGGAAGTTTGGTGTGAAGGAGTCAAACCTGCTTTCTCCCTCATCCTGCCTACTATCTGTCGAGACTCGGATGCAGATGATCTCGGTCCATAAGTCGAGGGCCGCGAGTGTATGACGGTCTCTTGATGACAATACAGCTTTCTGGAGAGTGAGCGATGCTGTTAATTCTGTTTTCCAAAGCTGGAGCTTCTGCAAAATCGCGTCTTGGTGCTCATCGAGGATCTCCCGAGCAAGGGCCATCTTACTGTTCTCAGGATCGTTCTCGCAGACGAGCCACGCAAGACCAATTAAGAGGTTACATGCGTCCCTGAGGGAATATACAGGCTTGCGCCAAACCGGGTTGCCGAGAGCCATAGAATGAACGATGGAGTGCTCATGTTGCAAGGTGGCTGCCTCAGGCTCCCGGAGACTCGCCCAGTGCAGCTCTAAATGGTAGAACACATCCGTTAACGCTGGCCTATACTCCACCAATCCCTTTTTAGTATTGCTTAAATATGTCTCCTGGAGGAGACGGGTGCCATGCCGTAGGTGACAACTGGCTGCGTCGGTGTCTCCTTGGAGGAATGCAAATGAGACGAAAAGAACGCAAGTAATCAACGTAATAAGCACATGGGAATTCTGCCGGCAGCCGACACTCTGTAGCCTCTGCTGCAAAGAAGTAATAGCCTTGTTACATTGCCGAAGAGGGAACAAGTGAGGATCAATCTGATTTCCCGGATTCTGCGGAGACTGTGTGGTGCTGAAACTTCGATGGAGGGCACTAATGGCAATGGTCGCATGGCGAACAGCCGGCTCCTCCTCACTGACCTGATGAACCATTCGATGCCAAAATTCGAGCGGAAAGTAGCCGGAGCATTGTGCAGCCGTGCTGGTGCGAAAGAAACCCAGATACCAACGTTCGGACAGCGACAAATCGGTCTGGCTCGGATCGACTAACAGGCGGGAAATCCAGGCACCGCATTCCTTCGCCACAGTGAGTTCATTCTGCTGAACTTCGATCTCTATCTTGCAAGGGACGTCAACGGTGGCTTTGGTGGTTTTCCAGGCTCGAGTCCTTCGATCGATGGTCTCCTGATAGCCGCCGCACTCGCGCCCTGCGTTGGCACAGGTGCGACAATGCGGGCGAGCCTCGTCACATTTCTTACGCCGGGCCCTATCAAACTGGGAATTAGTACATACAAAATTGCCTATCCAATGCTCCCAGGTCAGGGGCAGCCGGGGCGATAACCTAAGTGGATTATCGCGCGTCGTTGGGCAACCTTACTTGCAGGTCACACAGCCAGTGCGTACCTTGGGACGGCTCACTCGCGACCGTCGCTCCATCGGTGGTGTGTGCAGAGGGTCCATTTTTAAATCTTCTTGGGCCTCTTCCAGATCTCGCATGTACAGGTGCATTGCGTAACTGACGGGTTGGAGTAGTGAAACACGAGGGTGCGTGCGGCGGTTCTGCCGAGAGGAGTGGAGACTGCCATCGAACTATCGTCGAAGATCGGCGTTTTTACTCAACTTCATTGGTCCAGAGGCTCGGACGAGGAAATCTTCGGTCGGTTCTCGGTTGGTCGGCGTATATGCAGCCCATCCTTTTGAGTTGCGAAGCCAATTGAGTACGTATGCTCAACAGGTAGCAGGGTGGGACCGAGTTGAGCTGGTCACAAAGTGACTATCGCAGTAACTATTTGGATTGATCGCGAATCGCTCAAATTCAGTACATGAATCATCGTCCTTCTATATCCTTTCTTCCTATCCGCAATAAACCAGCTTCAGCGTAAGAAGCTTCGAATTGACACTCCTGCCGGCCACCCTTCACGAAAGGACAATCGCTACCAGCTAGTGTACTATTTGTACTATTGGAGACTGGCGGTTGCTGTTTGTTTGGGGTACATATATAATCAGCTAAACAAATCCAAAAATCTCTTCTGGAGTTCCACGGGCAGAAGAAGCACGCACAAATGAAAATGAGATAGCATCGTCTTTGAAGCATTGTCTTATGTCCAGGATATCAGTGACTGCGCTGCGGGGAATAGTGACATTGCACGCCTGTCCAATCTTCTTAATACACTATGGATCAGTAACCGGTCTGCCGGGGGGGGGGGGGGGGTGGATCTGCTGTGACGTAAGGATCTCGAGGTTTTGGTATGTCCAGGTCTGAAGTTATTATCACTCGACTACGATGGAGACACCAACCACCACCATACTACTACCTTAATATACCAATAAATGAGAACCACTGAGAGAGAGAGAGAGAGGTAGCTATCTACCAATTATATCTGAAATAGGGTACAAAAACGTTGAGAAGGGCAGGATCAGGAAAAGCTGCCAGGTAGGGTCCTGTGACCGGGTCTGTTCGTATATCGCTTCCTTCTAGAAATTTTGCTAGCTACACAATATACGGAGTTTTGCGTACCAAAATATTCTATGTACAAAGACTTGAACCCCTTGCCACAGTGGTTCCGACAGCTCCACCTACGATCTTTAGGCACTCTACCTCAGGAATTATTATTGGCCAGGCCACGATGATCCCTGATGATCATTAGTTTGGTGGTGCGGCTGAACTTCAGCCTTGGTGGCATTGGGCCAAAGCTATCGTGAACTTTCCCCATACTTATCTATAAAGGCGGAGTGATCTGCAGGAGTTCAGCGATTGAGTTCACGTATCCCGTATGCGAGCTTTAGTGGAAAAGCCTTATTTAATTCTGGTATACAAGTCGGAAAAGAACTCCGTGCCAGAAACGTCACATTGTAAACCAATTCAATGTAGAATAGGAGGATCTGTGAAATTAACGCTAAAAATGACCACTATTATATTATTTTACGGCCGCATCTGATTTGCACCCGTAACTCTCAGTCTAACATCATGTCACATGCTTTTACTGCACGCGCTGAGTGTAGATTGGAGAATATCAACATAGAAATATCCGGCATACATCAATAATAACGCCCAATATAAAGAATGAATGAAAGCCTGGATTCCTGAATAGCACCTTTGGTGAAATACATGTATGGTGTGCTACCTGAGAGAATTTTTCACTCGGCATCAACAACAGAACCCTAAGCCATGTTATTACACCGTGCATCGTTTCATCCATACTACACAGTTCGGAGTATGTGAATGATACATAGTATCAAGCCCATGGCTTGGGCTTTTAGATATTTTGTATGACTTTCAAGTAAGAAATTGAACATGCATGCTTATATACGTAACCGCTCAATAAGCCAGGCCTTCAAAGCAAGACCCTGTTCGGTTTCATGCTTGTCGGCAAACAACGGCCAAATAAGAGGTGCAACGTGACACTCATTCTGACCAACAATCAAAGTTGTTTCAGGTTTCACTTTCTGCAAGTCATTAGTGCTGCGAATAAGTTGCATCAAAATCAGGTCTCATATGACATACGCTGAATTTCTTGAACCACGCCTTAATAGAATCCAGGAGCATCTCATCTCCTCCTGCAAGAACCAAAGTGTGCTCCACTTGGGCGTCTTGCCACCAGGTTTCAGGTGCCTCGAGTGCTTCAACATAATAGTTCGTGGATCTCCCATGCAAATATCCCTGTTTCAACCGTTCTAGCACTTTCCGGTCGTCAATGTCTTTATGCTCATTAAGCTTCATGGTAGGCCAATCCTGGCGGAAGGAAAGCCAAGGTGACAGAAGAACCACGGCTTTGAGCGGAGCACTGATTGCTAGTGGCGGCGCATCTTCAGATGGATGGGACAGGTGGGACAGAAGTGCAAGACACAAATTTGCTCCCGCGGAATCGCCAGCAAGGATAATCTCCGAGGGGGATCGTCCAAGTTCTTCAATGACATACCGTAGAGCTTCGACTGCCTCGCGAAATTGTGTTGGATATGTAGCATGTGGTGCCAAGGTATAGGTCACATTGAACCAGCCGGTACTGATACTCTCATCGGCAAGTGCGCTTGCCACGCCAGGCCAAAAATCGAGATACGGTGCAGTTGCATCCATGGCAAATCCTCCACCTGTGTGATTGTCTTAGCATCATCTTTTTGGGGGTTCAAGTATAGTGCCTACCGTGGAAGTTGATCACAACGTACTTTGCAGTTGGTGAACCAAGCCAGAACCCTTTTAAGCCGCGCTCGTTAGAAACGAAGTTAGGCTTGACGCCGATCTTTTCACAATACTCTATGTATAGCTGGTCATAGGACTTGAAAATATACCTATTCCACCCTTGTCAGCGTTCACACGGCTCTTCAAGATAGTAGTTTGTACGAACTGGAGCTGTAGCGGACTGAATCGACTAGTAAGCTGTAGATGTTGGTAAGCATTCGATTCATGTAAAGTCATGCTTGCGATAGGAAAAGCTACTTTTTTGACTGTGGCTTGGATGACGTGGTGAGGATAGCTATCTGCCCCGGATGGACCACGAAAAGGACCGAATATAGCAGCAGATACGACTGTTGCCCCTTTATGACAATATTCAAATGAATGTCAAGAACACGAGAAACATCGATGGGGATTACTTACCAACAGAGACCCAGCCTAGCCAGGCATCGATCGTTTCCCAAACTCCCAACTTATGTTTCATGATTGGCCGTTTGTAATCAATGCTTGCAGAATTTACGATGGTTATTGCAAACCCCATATTCTTTAAATACTAGCTACGATCTCCACATTGACCACACATGGTGCACGGCTTGATTAGTATTCAGCCCTACTACCGAGGTATAATGCTAGCTTCGCTGCGCTCAGCTGCGCGATAATTAATCATTTAGTTGTGCAAAAGTAAGGTTCATATAAATCTCGAGGCACATTTTATCTATATGGGGTTGATACATTCTACCAACGACACGCAGATTATGTTCGTGGGCGGGGAGTGGGGGTTGGGAAATCTTTTGATAGGGTTTTAGATTACGACCTATTCTCTGTATTCCAACCGCAGCTCAGGTTTTGTGAAGCTCTGATATTGAATAATGTTTCTTTGGCCCATAATAGTGCTAGCTACACAAAAATTGCAAAAAAGTTACACTCAACTCTTCAACATCCGAAACCTGATCTCCAATGTCCTGTCGTGACCTTTCCGTAAAGAGATACAATCCAAGGGTGTCTATAGCTTCATCCTAACTAGCCTCCCCTGTCCCTCATTCGTAAACAACAGTACCCCATTCACGTAGCCGATCACCCAAAGCGCTGGATACTGCCAGTGGAACCACATGGGATGGTCAGAAACCCCGAACCATCCAAAGTGTCTGTCCAGGTTGTAGCAGAGGTAATTACATGTACTGAGAACCAACAACGTCCAGATTCCTGTGAAATGACCAGCCTTCTTTCAGTAGTAGTAGTGGCCGACAATGAAGGACTCTATGAGACCGCCCATGGTTCCACCCATCCCTAGGGGGCAGAACACAAGCATCCACATAACCTTATAGAAGAGGTCGCGGGTGCCGGTCATGATGAAAATACCCACGGTGAGGAAAATGACTTCGATGAAGAGACAGTTGATCCAGAAGAGGAGGAAGGGACGGATGTAGATGATACGCCGTTTATGCGCTGTTTGTAGTCATCTGGTGTAGTGATGATCAGTTGATATTGGGCCATGGTGAAGGTAGTCGAATAAAATAGTATGTAACTGTGCAACAGAGAATATCGTGCAGGAAAGAATGAGATGTTGATAGAATTTTGAGATACGGTAATTGTCGCTACTTAAATCGCACCAGTGTGTCTTCCTCCATCTTCGCTATAGTTGGATGCATTGTGCAATGTAACCGAGGTGTGAAGAGTTTACCTGTAAATGATGAGTGATCTAGTGATTAGTGATCGTTCGGGGACAAAGAACCCCATATCAAGAGGCTATAGGTGTTTTTCGGCACTGGCATCAAGTGAACAATTACGTGTCTACTGCAGCTTGATCGAATTGATTCACGATATCTACCGGGGCCATCAATAATCTATATTGGCGCTTTGATCCGGCAAGTACTCACGAAACTGAGAATCCAGTGTCCGATCATATTGGTCCACATTGACTCTTCACCCTGTAGAAGCTCGGATTAAGGGTAGTCTTGGACCATTCGAAAGTGCACCGGGCGAACAACCTCTTCGTGCTCCTATGACGCCTACCACAATTTAACCTTGGAAGTTCGGCCCGATTGAGACGGAAGAGTGATGTGTGATTCGGCCCGACTCAATTCGACAGGACAACAACTTGGACACATTACCATCCGCAGCTTAGCTTTTCATCTTAATTATTGTACCTAGGCTCTGGTAGTGACTATACATACATACGAACAAGTATAATGGTTGATGAATCTCTCTAGTCTTGACCTGGTGAATCACACCAGCTTTCTAATTGAGTATAAGGTACTAGTGGAGATAATAATCCGGCTCATGATGCCAAAGACTGAAAAGGCCAGAACTTGAGGTCCGAATAGAGGTCCGAATAGCTAGCTAGCTACAAATAGTCTACATCAACGAGTTTATGGAGGTTTGAGTTAATCCCACACTTTATCTCTTGTCTGAGACACACCCCAGTGACCCCCTACATCTCTGATGACGATCAATGTACCAGGGGCAGTAATGACTTTACACGCTAATGGGGCTAGGAGCAGTATCCTCAGAAGGTCTGATCAACGAAGATAAGTTATTATAGCTTAAATATCTTTGCATTTTGTTTCGGTAACCTGCTCAAAATTGAAATGACCCCTCAAGCTTACAGTCCAGCGCTGCAACGTTTCGATGGCCCACCTTGACGTCTCATCTTACTCTCTAGTTTTGTCTCAGGCAGGGACAACAATGCCTCCGTCCTTCCACGAACTACCATCATAAATCTTGGCGGCAATAGCACCAACGGGATTCAGACTCTTGTAGAAGAGAGTCACTTTGCCATTGACAGAAACAGCAGTCAAGTGTGTTCCAGGGTAAAAGGGTGCAACATCAACTGTATTTCCATCAATACGGTCCTTGATTTTGGGAGGGCTGCTTCTGTCCGCGTAAAAGACATGTTTTTTGCCATTGTTCAGCGCAGCAAGGGGAGTACTATTCCCCACTTCACTTGCTGGGATAAGGACCTTCTCGTCTGGCCACGGAAAACTAGTCAGACAGTTTCGATATAGACATGTCTCGTGGAGGATAGGCTTACCATGCCATTGGCTGTCCTGGCTGACCCAGTGATTGACATTTTCCTTATGATCCTGGTAATACAGGTCGATGGTCCCCTTGACGATACTACTTGCCAGATCGGTTCCTGGGAGTGCCAGAGTGTTCTCAGGTAACACTGTTTCGGTATTCCACGGACTCTTCGGTGTACGGCGAATCTCCGTGATTTGGAACTGGTTACCGCTCGGTCTTTTTGACGTTAGTAGCATTCCAAAAAGTGTTGTGAATGGGAGGTCTGACGTGTTGAAGTAAACCCATTGGGATCCATCCGGATTCCAGCCAGAGCCACTGAAGGCTCCACCAGTGATCCGGGAGACCGACGCAGGGTTTGTCGAAATTCCATCCACTTTCCCATCTTTCCAGGTCCCCTCAGAAAGGACTTTGACTGTGTCGGCAACTTTAGCGCTGCGGTCAAGATACACAACATGGATCTATGCTCAAAAGTCAGTTGACGACACTGCCCTTTATGACCCCTTGGGCTGTGAGGCGCAGACATACGGTCGACTTGTTTTGGAAATCCGCATCGTGTTCAACATAGTATGCAGTCAGGGCTGAGCCACCGGAGGCAGCGTTGCTAGTAACCGTCGAAGCCTTCGCCGTCCAGCTTGCGCCTGACTCAGAGTGGGCTTCGAGGATATCCTGGCCGTTCTGATAATAAAGAAAGCCGTCTTTGCCATTGGTTGTGACAGCAGCCAGCGCAGTATTGACAAGGGAGCTCATTTTGTAAGGTGGGGTTGACTGTATGATGGTACTATGCTTTCGTGGTAGAAAAGAGACGGATGCTTCGTTCACCTTGAATAGACGATCAGGCTGGGCTTTATATCTTGGAAGGAGCGGCTTTGAGAATGTGGCACCCAATTATAAAGACAATAGGAGCGCCATTATGAGGCCAATAGCAACAACGATGATGTGTCTGAGAAATACCTAGGGTGCGGGGAACATAAAGTGTTGACTGGAAGGCAATGCTATCCTGTGAGATGTGCTAGATATCGGGAGGAGGGCGAAACAAGAGGTTGAGTGAAAATACGATGCATATTTGGCGGGTTGCGCGCCCTATGGCCGGAGCTAATGCTCTCCTCCCAAGTTTCGAAGAAAGAGATCATGCAAACCTCACCTCAACCGCGACGATACTGCCCCTCATGAGGTGATGCGATGCATTTCTCCATAGTACTATCCATGCACATGTATGTTGTCCGCGTCTCTGAGCCCTGTTCAGCCATTACATGTGGAGACAGTATCATTTGCCAGGAGCGATGGCGAAACTCCCATGGCTGGCTGATGTGTGTGAGGTGGAGAGTTCAAGTGGAAATGGGTAAGAAACAGTGGCATCTCCATCCATGCAACTTTACATCATGGAGTGCAATGGATTTCCCGAGGTGCATTACCATTATAAATCGAAACTGTGCTGTATGGTAGGCCATTTAGCTCGTTAAATAACCATTTTGAACTTGGAGTTGCTGGAACTACTCCTGTTATGCTGTAAAGAGATATATATATCATAAATTCCGTTTGCAATTTTATTCTCCCTTTTAGAACCAGCGGAAGGGGTGTTTATCGAGAGAATATTTTGAAGGCGGATAGTTTCAAAAAAAAAATGCTTCACGTTGGTCCATGACGCGAGTATTCTACGTGTAAGGCATGCCAAGAGCTGCAACAAACAGTGTCTTCTTGCATGTTCATTTGCCAACCATTATTCACGGTGTGCAAATTTGAAGCCATGCATTAGGCCATACTTCTTCACCAACCGGACATCACGGAAAGTTAGCTCCATGCATGCCAGCCTGGATCATGTCCATCTTCCCTTGACATCGCGTGCATCCTTAGTCCTTCACTTCTTTCATCTACGCCATAACGTGGCCCTGTGGAAAGAGCGCAAACTGGGAGATCCCTATCGTTCGTACAATAATCACATGTCCTAGTTCCTCAATGTTATAGAAATTCCTTGGCTTGGCTTGCATAGTCAGAGACTGGTAGCCTAAATTAAATTTACTTTGTTAGCGTAGGCAGGTAACTGAGCAAGTGTAAACCCAATAGTAATGGATACACAGCCTCTGCCTCACTACAATCTTCGTTTCATAATGAACTGTTTCGCTGGGTTTACACAATAGGGCTTTTCCATACGATCTGCGTCGCTATCAAGCAGTAGGTACTACGACTGCTTGTCCACAGTCGAGATAAACGGAAACCCTTTCAAGTGCCGACTACTACTAGACCGTCTAGGGACTTCTATTGTGCACAAAATTGGGTTGGATGACTTGTATAGCTCCAGCTCGTAAAATAACTTGATTGATGCGCACAAGCATTTCTGTAGCTTCTGTGGTAGTATGTCTAGAGAAATGGGTTGAAGACCGAGGTTGTGTACGATCTACTATAGTGGAACACGGTAGCTATTTCTCTGATACGAGAGGCTATAACACTGGCAGACAGCGTCTAAGTCACAAGAAGCTTTGAATATCCTGGTCGAATGATAAGATCCAGTTTTATTTTTTTTTTCAAAGCTATTTTATGATTTCTTGGTCCTATTCTATTAGATTGGTTATCTCTAGAAGAGTCCCTTGAACTTTTAGCTAATCGATATGTCTGGATAGTGGTAGTATTCTTTTACGGTTAACAAACGTCTGAGCTAATTGTAAATGCTAGATGACATTCTCTGCTGCAGGAGACTGGTATTTTCTTATGATTTAAGCAATACTGGAGAAGGGTCCCTCGGGCTGTATGTGTTTGCCGTTTCTCCATCTTCTGTCTCAGCAGCTAATCGGAAACGCCGGCCTCTCTAAGATAGAAACAACAACTTGTCTTGCAGCGCTAAGGAAACATGGACTGCCAGCCATATAGCAAAAGCTCCTCAGCCAGCCACCGTGTTCGATGCTGCTGCAATAGGCATTTACTGCTCAGGGCTGAAGCGTTGAAGGAGCCAATCAAGAACCTCTTACATCAAGCCACTGCCTCGGCATGCATGGGCCCATATAAAGCTCGTAGCAAAGATGACTTTGTTATTGTTCATTTTTCTCTCCTTTCTTCTTTTGAGCCAGGCCTGATCCAGGACTCCTTCAAAACATATTGTTCTATTCTCTAATTCTTCCATGGTGACGCCGAGATAATATCGTCTTTGAGATGGAAACGGGTGCTTTGCTCAAGCTTCTGATGTATAGATCCACAAATGGTAGGCATGACCTAGACTATCAGCCCTGCCTGCAAGATCCTAGTTTCTATTAAAATACCTCGACTAGTTCAAGGCCAATCGAAATTTCCGACATCACACATCTATCAGAAGGGTTGCGAATGCATCAGCCCGCCAAGCACTTTGAACAAAACAGTTCATTCGTGTTGACATGTGAGTCCCTGCATTATCACTCAGAGCCGGTATTGACTAACCTGTAGCCTCAATAAAACGTTGTGTTATGGCTTCCGCCGCACGAGGATTCCGGGAGAGATTCGCCTAATGTTGCATTCCACTCCGAAAGAATTGACAAAGCCACATTTACGAACCCTCTGTTTGCCCGAGCCAATTTACGTCATCAATGTACACATTGAGGCGTGTACCAAGTATTCCTATTCGTAGTTCATGAATGACTCGACAGATCTATCGAGATACCGTACTAAATGGGTTCAGCTGGAAGACGCCATGAGGGAAGACTCCGCTGGCTGAATATCATAGGGCTACCGATGAGGTGAATCTGTCCCTGAGCGGGTGCACCGTGAAAGCCATGGGATTTGGAATCATTGGTCTTACTAAATCATCAGGACCTATATAGATAGAAGCAACTTCTAATGACCTATTGATATGTTATAAATACGTGCTCCCATCCTTCAACTCTTGCACCAATCCATCAACACTTGAATATCACAATCTCCCTGTTCATTTATACTTGTTTCATCCGTTCAAAGCCAACCCCATTTCACCTGAATTTCAAACCTCCAACATGCATTTCCAAGCACTTGTGCCCCCTATCCTGCTGCTTGCCAGCCTCGCCGTTGGTCAGTCATCTACTACAGCGAGAGCATTTTATAACAAGGTCTGCCCTGAGGACGACGGACAGGAGAAAGCAATCAACTCCAATGTCTTTGTCACGTACCACTGCGACCAGCGGCCAGTCAGTAGAGACAGAACGGTCATATCGGCTGGGAGCCCAGATGAATGCGCTATTATATGCAGTAACAGTTCTAGCTGTGAAGCCAGCCTCTGGGCTGGTAAAGATACCACAGCTGGCCGAAAGGCGAACACAGCCAAATCTTGTGTTCTTTACCACAGCCTGGGAGATCCCCTCATTCCTGAGTCGAACGTCGTTTACATGACTCACCGAACAAAGGAAGACCCCCTTTTCCCGGAGGAAGATCATAGGTGCAATGATGAAAAGGTCCAAATTGGACATTTACAAGTCCAACTTCACGATTTGAAGGGCCAATTGGAAACTTGCCAGGGGAAATATGAAAAGGAAGACTTCAAGTGCCCGGAATACGACCAAGACCATATCGATGACCGAGGATATAATTACAAGGTTTACTGCGGTTTGCGTAAGTAGTTCTATTCTTTCGTGTGCATCTAGGATGAAGTGTTCTAATGGGACTATCCCTAGTCGACGACGCTGGTTGGACTTCAGACGATCTCGCTAGATTCGGCGACAAGACCCCGAAGGAATGTGTTCAGGCCTGTACTGATACACAAGGGTGCAAGCGTGCCATCTGGATATCCGCTCAACCCGCAGACAAAAAGGGACCCTGTTGGCTCAGAGATTACACTGTGCGAGCTGGTCCTGTCCCTACCAAGAAGGCGGGTTATAGCAGTGCTCACCTGCAGTGACGCCATAAAATAGCAGTATAGCTGCTACTCTTAGAGACAGTTTGATCTCTTGCTGCATACGAAGGATTCTCTTCCCAGGATGTGAATGGTGTTGTGGGAAGTGACTATATTTTTACTTGATATTCAACATATTGAGCATGCAATGACTATCAACGGCCGTCGCCTAGTCTCCTTTGTTTGACTTTTATTAGGGAAGGAAAAAAAAAGGAGAGAGAAACGAAAAAAGAAACTGTTATTAGTGATATTTTCATCCCTGTCTTGTTATTTTTGCTGAGCTCCTGCTATCCCTGTATGAGTGATTTCAACGTTGAATAATCTTTATCGTAGCTCAAAGCTGATTATATTTCTCCATCAAATATGAACCTTCCATCCAGTACCCATTTAAAGAGAGGCGAAAAGAAGCTGAAGAATCTTCATTAAGTGCCATTCAATCTGGACAACCTCTTTCCTTTATTGGGATTTTTATCGGGTTCATATTTCGCTTACGTATCCAAGGACTCTAGTTAACAACTGCCAACAATCGGCCAAAATCATACCAAAGCGACCTCGATCAAAGTACAGACCTAGTAGATCCATAGTGTGTACTGTATTTCCTTATATTAATGAATAGTTCTAGTTATCTAGTACATACCAAGGCGTACATCGTATAATCATAACTGATTCTACACATCTGAACAAGACCAATCGGTATATTCTGCATCTCAAACACTCCTCGCAGGATCATCACTCGAATAAACCGACATCTCAACTTGTTTCGTGATCCCTCGATCCGACCGATTCGACGAAGTCTGATGGCTACCGATGACCGTGTTGTGCGAATAAGGGTTCAGAATACGCTCAATACTACAGGTTTCGGCATCGTTATTCGTCGCTAATTTACGGCGCGACTGAGCGGTATTATTCTCACCTGTGCGGCGATTCCCAGTGAAGGGGCTGCGCAGTTCATATGAACGAGAGAAGCTGTGACTGGAGAATTTCTTGACGGATGACATGACCAGCGGCCGGATGCAAGGGATCGACGAGGTGATGATGATAACGGCGTTTTCCACGTAGCCCCAGCGGATGAGCTCAATGCCGCCGGTAGCACCGAGGTTTGTGATGCTCGGGAGTTGGTTTAGTTTCGTTGTTTTCACGATAGATGCGACCATGGCTCTGGGGAACTGGTTTAGTGGGTGTGCGTTTCTCGGCCTTGGAGAATTGGAGAACTTACACAAGACCTAGACTGAGCAGAAGGATTAAGCCGAGCTTGACGCGCGTTTTCAAGTTGAGATGCCAGAAGACAGGAATTGGGAACACGGCCAGAAACAGGTCGGTGGCTGAGTTGACGGCTGGATGGTAATTAGTCACGCAGTCTTGAGTGAGAAATGGCGAGCAGACGTACTGTTGGAGTAGTAGGCAAACTTGATGACTGCGTTACTATCACCGCAAGTCGTCTTCACGGTCGGATCCCAGAGGATATTGACATTGCGACAGATGCTGAGAGGGAGGACAGCGGAGACGATGTTGCCGGAGAGCTGCCAGATCATAATAAACCATAATGCGAATTTGTACGTTTTGTTGGAACCGAGAATAGCAAGGAGGTATATGATAAAGGAGCAGCGGGCAATTGTAGTGCTCATAGTAACAATAGGAATCTCGATAGCGATGCTTTTCAACACGGCTTCCGTGTCCTTCAACGGCAGGGTCTCCAGGTTCTTGCCAAAACCATGGTTAACTGACAAGGTCAAAAACACCGTTGCTACGATAGCCAGAACCTAGACGAGTCAGTTGATGTAAACATTTATATATGAGATGCCAACAGGCAGTATAGAAATAGTAATCAGTATAGAAGCGGGAAATGGCACATACCATAGCAAGGATCATCAAAATGTCATCCACGCGGAATTGGCCGATCTTCACTTTAGCGAAGACCCTGAGAATGACAATCAGGGCCGCAAGGGCCACTGCGACCCAGATTCCCTTCTGGAGGGCTGAGCCGCCATCGGGTTCGCCTGCGCCCATGACTTTGCGCCCTGAACAGGACCTGGAGGGTGAAGGAGAGTTACAGGTGGTGTACTGGTTGACGAGGCCTATCTATTCAGGCAAGACATGGTGGAGGCACAGCAGTGTCAGTCATGTTGGACTTGGCCTTGCCGACTAGTTGGAGCGGCACATATAACTAGTTATGACAATTTAGAGTTTGAAGAAGAGATCTCAATCCGGGCACGAGTTGTCCAAACTTTCCGGCTGGATCGAAAGGTAAGCGAGCAGGATAACCAAGGTTATACCGAAGGATCCGGGATTGCTTGTGACCCCCAAAGAAGAATTCTTGACAAATAGCGCCCTCGGCATCGGCTACATATCCAGCCAGGGACCCAGTCGTGGCTGATTTAAACGAAACTGGGCACCCTCTTGGCTTTGCTATTGACCATAGGGTTGGGTTTTGCGAAGCTGAGATTTGAGCATGTCTCTTGGGAACCAAATATTGGCGTGGGTCTTTATTGAACTCTAAAAATACCGACTACCAACCATCGGACGGGCCTCAATAGTACGAAAGGGGTCCCACTGTGCATGATTCACGCCCTGGCCGTTGCGCCGTGAGCTGCAGCCGTTTTATACGAATTCAGCAACAGTGGAATCTACAAGCGCCGGCCAAAATTTCATGCCAATGTCAATCTGGTCGATCAGAGGACTACGTAGAAAGTGTAGATCAAACTGTTGATGACACTCATATTTGGACGACATGACAGACCCTTGCCACCGGATTAACGGAAATGACCCATTCCTTCCAGGATCCGCCGGTTGTTCCAAACCCTTGTGTGCCGTTCGGCGTATACGAGTTTTCATATAAAGGTGGGTTACATTGGTGGGTGCGCCCTGACTAAGGAGTACTATAGGAAAAATAAAAAATAAAAAAAGGACAAGACACCAAGGAACTCGGACCACTGAATCTATGCCCAGTTCGGCAAATACACGAGGAAAGGCTTGTTCTTGAAGGACTCGCTCAAGATGGGTCGACGAAGTGCCAATAATTCGAAGACTGGACTTTGGTGGCAGACTGTCAGATTGTCTGATTGGTCGGGACCCACACCGCTCCAGGCAGAAACAGAGTTTTTCGGTCCAGATCCGGAAGGATTTTTAGGGCTTCTCAAAAAGGCTTGAAGAGAAAGGGATGAAAAGTTGGAATGTCAGCCAGAGAACAGCCTCGGAGCACTTTCACGGCATTTTTGGCCACCAGAAGGTACTCGGTATGTATATAAGTTCCCCTGAGTATCAGATGCCGTGCCTGGCCTACTGTAAGTGCGGATCGATCTGGGGGACGGGCGTAACTAAGGACGGACAATGCTCCGAGAGGTATATCTGATGCACTGCCCGGATGTCGCCGGGAAATCGTGATCGATATCCACCGCGTCCTCGACTCTTCGGTTCCTCCGCCCAGACTAGACGCGCTTGGGGAAACATCTCCGGACGCTGCCCATGAGGTTCCTGTCTAAGATGCCTCCGCCACGGACAATAGATCAAGATGCCTGCCCTGGTGCCTCGGTGTAGTGCAAAAAGCGCCAAATTAATATGTGATATAAATTCACCCTTTTCCGAGCTGTTGCGACCGTGAGATTCGTGTATTTATTGTAAACCCTTCCCTTGCTTCCTCATCCCTCTTCGCTCTACCCGCGAAACCATGAAGGGCTCCTGGATGCTGGCCGCCGCCACTGCGGCTCTCACTTCAAAGGCGTTTGCTGATGATTCGACCTGCTACTGCCTTCCTGGAGATAGCTGCTGGCCCTCCACGTCGTCCTGGGAATCGCTCAACTCCACGGTCGGTGGTCGTTTGGTCGCAACGGTGCCCATTGGAAGCCCCTGCCATGATCCCAACTATGATGCCGCTGCTTGTGCGGCATTGAAGTCCGACTGGACTACCCCACTGGTTCAGTATGTGCTACGAGTTATCCTTGCTTAATGATTGCCAGTTATCACTTGCGATCCCGATAAAGAGAGGAAACTAACGGTAGTCACCGAATAGTCTCGAGTCGTCCTCCTCGATCATGCAGACCTACTTTGCCAACCAGAGCTGCGACCCCTTCACCGCGCAGTCTCGGCCATGCCTCTTGGGCAACTTTGTCAGCTACGCAGTCAACGTCTCGTCCAGCGACGATGTCATTGCCGCCATTAACTTTGCCAAGGAGAACAACATCCGTTTCGTCATTAAGAACACTGGTCATGAGTGAGTTCTCTGTGGAATTGGGTTGTATCTGGACAAAGCTGACAAGATACCTCCAGCTATATGGGCCGTTCAACCGGCGCTGGCGCTCTCTCCGTGTGGACGCACCATTTGAATGACATTGAATACAAGGATTGGTCGGATTCGTACTACCAGGGTCCCGCATTCAAGGTTTCCGCCGGTGTGATGGGATACCAGATCCTCAACGCAGCCCATGCGAAAGGGCTCACCGTCGTGACTGGCGAGTGCCCGACTGTCGGCCTCGCTGGTGGCTACATCCAGGGCGGTGGTCACTCTGCCCTGAGCACCAAGTTCGGCCTGGGAGCAGACAACACGTTGGCCTTCGAGGTTGTCACCGCCGACGGCCAGCTGGTCACTGCTTCTCGCAGCCAGAACTCCGATCTTTACTGGGCTCTGAGCGGTGGCGGTGCTGGTAACTATGGTGTGGTCATGTCCGTCACCGTCAAGGCTCACCCTGACGCCAAGATCTCCGGTGCTGGCCTCCAGTTCGCAGCCACTGCCAACAACACCGAGGCCTTCTGGGAGGCCGTCGCCAAGTTCCACACCCTCCTGCCCGGAATGACCGATACGGGTGTCACCGTTATTTACCAGATGGTTTCGGGCGTCTTTGCGATCAACCCCCTGACCGCGTACAACAAGACTGCCGACGACGTTAAGTCCATCCTGGCCCCCTTCACCACGGCCCTCACGGACCTCGGCATCGCCTACAAGGTCTCCTACACCGAGTATGACTCCTACTACGACCACTACAACAAGTACATGGGTCCTCTGCCCTACGGTA